CGCATCTATATAATAGTATGGATATAGTAATAATATTGAATTATAGATCATACTTATCAAAACATTGTTTCGCTATCCGTACATTAATAACGTATGCATCAGCTGAATGTATAGTTCGAGACGGAAGAGCCGCCACAAACATTACCACCATCACTGCGCCCATCTCGCGAGCAAACAGTCTACACTGGCCCTTTGACGCACACAGACTTGCTTACACATTCACATCTTGTTCCCGACCCCTCGATGATGTTTTCCTCGAGAGATTACGACCCTTGCCGAGCTCTGCACTTTCATAAGCACATTTCAATTTCATTTTTTATGTCTTTTCTGAAGATGATTAAAATCTACAGGCTGATCTTTAAAATTAATATTTTTTCTTATATTTAATAATAAAGTTGAATTAAAATTAAATTATTTATTTATTAGGTTTATTTACAATTACTTACGATAATAAACACAAATATAAAAAAATAGAACTAAAAACTTGGAACTAAATGTAGTGATTACTTACATAAACATAAACACAGCATGCACAGTAATAAAGTATCTTAAAATATTATACAAAATATATTTTAGAAGTAAACAGTTTTTTTTTTAAATAATCAATGAGTAGGCACACAATTACATTAATTTAACAATAATATAAATTAAATAAATTATATAATATATACAGTAGTAACTTATTATATTTGATTGAAAAAATATGAGAACAACATATAATTTTCGCGGGTAACCACAACTGTATTGTGATTTAAAGTGAACAAATGTAATAATAAAATACTATATTAATTAATTATTATACATAATTCAGTTGCACTCGATAATTAGCAAAATACCAATTTAACATTTAATTAAAATTAAAATACAAACATGTACATCCATTACAATAATTAAAAACCATCGAAAATTTTCGATCATTCTAATGATTAGCAAAATGTTCACCAAACCTGCATTTTGCTATTTGGCAGTAACCACAAAATGGCTGACCCGCATTGATTAAGATTGCTCATCACAAGCCCTCGTATATTCAAACATTTCTATTTAATCGAAACCTGTTTAAGTAATTTGATCCAACATTAATTATTTCTATGCTTTAAACCAGTGAATTATTATGGTAGGCATATAAAGAACAAAGAGAACACGAGATTGTCCAAGAGGTATACCAATTTGCTCATTTATCACCTGTACTTTATCTTAATGGTAGCTGTTTGTGAAATATACCGAATAATAGGGTGTTATCACTGACTTATGAACTTGTGTCTACGAGTATGATACAATTTCATCCTATTAGGAAAATAAGTTTGAAGAGTTATAAAAACTTTATTTGTTCTGTGTTCATTTCATTTTGCAATAAATACTTATTAATTTTAACTATCTAATTTATCAACGTAATTTTATAAAATATGCGTCCCTTTATGGATCATAATTTAATGATTAAATAATAAAAAATATTTAATGACGATAAAGCAAAATGATGCTGCAATAAAATTTTCTAATAGAGCCTTTGATAATAATTACTCGTAGTGGTTTTTAATTTTGTAATTTATTCTAAAATTGATTAATAGAACATTCCATTATTCTCTAATCTAGGCTTCCAAAATTCAATCAAAGCAAATTATGTCCATCTAACTTAATTACAATAGTCCGCTAAACTATAGTTAATTCAATGGGCCTCTTGGCGGGACATGTCAGAGCTCAATACGTTGGCAGAAGCATCCAAGCCGAATTCCCTTGTAAATTGGCATCCATTGTGCCAGTCAAGTCACTCCACCATAGCTAGCAGTATTGAAAGCATTTGAATGCTTAGCAAGTTCCGATTGCAGACTGCATGTACATACAATTTATACGTATGTAATGATAGCACTATTCTGTCACCGCCTCTCGTAATTTCGACCTGGCCATAAATAATTTGTAAATGGTTCACATATTCATTCGATATTATCATTTTACACATGTTTGTTTAATAAAAACAAAAAAAATATATTTAAATCAAGCAATTCATAAAATATCCAATACATCTATACTAATATTATAAAGAGGAAAAAATTGATTTTTTGTTTGTTTGTTTGTACTAAAAAGGTGCCGAAACTACTCAACTGATTTAGATGAAATTTGGTAAAAAGATAGTTTGAGACCCTGGGAAGGACATAGGATTCATCATTTCAATCATCCCGGAAATCATCGCTTAAGGGAGTGAAGGGTCCTTATAAAAACTTTCATCCCTAAATGTTGATGAAAGTTTTTATAAAGAATCAACCCAGGGACGAACTCGAGCGAAGCGAGAGTGAGACGCTACTCGCTAGTATCATATATACTGTTACAATATAACAATATACAACATAAAAAATGTAGATGCTTAAAAATAAAATAAGTTGATCAAAAAATTCGAAAGTTTACCTGTGCTTTTGGGCAATATGTTTTCAGTACGTTGATTCCCCCGCTTAACATTATTAGTATATCGTTCATGAAATTAAATACCACAACCCCAGATAGGATGCCAATCGTGAATTAACAAACGTAATCTTATGGCGTATCGCAACTTACTGATTTCATTCTTTGTTATTTCAACGTCGAAAAATAGTGGCAATATTAGGAAAAATGTGTTTATTCACTTAGCGTTTAGTTCTTGATATCTCAAAGCCTCAATCGTTATAAAAATAGGAACGGACGATAACTTTACGATAACTTTTTTGCGTAGCTATCTTTTTTTAGCGGTGGATTATATGTGTCTTAAGCGTTTGTATTCAGCCCTTTTTAACGTCCCACTGCTGGGCACGGGCCTCCCTTCAATACGAGGGGGATCAGGCCATAGTCCACCACGCTGGCCAAGTGCGGGTTGGCGGACTTCACATGTCTTTCGAAAACTTGCTGGGTTCTCTCAGACATGCAGGTTTCCTCACGATGTTTTCCTTCACCGTAAGGCAAGTGGTCATCATGTTAGAAATGATTCGCACATGAAAATATCAGAGGTGCGAGACCCGGGATTTGAACCCGCATCACTCGGTTTTACAAGCGAGCGCGTTACCACTGGGCTACCACTGCCTGCCCTGTCCTGGGCGAGGGGATAAAAATATCTTTAACACTTGTACATGCACAACACACAAGCGCGCAACGTATACATTGGTCACTTAGTTTACTGTTTCGGACAAAAAAAAGCTTTATGAGCTGAAAATTTATTTAAAATTAGTGTCTTTCCATACCTAACTACTTAATTGAGTATAATTAATATACCCAATAAAGTATAATTAATTAATCCGTATGCACACTGCCTTTGGCTTTTTGATTTTTTTATGTTTAACATTATTATTATTATTAAATTATTATTACTGAAACTTCTTTTCAAATCAATCTATAACGGAAATATATAAAGCTTTAGCGTACACGCTTTTATTGAAATGTTAAAACAATACATTACGATAAACAATGTTGTTTATTTAGGACTGTTGTTCGGTTTAACTGATTTCCATAGTAAACAATTTGCGGTCTTGCAAACCAATTAGCTTATACTACATTTATTTCTGTCATTAATAAATATAAATTTGTTAATTATTCTGCCGACACGTCGAGTTTTTTAAATACAATGCTTAATTATTTTTGGGAACATTTCTGTCACACAACGAGATAACAACCACACAATAGTGTAAAAAACATAAATACATATTTAATCAGTTCAAAACCACAGTAGATTGAAGCATTAAATGTAAATAAATATTTATTCTAAAGCTATATATACATATTTAACCGAATGAATTGAACCGCTGAAATGAGAAGCAACCGCGAACGCTGACGGTCCACATTGCCGATAGTTTTATCCGATGCGATATTATTGTGCATCAATTGTCATTTTATTTTTATTTGAATTAGCCATGGAAGCAATGAATACGTTCAAATATATTTATTCGAGGGCGGTATTGGTTTTGCACTATGGAACAGCGACTGAAATAGTCGACGAGCGCGCCAGCTTGCACGCACTGCTACATTTTATTGTTTCGGGCGTTGTTATAAGAGCACTTCACATGAAAGTAATTATACTATATACATATGTATACTACATACATATATGTAGGTACTATAATTGAAAATAATAGCTGGTAAATGATGATCACTATAATAATGCTAAGGTATAATTAAATAAAACTATCTTTTCGGATTTTGTCGCGGATTTATTTGCATTTTTGTTTCCCGACGTTTCGAATGCTTTACAGCATTCATGGTCACGGGAGAGACTGAGGTGTTACATGTCGCTAAGGTATAGTTGTTACAGACAGCCTACCCATAATTAACAAAATGAAAATTTCACTAATTACCTTACAATATTTTAACTTTAAACATTTTTATAATTTTAATTAGTTTTATAATTGAATATGGAATATTATTTATTTAATTTTGCTGTTATTATTATAATTATTACAATTTTAAATTATTAATTAGTAATCTATATTTAGTGTTGCCATTATTATATTTATAACCATAAAGAAAAATATAAAATATAGTATTAATTATTTAAGCCATATAATTGTTCTATGTGTAATTTAAAAAGTTAAAATTAATTAAAGATAATAATTTTAATTTTGTTTGCTATTATTTAAAAACAACTTACTAAGCAACACTTTTCATGTTGTTAATTATGGGTAGGCTATCTGTAACAACTATACCTTAGAGACATGTAACACCTCAGTCTCTCCCGTGACCATGAATGCTGTAAAGCATTCGAAACGTCGGGAAACAAAAATGCAAATAAATCCGCGACAAAATCCGAAAAGATAGTTTTATTTAAAATGTCAAATATTCGCGTAAATGTAAGAAAGTATTAAGGTATAATTAATTTAAATAGATTAGTAATGTTAGTTAATTAGTTAACAAATTATAAATTAATGTATTTATAATATAAAATATTTATTACAGGTACCTGTCTTCCAGAGTTACAACTTCCAAAATGCTATATCAACACAATATCTTCCAGTCGTGATATTTAAAAAGAAGAACAAGACACGCTTGCCATGGATCATCGGATATTCATCTTATTGACGATATCAGCCCACTTTAGTAAGTACATGAAGTGCTAATTGTTTGATACATTGTTAAATGCATTTTTAAGATAAATAACCCATATATTGTGAGATTTTTACCTTAAAAATCAAAACGTCTTGAATGGAAAAAGAAAATTGCGACGGCATATTGAATATTGGGTTATGTAGTTAGGTCCGAAAATATTATTCCGAACAAACGATGCATACAAAACGGAGAACGATGAAAATGTTCTGGGCAAAGTAATTGAAAACACATAGATTGGAGTGGGCGGCGATCCCGATCGTATCTAAGGTAGACTATCTCAACCCACTTGATGGCAAATGGCCCGGAAGTAACAAGGATATAGCGACACGACCTCGCCAGAATTTTGTTATCCAATTTCTATGCGAAAATGCAACATAAATTTGTATTTGGCAACGCACGATAAGTTAACCCTTGCCTAAATTTTGTTATAAAACATGTTTTAATATATATATTTTTATGTATATATAATATGTGTCGCGAAATTTTCTATTAAAATGGATAAAAAGATATTTTATAAGATTTCACGATAGACATTTCAGTAAAAGAATTAGGGTTCCGCTCAAAAAAATTAAAATGTGCCTAGGAACGAATTCGAACGAAGCGAGGGTGAGTCGCTAGTAATAAATATTTTATGAGGGTTTGCAACATAGAGTGATTTTATAATTTTTTATAGTTATTATTACGTTAAAATTATAATATATTGTGAAACAGAAAAGTTCACTAACATGTGCATTGAACTAAACGAGTTTACACGTCATTAAACCAATAACAGGTATTAAAAATTTTCGTATCTACCCTCTGTAAGCGATATCTATGTTCTATAACAGACGATTTACCAATCAACAGCCTTCGAGTAACTCTGTCAACCACATTACCTATACACTTGTATCATACATTTAACGTGATAAAATGTAAAAAAAAATAGTTAGGAAATTGATAGAATGTACGCCGCATTATTATATTTCGTTAATTTCTATATAATAGAATATTTTAAACTAAGATTTTAATATAAATATAGCCAAACAAACAAAATTATAATTCAAATACTTTTGACATAAAGTTGTGTCTCATATTTATTCGAATATTTGTTCGATTACAGATACCATATTAACTCAAAGTCCATTCTACGATGGCGGGCCAAAAGCAGCAAACCCCGCACCAGCCGGCAACTTCATTACGCAGACGGTTTACGGATTCTTAGATTTCACTACTACGATAGGGAACACTGTAATGGTTTTCTCGCCACAATCTGCACCACCACCAGGTTGTATAATTTCAAATTTAAAACAAAATGTTTGTACTTTGATTATTTTATTCTCGATAATATCTTGTTTTTAATTAATCTATATAGAGTTTATTTTGCTTTTTTTAATATTTATTTTTATCAATCTTATCGCCTCCAAATTTCTTTTTACTTAGTTTATTCAAATTATAAATATGTAATAAGTAATATATACTTTACATCTATAATAATCTAACTATAAATTTATATCTAGAACCCCCGAAAACAGAGAAGTCTGTACAAGAAAATACTATAGAAACTAAACCACCACCAATTAACAATGTGAAACCAGAAGCAATTAAGCCTAGCAAAACACTGAATAAACATGAAACAAATAATTCAGGAGTTCCAATAGGTACATCGAGTGCAATTTCGGTTATTAGTTCTTCTCCTAAAAAAGAAGAAAAGAATTCAAATATACCAAAATTAGTTGCCAAGGAATTTAAACAAATTGTTTCTAAAGTCGAAGTTGTAGCAGGTCCATCTAAAATAATAGAGAATGATGTTGCTAAGCAATTATTGAAGTCTAATAAGCAATCATCTCAACCCAAAAAGCAACAGTCAAAAAATCAAACCGTGAAAAGTGTGACAAATATTGTCAGTAGTAAAGTTGAAGTAAAGCAAAACCCCGCTCCATCTTCAATAGTTAACTCAAAAGTTAACAGCGTAATCGAAATTAAATCCAGCCAAAATGATGATGAACCTGCAATTTTAGTATCGAACAATATAGGCGAACCAGAGTACGACTATTTATCACGTCAACCGTCTGAATTTGTAGAAGAAACTTATAGAGTTATTAATATACGACCATCAAAAACTCATGGACCGAAACCAAAAAATAATATTAAAAATAGACATCAACCGACTCCCCCGCCCGATGACGAGGAGCACCCAATTGGACTTGTAACTACTCTTGGAGGAACGATAGTTAAAGATGGTCTAACAACTGTCCATGAAACAAGCGTTATTGGGACTTATATTTCAGGAAAGTATGCTCAAGTATTAAACAGCAATTCAAAAATTTTACAATCTGGCCATAAAGCCAAAATTTCTCCCAGTCCATCACACCGCATATTAAAAACCGCTGCCCCGGCTATCACAAAAAATCATCGCCATAATTTAGAACCGACGCCTTCAATAGTTGACGAAGATAGTAGTTTTAGTAAAACAACCCGTAGGCAAACAAGTAATGGAAGCTCTTTCAAAAATCGTCTTAGATCACAAAATAATGAAAATGACAATACACCATCGCCACCTCCCAATCAAGGCAAAAAATTTAAGAACAGAAATACTTCCCAGTCTCAACGAACTCAAAGGTATGTATAATACTAATTAGTAATTATGTTTACTCATCTAAACGTGAAACTGAACGGAAAACATCAAATTAGCTTAGCTTTACCTTACTAACCCATCATACTTAGTTAATAGAAAAAAATGACTTACATTGAATAATTAATGTGTTCCTAATAAAGAACTCATAATTTTGGGTAATTTTCATCGTATCTATGACATTATAATTAAATGAAAAAAAGCTCTGCACACTGTGTTCTCTTTTATATAATAGTTAGGTAATAAAGGAATCCTTCTCTCAAGATGTTGAAAGTAAATAACGTTATTTTAAAAATTCAATCAATTAATTATTCAATGTATTTTTGCATATTTAACAATTATTGGGTTAAAGGTAAATGATGTACAAGTATATTTTCCGTTTTCAGTTCACGTTTTCGACCAGCCAAATCTCCTCAACTGGCAACCGTGTCTGTTTTCAGTGAACCTTCATCGTCGTTTTCAAATAGACGCAAAAGCAATCGTAATTCTGGACACAAAACAACAGTGACGCCATCAAGCAATAATGACGGCCAATCAAAACGAGGGTTCAAACCTCGCATACAGCCAACTGCAGTAGAGCAAGTGACGCCGGCTGCAACAAGTGTTTATAAGTTCAAGCTTAATAGACAGCAGAGTTCTGGACGCTGGCAATATAAAACCAGCCCTAAACCAAAAGTGACTATTCGAAAAATGAATGACGATGAACAAACAACTCCAATGAGCGCTGAAGAATCATCATCTAATGATCTATCTCCTCAAGCGAGATCAGATAATGATTTAGAACTATCTGGCTCACAGAGTGGTCCAGGAACATTACTTGATAATGACACTGAGGATAATTCCATAGAAAAATCGCCACCGGTTGAAACACTCAAAGTGGAAATATCAACTCCCGCTGATTTTAGAGATGTTTATTACGAAATAGCAACACTCAAGTCTCCGTATACTTTCCAGGTAAATCTTTGAAACTGCAATTTATACAAATTCACATCTAAAGTAACATAATAGTATTTAGTTTTATATAAATAAATAAGTAAATAAATATGTTGGGACATTAGCACACAGCACCATCTAGTTCCATGGTAAGCTACGAGGCCTGTGCTATTGATACCAGATAGTTGATACACTACACATATATAACTTTAAATACATACATATTATAAATATAAACACCCATGACAGGAGTACAAACATTCGTGCCCATCACACTAATAAATGACCCCAGCGGGACTCGAATCCGCGAACGCTGAAACAGCAAGTAGAGTCACTACAAACTGAGCCAAACGTGTTGTCAATCTAAAAATAAAAATGTAGAAATGTAGAAAGTATTATATAATATATATTTATCTTTTTTTAATTACCTTTCACAAGTAATGTGTTTTAAAAATAATAGTGTATTTGACACCATAAACTTATATTTTACGACTGTAAATTACAGTATAAGTAATCAAATACAACATGTATTTTATTTTTTACAGGTTGGACGCGTAAAAAACACTCGTATTATTACTGTAACTACGACAATAGAAAAACGAATCGAACCAACGGCTTTGCCACTTAATTCGCCTCCTAACGAGCCCTTAACTGAGAATATATTAGCTACAGCATCACCATACGGAAAGGATCACTACTTACTAGATTCCAGTATAGCAACTCTACCTGCAATAACTCTTTCGTCTGATGTTGAAACTCCTCCATTAGAAACTGTGACTGAAACATTTAGTACCACACAGCATATGCTCAAAACTCACATTTTGCCAATAGTGAGGGATGCTAATGTAACAAGTAGTCTGACTTTTATCCAAACTTATCAAGTCACTAGATTTGTAACAGCAACCAAAACATTACCACCAATGGATTTCTTCCAATTCATACCGAGTAAAACATTGAAAGAGTTCAACAGTCGTCTCGATGAAGCTGGTTCAGAACTTCATTTGGAGTTAGATTTCGGTGATAGTAATGAAGATGAAGATGGCGTCCCCCGTAGAGTATTCCCTCCCGATTTAGATCTTGCTAATATCGGATCAGACTTCGATATAACAGAAATCGATAAGTATAGAGACAATCATTTAAGACTTAAAAAAGCACATGGACAAAAGAGCAATCCGGTTACAGAGCCACCAAATCCTGTAACACCAGCTTTAACACCTGAACAAGCGCAACAATTAGCTTTATTGCGACTTTTGAATCCAGCTGCAGCAGCACAAATACCGAATGTAGTGACAACATCTAAACCCGTCCTTAAATATGAAACAATATATGAATCCCATGTGATACCTGTATTTGATGGTAAAAACACCATTCAGAGTACAATTTCTCGACCAGTCGCAACTATAACTAAAACAGAGTATGAATTAGGAACTAGCAGCTTGCCCGCTTTACCCTTGAACCCACTGTATCCCCAGCAACAATTTACAATAACTTCGACTCCGGTTGTTCTGAACACTGAAGTCGTTGCTACAAGTAGTCAAGTTTTGAAACTGACTTTCGGTGCCAAAACGGTATACACAACACTGTATAATACTAAAGTAGTTCCTACAGTGCTAACGTCATACGTTACGTCTTCGGTCCCAATACAGCCGAGTGCGGCGCCCGGTTTCCCTGGATATTTCCCGTCACCATTTGCTCCATTCCCATACGTAGGATAAGTAAAAACTGAGTGTAGTCTTATGCAAATTAATTAGTAAAAGTGGTTGTGATGTTAATAAAACTATAAAAAGTGGCGTGATGGAACTATATCGCGAGTGAGTGGGAGATAAACAATGGGGAAGACGTAAAATTCCACGATTTTATGCGTTCGTTGAAATTTCATGAAACTTGAAGCTGTAGTTCTTCTCCAGTTTCTTAAGTTTGAAATGTGGTATATCCTAATATTGTAAGACAGAATTAAGTATTGTCTAAAAATGTACCGCAATTTACACTTTACTGTAGTAAATGCTTTGTAAATACTCGTAATTTATATTACTCTTACTTTGTAAATAGGTCGTAGTAAATAGTAATTAGACGAATACTGCCGAAAATGTAGATATAAAGGAATTGTATTTTTATATTTTTTAAATTGCTTAAATAAATTGATTCATATTAAAAGATATAATAGAATTTTGTTTTCTTTCTAACCTTCTAAAATAAAGATTAAAAATAGTTTTACTTAAAGGCATTTACTTTAAAACCTATATAGCTGGAAGAAGAACTTGAAAGAAGAAATTGAAGCTACATAAGATAGGAAAGGAAATGAGTATCATGCATAGACACCATATCATGGCAAGAGTAATTAGTGTTAACAGACTTTATTCTACTAGTATATTAGTTAAATAATGTCGTATAAAAATTATCTTTCTTATAATTTTAATTTAAAGACTTAATAAAAGCTGTACTATGCACATATTAGTACCTGTTCGATTAAGTTTAGCTCGGCTTGTTTATGAAAAAAGTATAAAAATTAAAAAACAAAACCTTATCTAAATGCAAAATTTGATCCAAATCGTTAGAGCCGTTTCCAAGATACGCGATTTTTTTTATATATTATACAAGAATCATCATTTAATATTATAAAATAATACACCTTTAAATATGTCATGTGATGTTCACAAATAACTTTCCTTATCTTAAAAAAAGTAACATAAATATAAATCTAAATCTTCCGACAATTATTTGTTCGACCTTTGTCCGAGAAGTCTTTGTCCTCGCTTTAATAGACTTTTTCATACAAATATTTGTATTTTTGATTTGTGTCCATTTTCTTAATATAAATGAAAGGAGTGTTTTTTTTTTATTATAGGGTCTTACATCAAAAGATTACAGAAGATTCGATACATTAAGAGCTTTATTACTAGTAAATAATCGTAAACTTTTGAAGCTCACTATTTAAAAAAAAATATTCTCATATTTTTAGTGACATGTTATATATCTATGGTTTTATGTGTGTTACAAGATTCAAGCGACGTAATTTTTAGAATTCTGTAGGCAAACGAAGCCCTTATAATTTCATCATGTCCGTTTGTCACAGCCATTTTACTCAGAAACTATTATTGGTACTATAAAATAAACGACCCTTGTAAACCACTTTTTTTTCTTTTTTTTTAACGTTGGGAAATGCATTTACGCACGACGTGTGGGACTCACCGGCGTAATACAGCCAGTACTACCCACTAAAACCCAACAAAACCTTCCCCCGTCTTAATGGGGCGTCGCAGGATCGCTTACGCATTCAACTACGACGCCCCGACGGCTGGACTTCCGAAGCAGACCACCACAACCATGGGGTTGCTCCAAGGTCCACTCTGCTATCAGAGAAGTACCAGGAGCAACCCGCATGGTACACCGCCCCCGAAGAGGGCCACCTCCCACCGCCCACCGAAGTGGGCAACCTCCCTGTGCGTTTCTTAGCTTCGCGCCCGGTTGGATTGCCGGGCACTACTGAGCCCCCCCACCACGACAAGGTGAACGCACGTTGGGGGGGACCCTTGTAAACCACTAGATCAACTGTTGATAAATTATGTAATGTAAGTAATTGTGAGTGGCGAAAAAAATTGTATGCTTTTAAGCACGGTATCTTGTGACAAGTCTTTAAAAATGTCGGTTCTAATCGTCAGAGGGAGAAAGTGAGTCCTATCCTGGATTTTATACATGCTAAGAGGAGATCGCCCGAGTACAGAATTAATTGCTCTTCCAGGGCAAGTGGACATAGCTCCCGTGGTCATTAGACAGGCAGTTCTCGGCAGGTTGTCGCCTGTTTTACTTTATTGTGCCGTTGTACATTGTAGAATCGTCCGCACAATGACATTGTATGTCTAAAGCAGTCCTGGAACTTATAACGTAATTACTACCCAATACGCGGCCACTAATATAATATATATATATATATATATATATATATATATATATATATATATACTATACTTATACGTATATACTTGTACATTATGCACCTTCCTCTCTCGTATTTTATGTTTTTAACGGTAAGTATCGTTCAGTCCGGATGTCCCTAGGGAATATTAATACTTCTTACATATATTCACAGCAGCCAATTATGTTTACCGGCTTATATTTCAAAAAGATGCCAAGTTTATTTCCCATGATATCTTAATTAAAGCCGTTTCATAGCAAACGGGGGCGAAGAAACAAAGAGGCCTTGAGTTATAGAACTAAGATTAATGGAAGCTGTTTTGTAAACTTAATAAGCAATATTAACCTTTAGATTTCGCTTTTCTTAGAACATTAATATTGAAGTAGACTAGATATTAAACAAACTTCGTAGACTAAACAGTTTAAATATTAACTTATGGAACATTATGAAGTTACTCTAAACCTTCTTTATGGTTATATTATTATTTATCAAGTAGCAGAGAGTTAATTTTAGAATAAATCAAATATAATTTTATGCTATTTATTTACCGTTCTTCTATTATTTAGAATTTTATATAAATCGTCGTGAATTCATAGTAATAAACAATTGCATATATAAAAGTATTTTGTAGGCTATTTACTGAGAAAGGTATCTAACATCATGCAATAACCTTAAGAGTTCGTACATATGTACATCTATACATATAATAAAAGTGTAACTAAGCCGAATCTGTACATTAAATATTTTTTGGAAAAATCTTACTGAAATAAACATTATTAACTATTATCGATACAGAGACCGAATCTATAGTTTTTAGAATTTTTGTTTGTCTGTCTGTTACCGCATCACAGAAAAACCACTGGAGGAATGAAATGAAGAAATGTTTGGTATGGTGATAGCTGGTTATCCGGGTCAACATATAGGCTACTTTTTACCTCGGGAAAATGTCTCATTTCTGAGAAAAAATACAAAAAGCTACAATGTAATATATGTAAAAATATAATGTAAAACCTAAGAATTTGGTTTGTGCTCATCTGAATGCGGACGGAGCCCCAAGCAATGCTAGTACGTAAATAAATTAAACGAGCAGAAACGACAGCAAAAGCTAGTAAAAATAACATTCAAGCATATCCTACAAAAACTATATTTATTTGCTTAAATAATTTTTAGGCATGTTCTGTTTCAATGAATGTAAAAATTATGGATTATTGTATATTGTATAATAATAATCGTTTTGTTTTCACGAAAATAACAAGTCAGGAAATATAAAAACCTTTTTAGAAGATTTTAAAAGATTATTGGAATTTGTGGTTCATAAACTAGAGATTAAGTATTATTTATCCATCAGGACCCCACTCTATTGTATAGGTACATCTCAAGTTATCTAACTTTAAAAATACTCTGAAGAAAAATAAAATACATTGTAAATCTGAATGATTATAAAGTAAAATTATATCTCCATAAACAATTCATTTCTTAGTTAGCTCAGAAGACAAATGTTTCGAAAACACATACATATTTCATAGTCAAGTACAAAGTATCTTAATCCGTAAGTTAGTGCTAGAAAAATAAGCGATATAAAGATTCAATAACATGTACGCTAAAGTTGCTTCTACTTCGTGTAAACATGTACTCGTGTGTTCGCCAAACACGCAAAGTAAATAAACAGCCTTATAATATATCAAATGTAGCCGTTCAAGGCTCGCAGTAAGTTTAAAGGCTTTAAAGTTCACAAATAAAAACAAAAGGCTAGAACGTAACGTGTTGAGTTGAGTTCGTTTATTGTTTACTTGAGAGTTAACGTTTAGTTAAATCTTGACTTAGATTATAGGTCGATAACTACTTGACTTAGATCATAGGCTATTAAAATAGACAAAACATGTAAAAACACTACCTATAAGAAATTTAATAGCCATTGACACATGAAACAATGACCGAAATGTCGATATTTCATGTCATTGACATGTCAGCAATGTAGTGACTATCGTAGATATGCTTGCAGCATCCGCTTTGTTCTGCAGATGACGGCTTTGTTCTCCCGTGACATGATGACTCTGTGCCAAAAGGCAGAACCAATAGACAGTAATAAGTCATATGACTTCGAAAATAAAGCTTAATTTGTTTAAAATGTTCACGTATAAAGATCAAAAATAATTTAATTAAACAAGTGTCTGCTAAAAATTTGGTCTTTATTAAAAACATGATATTAAGTTAGATAATAACTGATTGGTAGTTTTCATTTACTATACATACCTAATCAAATATTTTCGAAGTCGGTGTGCTTTGGCTAAGTAATTAAAGCCTATCTATTAAATACATACCTAATCAAATATTTTCGAAATCGGTGCCAGCCCATACAAAGCAAATGAAAACTACCAATCAGTAATTTTCACTTTTTAGTGCTTTTGTTTGAAGTCGGTTTTTATTTTTTTGTTAAAAAGTTTTTATTTTTCCCTTTTTAGTGTAGACAGTATTAGCAAAGTAAGAATTCTAACGTGGCTTGTCAAATTAATCAAAATAAGCCCAAACTCAAAGTATCTACTATTAGCCGTTGAAGAGTTCCACCTATCCACCTTCTGGCCTTACCATCATATCAGGTCAACAACACCGAACCACTGTACTATCAACGGAAATAGAAACACTTGCAGAGTTTCAAGTCAATATGACAATTAGAAGTAGGTTAAATTCATCATTAGCTATTTTTCCACCCTGAGGGGTGGTATTTTTTTGAAATATAAATAGGACCAATCTGGAAGTATACACTTTCAAACAACACAAAAATCGTCCAAATCGGTTAATGAATGACGGAGTTCTGAGGTAACAAACATAAAGAAAAAAACATACAGTCGAATTGAGAACCTCCTCCTTTTTGAAGTCGGTTGAAAACTATTTAATATTATGCTGTGCCATACTTACGGTCTGTTAAAAAAATCAATCCAGATTTGTCTAATTCTGTGCTAAATAAACTGAATGACAAGTTAGTTTGTAACTAATGTGACACACAAACCGCGTTAAAGTATAAACAAATATAGAAGTTTTATAAACAATTTCTACAATAATTTAATTAATATTTATCAATATTTTTAAATAATATATTTATACGAATAACAACTACTATTACTTATGAATATTTCTGTTAATAACTATATATTTTGCACACGGCTGTTGTATTATACAAATTGGCGTAATCCTTCGGCTGCAACATCGACTTGTTTCACTAAGGGTACTGAGACGTATAAACCGATTTTGCCGATTGATCGAGAAAATGTTCTTTTATAATTTTATAGCTTTTGTACTCCACTCTAGACGGCCAATTTAAGAGAAATCAAGGGGGGATAAATATCGTTTTTCCTCTAGAGCTGTCATGCCTTCATATGGCACTCACTAATAGCTAGTCAAAAATAGCCCTGCAAGCTTATCTATAAAGAGGCAGAGTTTGTTTGTTTGAACGAGCTAATCTCAGAAACTACTAATCCGATTTAAAAATTATTTTTGCATTAGGTAGCCGTTTATTAAGGAAGGCTATAGGCTAAATATCATATGATGATGATGATGTTCTCCTGACCGATTCCGGCCACGTCGGCCAATCTCATTGAGACTGGCCAACTGCGCAGGAGATATTATAGTGCACAAGTGTACGCGCAGACACAACGTGCACTCTCTATTCCTGTCACTCTCATACCCCGGTGGGACGACCATTCGACACGACCAGTGAGAGTTAAGGCGCAGGACCGACGGCTTTACGTGCTCTCCGAGGCACGGGGGTGAAACACCGCCAACTTCCCAACTCCGGGCTTTTACTGAGGCTTACTTATACAGGAAGACTCAATAACTAAACTTGGCCCGACCCGGGACTCGAACCCAGGACCTCCGGGTGTGCAGCCGTACATGCTAGCCACTACACCACCGAGGCAGTACAAATAAATATCATATAATACATAGTCTATATTTTATTCCTCTGCCTCGGTGGTGTAGTGGCTAGCATGTACGGCTGCACACCCGGAGGTCCTGGGTTCGGGTCCCGGGTCGGGCCAAGTTTAGTTATTATGTCTTTCTGTATACTAAGCCTCAGTAACAGCCCGGAGTTGGGAAGTTGACGGTGTTTCACCCCCATGCCTCGGAGAGCACGTAAAGCCGTCGGTCCTGCGCCTTAACTCTCACTGGTCGTGTCGAGTGGTCGTCCCACCAGAGTATGAGACTGACAGGAATAGAGAGTGCACTTGTGTCTGCGCGTACACTTGTGCACTATAATATCTCCCGCGCAGTTGGCTAGTCTCAATAAGATTGGCCGCCGTGGCCGGAATCGGTCAGGAGAACATCATCATATTCTATTCCGTACTAACCGTTAAAACGTACCTAGGGACGAACCCGAGCGAAGCAGAGTGAGTTGCTAGTTAGTTGCAATAAAGCTATTAGAATTGTTACGTCCAAGGTTAGAAATTGTATAAAATCAAACAGACAAATTTGATTTTTTTTATAAATTGTGCAGTATCTGGACATCATAAATCTATACGGGCGCAGTTCAGTGCGCGCTGATTGAACGAGGTTAGACGAAATCGGCTTATCGTCCGATGGAGTAAAGGGAATAATTTCATTGGAATACGCCCCGTTCGTCCGACACACGGCTATGCAAATTGACAATGCCTTCAAATTTTTTATCTCGTAAAACCACTGCACAATAGAATTACGTTGTGAGAGTACAATAGAAATGAAAGAATAGAACAGACTGATATACATACATGCCTACAATCTATGTGCATACAAATATAGTGTCCCTACTCCCTAGAAACATTTTTCTAGATAATGCCGGTGTTTTATTTATTTTTTAATTTATTTTAATAGTGAAGATAATAAATGTGCTTATGGACTAAGATCCCACTGCAAGATTGCTACGTTCATTGCGAATTTAATCAAAATCATTTTTTTATGTACAATAATAAAAGGGACAATATGTTTTGACCGGGGTGCCTATTCAAATGTGCCCGCTAGTATGTTTAATTAACTAAATAATAGTTGACTTTTTGGAATAAAAACGATGCATTTGTTATTACAATGAATTATACTCCACTTCACAGAACTATACGTAGAGATCTTGAAAAATGATAGCTGCCGTTGCGCATTTGGCCGCAACCTCTCCGCAGCCAGGTGTAAGCGGGTCATAGTTTGGTATGTTTGTGCGTTCATAGCGTACATGCATCATTTATATATCAAATTAAAGCTAATTTTTTTCTGTACCTGATAAACTACGTCTGCCTATGTAAAAGTGGCCGCAAAAGTGGTTGCAAGTCATTAAAAGTGTTTTTGTTACATTTATAATACGTTCATGGCGTATATTCATTATTTATATATTAAATTAAAGTATTTTTTTCTGTGCATGATAAAATACCTCTACCTATGTAAAAGTGGCCCCAAAGGAAAAAAAAAGAAGGAAAGAATATAATATTATATGTCATTTGTCAGACAATAACAACGGTAAAATAAAAAAAATGATTTCGATTAAATACGCTATGAACGTAGTAATCTTGCAGTGGGATCTCGATCCATTACTTGACCAATTGCTAACAGTGTAGAAGACATCAATTTACAGTATTAATGATTTTAAATCTTTTACCTAATAGGCGAGTAACTATGTACCTACCTAACTACCTACATATAAAGTTTCAACGTCCCTTACACCTAACATCTCTCGCTCAGGACTATCTTTGGATTTTTTTCTTGCATATGTATACTTTATGACGTTTTCTTTCAATTTCTAAGTTGAAAGTATTTTTCAGTACGAAGGTCAGTCCCATAGGCATGATCTTTTATTTATCTTTTTGTTTTTATATGATGTTGTATAATGTGTGTATCTTTTATTGGAAATCCTAAATAAAATGAAATTAACATAACTTTGAGTAGTTAATAGAGCTTAGGTAATATTACCAATAATGGACCGACTAAATATGAAATAATAATAATATGGCGATGATGATAATGATAAAAACCTCCTGACTGATGTCGGCCTAGGCGATTATCTCACTGATGAACCTGTGCGTGGGACACATTATGGTGCACAAGTGTGCGCGCAAGCACAAGTACTCTATTCCTTTCACTCTCAAAATTCAGTTCTACGACAATTCGAAACTTTTACTGAGAATTTCTCGATTCAAGACTTAAAACCAAATCCTCATGATCTGCAGCTATACATACTAGCTACTAGACAAACGAGAAAGTAACAATAATAAGTCATAACAGGCAAGCAAACAAACAAACAGACCCATCTAATATATCAAATATTACTAAAAGTAGACATCGATATACTGCACGTGATCTTTCTCAATCAAATATTCAAAAACATATACCTATATATCTTACAATGACAATTATAAATATCATTAGAACCAGCCGTGATTTATGCATTAATTATTCAGCGATATAGAGGGAATTGATAAGAGTTATCTGTGACAAAATCTTTGCAATCAGTCTTTGAATATCAGTAGAACCTAATCAACAAACGATAAGTTTATGAATACTTCGTATTGTATTTATATTTAATAGATAACATGATTAACTTCTAACGAGTAACCTATAAACAACAATCACAAAAACACCCAAATAATTTCCATATGCTATAAACAATTAATTAAAGTTTATGTTCTACGTGCTATTTTATTGAGGATTGTGCATAATGTATAAAAAATTGTTAATATTAGCGATTCTGACACTTTCCAGTAAGTATTTCATTGTGATAAGAAGTGATTTATTATTGTGTAAAACTCATAGACTGAAACAATTTTTTGTGAAAATGAAGAAAAAAGAAAAAGTGCTTTTGCGGAAAATAAAGAAAACAAATAAGAATAAGGCATTGATAAAGTTTTGAAACTTTTATAGGCGGAATCCTCATAGCGGCTCAAACTAATGAACGAGATGAAGCCCATTGTTTCAAGTTCACGTGGCTTGGCCATCGGTTCAACAATGAAAGTGTAATTCTAAACGCAACATGTCAAGATGCTACGAGGTTGGCGCAAAATATACCGTGTGAGCTACCACTGGTTGCATCGTGTAAGTGTTAAATATTGTCTAACAACCACCAATATTTAAAATTTAATTTTTTATTCCCACTTTACAATTGTATGACTAATAGACTACTAGTAGTATTATTATTACTTATTTATTAAACTTATCACGTTCATAACGTAATACAAAAGAAATATTAATTTCCAAATGTTATTTAATGATTACGAAATTAACAATAATAATGACAAAATACTTACCAATTTGCGTTATATAAAAAAATACAACAAAAATTTTACGTTTACAATAATTTTAAATAGTCTGAAACACTTTCCTTGTACTAAGTATATGTAATGTTTCTTGGACCAAATTGTTTTTTTACGCTAATGAACAAGTTCTTATCCTATCATATAGAAATAGAATTAACTACGAACCGATCTAAAATATGTAAATAGAAAAATAGTGCATTAACATAAACTAAGAGAATAGAAAAGCGATGCTTTCCCGTAAGTTTCAAGTAAAAGATTCGCCTGGAACAAAAGTAAACGCTCTAAAAGCTTAGCAAAAGATAAGCTACGGTAGTTTTCCTTTATTACTACTCCTTGGAAATTTATATTGAGGAACGTTTTAGGCTGGGTATGGAATAAAACAAAAATAATGATAGCTAGAGCTCTCCTCAATTCATAGATAGAGACTGCAAATTGAATAACAATCAACAGTTAAACAAAAAATATTTACCTTCATTTGTGCAAATGTAATTTAGGTATTAATAATTAATTGTTTACATTCCATTTTCCAGACGATGGATCTTGGCCGGATGTTGAATACATATGGGCCCATCATTCTGAGATTGCGACATGTGTACTAGCCGATAACGACGTTTGTGCCCGATACACATATTATTTTAATGGTCTCGGTAAGCAAAATAATGAAATAAACAAATTGATAAACCATGTTTTATGTAAACCCCATCTACTCGACGCCATAAACACCCGTTTAAATTACAATAGAACTCATCTATCATACATACATCATGTACATAAATCATTTTTTTATCTGTACAATTTTCAAATATAATTGAATTGCTGTTCGGTTATACGCGCATCAGTTCAGAATGGCTGGATTAGGCAATTAATTATTCTTTCAAACGGTCTTAACTGTTATATTAAGGAAAATACGGATTTTTTTTTAGTAAAATTGAGAATTTCTGAAAAATTGAAAGAGCTTTTTTGTAAAGGATTTTTTCTATTAATTCAAAAATTACAAACTTTATTGGGACAAAACAACGTCGATCATGTCAGCTAGTAATAAATAAACGAGCATTAATTAATTATTTTCGCATTATTTTTTCCGTTTCACCTTGATATTTTTTAATACTTTGGTATTAGAATTCTTGTCAACATGCATGCAACATGAAAATGATTTTTGAAAATATGTTTTTGTAATTTTCAGCCGAAAATTCTACATATATGTGTACAAGAGCTATCGACGCAAACGATACGGCTATCACCAACGGCTGTTACGAACAAACAAGAGGCAGTTACTCAACCAGAGTATGTCTCTGCCGCAGCGTCCCGGGTGCCATCCCCTGTAACTCTGCAACTATGCCTTATTTATTCCCAGTGTTATCTCTTATAACGATTATAATTTTGTTAATGTACTAACTCAGACCAATAAAAAAGTCTTTTATTGGTCTGAGTGTACTAACCATAAAAATATTTAATTTAGAAAAAAATGTAAGTATCGGTATTATTTATAATAAATATAATATTTTCCATATTAAAGTAATTCGTTTTAATTGATCATAGTTTCGGAATTTATGTTATGTATGTATAAATATTTTGAAAGTAGGGTGAGAAGCTAGAGCCTAAAAGTTTTTGATGAAAATTCGACGTAATTTTTCGCTCTGATATGTTATACTCTGACGTCAAATTCGGTCTGACCAATGGCGTTGCGATTGAACTTCTTTGAATTTCCCACCTGTTTTTGCACTTTTTAATAATTATTTTCTTAATCAAAAAGAAATTACATTAAAGTTAATAAAAAATCATATTTCAGCTTTATTTAAATCATACACATTTTCTCTATTATTTTTAATCTTCCGTGACTCGTGATATACGCACGACGTTCAATAAAAAATACAATAATTTTATACTGAATCATTTTTTTAACTTAAATTTAAATTTTCAATATAAAATAGATTTCTGAAATTTTTAACGGTTTTTTTTTACATAAAGCGATATAAACATTAACTATATACAAAAAATATTTTAAGCTTTCGATGGCACATTTCTTTTTTCCGTGGAACGGAACGGTACTGCTCATGGAAAATAAAACTAGATCTTCTTCCTTTTGAATACTGCTTATATTTGTATGGTCGCCAATTGGGACATGTACACGAAGATTGAATGACGTGTCTCAAATGTCACTACTTAGATTGTCAACGCCAACAGCAAGCGATTTAATTCTAAAGTCTAAACTAAAAGTTTAATACTTCCATTGAGGTGGAATTTTATATCCACCGCTTATAATAAGTTTTCCAAAATGTATTCTGTTTTAACAAGAGTAAATGCTATACTGACTTACACTCTGAGTGTTCTAGCATGTTTAACATTTTTGTGTTTTCTTTCCACATTAACTGTGGATTATAGAACTACAGCTCAAATGAATACTGTAAAAGTCGTTGTGTAAGTAAAAACAAATATCTCAGTCATTATAAACACAATTAGTATTTGTTTATAGTATCACTTATAATAAACGTATATTTTGTACATTTCTTGCTTTTCTTACTCGTAGTTGTGTCAACCTAAAGTTTTAGCCGAAAATAAATGGTATAGTTAAAATAATCTCTATATTTTAATTCACAATTACAGTTATCAAAATTCTTATTTGTTGTTTTGGCAGGAAAAATGTTCCAGATTATGGAGCTTCCAGGGAAAGAAATGATCTCGGATACTTAACATTTGATCTCAAAACAGATTTGTCTAACCTCTTCAACTGGAATGTTAAGCAGTTATTCCTCTATCTCACAGCCGAATATGTCACACCAAACAATGAATTAAATCAAGTTGTTTTATGGGACAAAATAATATTGAGGGGAGAGAATGCTATACTAGACTTTAAGAATATGAACACAAAATACTACTTCTGGGATGATGGAAATGGTTTGAAGTAAGTGTAATCTTTAAACACCTTTTTTATATACCTTCATAAATAACTTAACTCAATTTCCATTTTTTGCCTCAAATACATGCTTATTTTATTATGATATCCCATATGCATATAACTAAATAGAAATATTCATTCATGATTGATTGATATGACCATGTCATCATTGTACTACATAATATTTTTTCTTAAAAATCGTTAATATCACTTTTATTGTACAGTTGCATCTAAAATATTTTTATTGTTTAAAAAAAGTTAAATATTCCAGACCAAATTTCTATAAAAAATGACTGTTAGTTAGAACCCTGTATAGTTCATTTATTATATGATTATTTTTGTATTAGTGTTCTCATAATGAATAATATATAGGAGAAATTAACTTATTACATATATAATTATTGGAGACTTACTACCCTCGTTTTATTTTACATGTTACTCCAGGTAAAAATCTATCTGTATACTAAGTTTTATCCAAAACAATCCAGTCATTGCAGTGAGGTATACCAAATATTCCACACTACAATTTGAACTTACATTTATTCAATTGACTTTTCTTGTTAATGGCTCCAAAGCATGCTAGTTGAGCACAGATTACTTCACCAACATCATGTAGATTGGAGAAGACACCAAGGAGATTGGTGATGAGATCATTAAGTTTACATTTATAATACTCCAATATTCAAATGTTAATATTACTTATTATTATATTTTTATTCATAATATATTTATTTCTTGCAGAGGTCACAACAATGTCACATTAACCCTGTCATGGAACATAATTCCCAATGCAGGTCTACTTCCTAACATCCAAGCTCTTGGCCAGCATTCATTCAAGTTCCCTGTTGAGTATACTCAAAGCAGGGTATGATTGGGAAATAAAGTTGTGTAGGTGAACTTGTGAATGTGTTATTTGATAAGAAAGAATATACAATTTATTTAAATCTTGACTTTTAATTCATATTTTGTTTTATATATACTTACTTTAAAATATTTTTTTTTATACTAACTTAATGCTTCTACAAAATGCAACTATTATTTATTTGTACTATAGAATTTAGTGTGTATTATATAGTACTTAACTGTAATTGTACAAGATTTGGGTTGATATTTATTTATTATAAAAGTTTATTAATCAGTAAAAGGTCAAGGTGATACAAACTCCATGATTTTTATAGTATTGTATATTTGTGAATTAAAATTTTAAGATACATTAATCTTAAATTTAGGACTACATTTTGCTACAACTGGATACTAATTTATGTACCTTCTATAATTTTCAATATATCTAAAAGTTTTTTTTTTTTTTAATTTCTATTCACCAAAGAGATTTACTTATTGAACATCAGTGTCTTTTGTGGTCTATGGGCATTCATAAATTAAATTGACTTCTAAATAACTAATTATTGTATTCTTTTATTTCATCGCTATAGCAACACTAAAACCAAGGTTTGACCGCGGCAACGCTACACAATTTAATATCTAACTTTATAAATTTTGAAAAGTATATTGTAAAAATTGTCTATACTAATTTAATCTACTCTTAGCATCTTTAAGTAGGTACATTCTATAAACCCATACAAGTATAACTTTATCTAAATTATTATTTCTACACCATTTCATATACAAGACCTCGCATAGCAAAATATTGAGGTAAAAATCCATTTATGATTGTTATTAACAATATGCAACTACATATCCACTATGCTTGTGAACTTGCAGCATCCATATATGCATATATGCAGCATCTATAATGGTTTCCACAAACTCGAATTATTTAATGTCGTTAAGTGTTTCCACAAACTCGAATTATTTAATGTTGTTAAGTAATAAGTGTTCTATACTATATTGAATACCATTTCTAGAGGAAAATTAAATTTTCATCCAACTTTGATAAGTGCTAATAAGATTACAACGTATCTACTACGTATGATAACGTCTCAGAAAAAATATAGATGAAGCAATAGAGAACAAAGTAGTTGAAAAAAATAAAGTGGTATCATTATTATCGTTATCCCTAAGCAATGGCCGCAGTATTTGCTACAAGTTATGAGAATCAAATTAAACAAATGAAGTATGCGGGCTTTTGTTCTTAAACTCATCAGAAAGATATGATAAGATAGTTTAAACGCAATTAGTTAATAATTTCTTTCCAACATTAAACGTTTCGTTTATTGTTCTATTGCCTCCATTTATCATATTATTTTAGTTCAAACATGGCATCTACAAGAGAATGTTACGTTTTATTATTATACATTTTAGTATTTCGAATCAAAAATGTATCCAAAGAGCTTGAACTGATACAAGTTTGCAAGCATAATGGATATGCGGTTCTACCATCGTTATTTTGTCCCTATATAATTATTATCTATGATAGGTACTGCTTTACAGTGCTTACATAATATAAACTAAAGCCATGAACGATTGTTATATAAAAAGTTTGTAAAGAAAAACCAACACGAATCATCTAAAATTTCAAATTTAATTAAAGAAAGAGTAAACAATGTGACAAAATATTATACCCTCAATATATTTCACATTTCACAGAGCTTCGACGAGAAGTTTTATGGTACTTTGCAACTATAATGCTAATACTTAGTTAGGTACATCGTTTCAAAACATTCAAACAGTACTTAAGTCTATACAAGAGTTAACAGATAGACATCAGATCATACGATTTGGAATAGAAAAAATATTAAATACATAAAGGGCTACATTTACTAAATCAAGTCAACATTATATACGAATCCTTTTTTCATTATTTTGACAATATGGCCCCCAATGGTCGTACGGTGTTATGTTATCCTGCACTTTTCTATCGCTCCTCATATTAGCTGTAGTATTTTACAATAAATTCAGCTAATACTTGGAAATTTAAAATTAAAACATAACTTTTAATAATACTTTTTTAGATTGATGGGTATATGGGACATTTTTATTTTTGTTTTTGCTCTTTTATTTCTGACGTTTCGAATGCTTTAATTTTATTGATTAATTTTTGTGGGTAGACAGTAAACACCGTCCGTAATAACCACACGACAAAGTATCTCTACAGAGGTAATGCTTGATACTTCTATGGGACATTGGCGAAGTAAACGGTGCCCAAACGGCACACCTAAAGGTCATTGAACGTAAAAGAATTGAATAAAATGCTTTATACAATCGCACATCGATATTTATACTTGTAATATACCTATCGTTGCCCAGTTGTACCATACTACATAAAAAACGGTGTGTCACAGCTCGCAGCAGCATCGAATTAACATAAGCGTGCGTACGCCGGTTGACAAAAACCAGTTAATTTTGGCTCGAACAGTTGACAATGTCGGGCCGAGCGCTTTACACTGAAAAGAAAACCCACACACCGCCATCTATGCAGTAATGTACCTTCGCTGCACGGCTGTATGAAGTTTTATCTCCATATAGGTAGTGTCTCCAGTTTATTGTAAAGCATTCGAGACGAAACAAAAATATAACAAATTCTCCAACGAATAGTGTTATTTAAAATGTATCTGTAAAATATCTTTCGACCTTAAAATGTATAAACCGATGTCTATTTCATATCTAATATTATAATATGATATAATTATTTCAATTTTTTTTCTCTACAGTGGACCACGGAATAAGAATTACATTATTGCTCTTGATATAATGAACATGCTTGCGCTAAATTACGATTGATTTCGAAAATTATAATAACACTAAATTATCTATATTTTTATTTGTGCTAAATTTTAATCTAAGGCCTATATACTGGATTGTGTAACACGAAAACGGGTAACATTAAAAAGTAACATAATACAATAATTTTATGTAACAAACACGATATCACGGATATTGTAACTTGGTAATGGCAAATAACTTAATTCGTGCAAATTATTATTTAATTGAAAAAATTAAAATACGATGATGTCGTTCTTCAATGTGAAAAAATTAGTATTTATAACCTACAGAGTTTCCCCACAGAGACAAATCTTCATACAACACTACGTGTCGGGGCGCCGGGGCGGTGTGCGTGACAACTCACCGGCGGGTTCACGTACACGTGTTACGTGAGCTGTTGACAAAACCGTTTTTCAGGTTTGAACCGTTGACAATCACAGGTCGAAAGAAAACGCAAACACCGCTGCCGTATATAATAATGTACCTATGTTGTATAAAGTCTCTGTAAGGACACTTACTCAAATCGGCCAACATCTTTAAAAAAATCGCGTTGTTGGGAAACTGTAGTTATTCCTTGCGCCTCTTTGGTACACAAAACGTACCAAAAAAAATTGCTCAATCAAAGTAAACTTAAGTTGTTTGCCAATCGTTTAGGATCCAAGATGGCGACGTTTTTAAGTTATGACCCAAAGTTTAGAATCTACCGCCACCATGGATAAATTATCGAATAGTGCCATAAAAAAGGATGCACAAATATTATAGACAAAAATATAATAGTCAAAAAATAAGAAATATATCAAGTACCTTCATGATTAACTGAAAACTCACATGACAAACAAATCATGGTTTACGTAGCAATTTTAATATTGTAAAATCTAAAAAACATCATTGGGTGAACATTTTGGTGAAATAAATTAGGTAAAATCAATGTAAAACAAATTCTCATTTTCGTTTTACTCTTTTTAAATCTTAAAAATGAGATTTGATAGGTATAAAATTTTAAAATACTTTTCTTTCTTTTTTGAATGCCTCGTAACTAGTATGAGAACATTGTTTGACACACAAATTTACATTTAATTTTGTAAAAACATGTTTCAATAATAATTATAATGCATGTAGATAGTTCAATCTATTTTGTATAAATATCAATTATAACAAGAGTTCTTTTAAAATTTCATTTTCATTAGAAGCAAATATTAAATTGGCGGTACAATAATAATTCTCGTTCTACTGTGGCTTTTACCTTTAACATACCTATCACGAGACTGGCAGTTACATATCTGCAATTACAATAAATAATAAACAATTATCAATAACAAGTAATTAGTTTTTTTTGTTCTTTAAATATAATAAAATACTAAGACATTTGACACAGGTTCATTGAAATTTAATGTGCGCGCCAAAGCCTGAAGGACGGTTAATTTACTTATTAACAGTATAATTACAACGTCCTTTAATAATATGCCTATATATGGAGAGTAGACATATGGAGTACTATCTCTGCGATGAAAGTGTCCGTCAAAACGCGTCCAATAAGGTGGCGCTGCGGTAGCGTACGATTTATTTTAAAGGACGCGCCAAAAGTAATTAAAGTAAAATATAGAAATAAACATAGAATGGCTATATTTAATACATTGTTTTAGACTACGTATTTACGTATTATTGTACGTATTGAGATTTGGTATTTCATTAACTTAAGTCATGAAATATTTTAAATTTTTGAACTTGGCACACTTCAATCTACAACAGTTAAATTCATATCGTAGTTTTCTGTACGCCAGCGCCACCTATTTTCAGCATACAGATGAACACTTTTTCGACTTGTCTCCCATATAAGAGACTCCTTACCTCTGGAAGTCTACCTTCCATAGCCTATATCTATGAAACAGTCCATAGTATATTGCTTGCATGCTCTAGCGCGATTAACAATCACGAAATCTACAAAAACTCTACCGTTAACTACATTATTATCTAACATCCAAAGCATTTTCGCATGAAAAAATATTTCATATTAATATATCGCACTACATTTCTTTAATCGAGGAAAATTTTAATGATATCGTTCATCATTATAGTACAAATGACTCACATTTGATCTAATCGTCTTGAAGATTCATACTTTAAAAAGAACATAAAAGTCGTGATTTACCCCAATTTCGATTTTTTATGAGTACAATTAAATTATATGTACTGAAATATTTGAAACAATTTTGAAATCATTTTGCAATAGATGATTAAACTTTAAGAATTTAAAAGATATGCACTTACAAATTAATTTTTAATATTTAAAAAAGTCAATCAATGTAATGTTAAAATTAATGTTAATAAAAAGGTGGCTTTTTAATGAAAAAAAAAATGTTTTAGATTTGACACATTACTTTTTACATGGCAGTAGGTTTTTTTTATAAAGCCTTAAAATTTAATGACAATAATATTTTTTTAATTCACCAAAGAAGCTTATGATAAAAACATACGACCCTTTTGCGCATACCGTATCAATCATACATATTGAGTATTAATAAATTGAATATTTAATAGCAATTATATGATAAAATTGTAATCTTTGCATATTTAAATAACAACTAAAATATGTTTTCATTGTACACTCAAAAGCAATATTTCTTCATTTCCAATCGAACATCATCGCAAATCACATCTTTAACACATAAACTCATTTAAGTTTTAGTCCAAAGATAACATCTAAAACAAATCTGGATTGTACGCTTTATGTAACAGGCACATTATAATTTAAAGAACTAGCATAACATGTTACATAAATGAAATTGAAAATTAATTATTATAATTTCAAAACTTGCACACATTATAACCAATCGTCTCAAGATGCAATATAATACAAGAAATTTAAAAAACGAAATTATATCCAAAATATTAAAGTAAAGTATATAAGGCCTCATTTCGACCCAGAATAATGAAAAAATTATATCTTATGATTTGATCTTTTCGTTACATATTCTGCAACTAGACTGTGTGACTGATAAGAAAATATATATAAAAGAAAAAAAAACTACAATTAATGCTACTTGCAGGATGCCAAAATTTGGTCTAACTGGGATTTTTGTTCAAAATGAGACATTTTGAGTTATATTTCAACTTTTTTAATATAGAGTGCAGAAAACATTGAAATTTTTAAATATATTGTGTGGTAACATAACAACATTAACATATAATTTAAAAAAAGTGCTTCTTATAAGCACTCTTTATAAAAAGTTTAAATGTTACTGAAAATGTCTCATTTTGAACAAAAATCCCAGTTAGACCAAATGGCGTCTCGCAAGTAATTGTAGTTTTTTCCTCTCATAAATATATATCGTCTTATCAGGCACACAATCTACTATCAGAATATGTGAAGAAAAGATCAAATTCTACGACATAACTTTTTTCGTCATTCTGGAGCGGAAGGAAATGAGGCCTTATCGATAACCTTACAGTAATAGAAGCAATTTCATCATAAGAAGCAATGAACGATATTTAACGATAAACATATTACTGAATTTTAACCATTCAATAGTCATTCATTATTATAAGCCACTGCACTATACCGCAGTATATTTCACTATATTCTGTTACAATAACCAACATCAATTACAACCAATAGAGAAACAGATATATGGCAATAGATCTATATTTAAATACACATAATATATTCATTGTAATTTTGTTACATTCCTTACTTGAAATATGAAAGATACACGCTGTCAAAAGACTCCAAATCCAAAATCTGTGTTGAATGATGTATACTGGAACGGTGGCATTTGTGTCCCGCACACAAGATAGTAAAACAATAATCACACTGTTAAAATGACACATGTACACAGATAGTTAGAAACAGTCCACATGTGAGAGTGAGAGGGTAGAGGGCTCAGAGAGGGCGCTGGTTGGCCGGATGACGTCACGCGCCTGACAGAGGCGGCCCGTCCGTCTGCACATCCTTGTCCTCCATCGGGGGCCCGTACGACTTGTCCGAGCCATACCTCCTTGACAGATTCAACATCTCCCTGAGACCCTGTAAACATTTACGTATTTGTATCGTTTCTGTAATATAACTTTTGCTGTTCATTGAATGATTATGTACTATTTTAAATGCAAAAGTTTGTATGTGTTAAATGTAATGTTTGTTCCCTTTTACTCAGAAACAACTGGACAGTACTGTTAACTAAACATCCATATACCTGGAATAACATATAGGCTACTGTCATATTTATGTTATTCCAGGCCATATGCCTGTGACATATAGGGCTGCATCCAAGCGAAGCAAGGGTTAAGTTACTAATGTATAATAAAATGATGACTTAATAATATAGTACATATAAAAATAAGGGGCGTGGCTACATTGATTTCCTAACATACATTATAGCAGTTGAAGAAATTAAACACTTTAATAAAAGTTAACAATTACCTAATACCTTTTGTAAAGTTTAAAATAAGTGATTCATAAAATCAATTAATAAATCAATAAACAATACTAAAGTTACAGTTTACAAATATATATTAACCTTATTTTCAGTAATAAGCCTTTGGTAAAGTTCTTCCTCTTTCCTGGTTTCCCCATTTTCATCCATATTGACTGCTTTGTACATTATGCTTGTCATTTCATTAATCCTTTCTGCCTGTTGGCGAATCAACTGAAAAAGATAAAATTTAAAATGCATATTTTGTGGAATGCAATGTTGAATAATTTATTTGCAAGCTGCAAGTACATGCAATTATCTATACAGATAAATAAAATTAAAGTGTCTCTAATATCAAAATAACAGCTTCTTACTAAATAATGTGAAATAATATATGGTACTTATAATAAAAACACAATTTTTAAAAAAAATTGTCCGCCTGTGTGTTAGTTCCAACTAATATACAAAACGCCTGGACTGATTTTGACAGGACGTTCAGTGACAGATAGCTGAGGTTATATGGAGGAAGTTAGGCTATTTTAATTTTAGAAAAAAAATTAAAGTTCCCATTCTGCTAAAAAAAATAAAACATATCTAGCAAGTGAGCGAAGCGAGGGTAAGTTGCTAGCCAAATGTCCTTATTATGCCTCAGCATACCAAATTGTTATTCAATTATTAATTAAATCCTTATTAATAATTAATTAGGTAAGAATTAAATAATTATTTAAAACTAAAATCATGACATGATAACTACATTTCCATATATTTAATAATATTTCAATAAAATAGTATTGTTAAAAAACCTTGCTCTGAACAATATTTTTATTCAGTCAAGAGTTGAGTACACTTCAATTAGATGTCACAGTAGTTATTTTATATTAACTTAGAACAACTTTACAAAATAAATATAACAATAACTTTTCAAGCAAAGTTATAAGTGCTAAAATTGAAAGTTTGTATGAATTATAATGTTGCATTGCAATTTGTCAACACATTCGGTCAGTGCCATTTAATTTCTGACAACGTTTATGATTTAATAATTATTATACACATCAAACCGAAATATACTTCAATCAAAAAAGTTATAGAAGCTCTTTAGAGTTTTCAATTTTACATTTAAATTACACATCAATATTCTAAGTCCATGAGGAAGCTACAACTTGGCTTCCAAGTCATTTTTGCCGACTTGAACTGCTACTTGTTTGGTATAAAGATATCAATAATTATTAAAAGAATAATAAGTTAAAGTTTGAGAGTATCTTGCCAAAAATCTTGCTGTAGATTGCAAATGGAAAACAAAAAAAAAAGAAAAGTATTCTATCGAATTGTTTGTAATTATTTGACTACATATTTGCAAAAATATATATTTTTTTAAAATCTAAATTATTACATCTTGGATTTTTCAAAAACATATACATTGGTAGTTGAATATTCTAAAGTTTGATTAGTACATATAATGTTGTCTTGCTTTTAGCTATTCTATTTTTGGAAAAAGGAGATAAATATAAATATTTTTTTAGAAATCAACTTTTTATTTTAATACCACTCCATCCTTTAATAAAAAAAAGTAATTATACTTTAACTTATTTGATTTACTTAGAATTAGTAGAATACTAAGTTAATCACAGAAAGTTTCCAATTCAACCAATGACCATTAGATATTGTTAACATAATTAATAACTATTCTTGTTTTTGTTTTTTATGTTTGTATTGTTGTTTAATATTTAAAAGAAGAAAAGTTTAGTTTAGGGAACTATTTTCAATAAACACATTAAAAATTGATTGATGTTCTCCAAGCCGATTCTGGCTACAGCGGCCAATCTCATTGAGATTAGCCAACTGCGCAGGAGATATTATAGTGCTCAAGTGTACGCGAGACACAAGTGCACTCTCTATTCCTATCACTCTCATACTCCGGTGGGATGACCACTCGACACAACCGGTGAGAGTTAAGGCGCAGGACCGACGGCTTTACGTGCTCTCCGAGGCACGGGGGCGAAACACCGCCAACTTCCCAACTCCGGGCTGTTACTGAGACTTACTATACAGAAAGACTCAATAACTAAACTTGGCCCGGCCCGGGACTCGAACCCAGGACCTCCGGGTGTGCAACCGTACATGCTAGGCACTACACCACTGAGGCAGTTAAAAATTAATTAAGCTGCATAAGATAATAAAATCAAACAATTATTTGTAAATTACTTCTTATACAGAAAAAAAAAGAACAATGAATTTAAAGTCTTCAAACAAACCTCTTGTTGCTTTTCATTGATGGCTGCAGTAAAATCTATCCGTGACTCCCATACTCTCTTTTCAGTATGTTGTCGGTATTTCGACATGATGAACTCCAGTGCTTGTCTGTGATCTTCCAAAGCAGCCCTAAGCTCTCCATTTTCTCTCTGAACATCCCTCATTAAACGAGATTCTCGCTCCATGCTTGCTATAAGTTCCCCCCTTGGTCTCTCTCGAGATGCTTCATTAAGTGTATCCACCTCTTCTTTGTACTAAAATAATAATTCTCAACATTTACACATAATGAAACTGATATAATTTTTAACACTATTTTTTATAATATTTAATTTATACAATTACGTACACCTTTACATTTTTATATTCATTGTTGCAAAACATATGTACTTACAGTAAGAACTGGACATAATTATTTAGAAGATACTATGTGTAACTTACCTGTTTAATAGTGTAAATTTGTCGGTAAGCTGTTTGAGTTTCTGTCAATAATGCATCTGCTTCTGTCTCACGTTCTTTGAGACGACCAGCTAATCTTTTAGCATCCAAAATGATTTGTTGTATGGTCAGTGACATCTGAAAAGACCAACAATCTACAAAATGTTCGATTGAATGTATACATTTTGTAAAATAATTACACGGCACAGACCCTGAATTCCACACAATATAGTGACACAAGTAACGTATCATCTAATAAGTTACAGAAGATGACCAGTAAAAACACAAATTATAATAAATTAATCCCAAACGACGCACATCAGCTGTTTCGTGATTAGTGTTCGGCAGCCATTAGCTTTCATTGGGAGCTGGCTATAATACTACCACATTTAGTTGGCCTTCGGCTAAAATCCGATAATCCGAAGAATACAATTTTAAAGCAAGCGTGAAGGAGAAGGAACACATTTACTACATCGATTCAATTTATCAAGGTAATATTTATGACATGACCTTGATAGCATTCACAAAGATTACAAATAAGTGAATGTAATATTTTATATTCTGTTTTAAAGCATAGATAACATCAATATGAGATTATAGAATCGAAGGCGACCACGGGCCATTTAACTACACTTTCACTAACTTTTACTTACTAAAATTAAACAAAATGATTTTCTTCAATAAAATAATTATTTTAAAATACATTTTGGATTACATTCTGTTACAATAACTCAATAACATACATCTTTATGCTATAAAAGAACTTAAATAAAATAAAAACCGACTTCCGGCACCAAAAAGTAATAAACAGCTAAACGGGGTTTTTCATTCCTAATCAAATATTTTCGAAGTCGATGCCAATCGACAATGCTTAAAGATATGAATATCTAATAGGTAAATATTACAAGTTAATTAATCTTATTATAATTAAAATATTATACATCAATTTGTGATGTATTTATTTGTATCGAAATAGGTTTTGCTTTGCATCGGCTTACACGGTACACCGACTTTCAAAAATATCTAATGTAACTAAAAAACTACCTATATGTACAATGTACATGTCCAATTACAGCACTAAAGCGCATTATGCGGCATAATATTCCACTTTGCCAACTACATCAACGCTCCGCACAATCGAGCACTTTGAAAAGTTTGGCGTGACCAACCAACTAAATACAAATTAATAGAAAATATAAGAAGTGTTTTTTCGCGTTGCTCGTGTTTGTGCACCAAAGTACGGCATTACGCTCTGTAATTGTAAAACAGGGATATTCCCGGTTAAAATGATATTCAAAGTTACCATGGATTTTTCGTAACGTTGATATTTTCGTTTAAAGATTACTTTGTTAATTTTAGTTTTTAAAGTTTTCTTCTGTGGTATATTTTAATTCTTAAATTACAAATTATATTTTTTTTTGCATTTCGCGCCTGTGATAAAGCGACTCGACTCATTAATACCTTCAATGACAAACATTAAAGAGATGCTACGCATCCTTCAATGTAGTGTGGTCTTGTAAGTTGTAAGTGCTATGACAATTTTGTTAACTTAAAATCTTTCTGGAGAAACATATATTAAAAGTGCAAAAAAAATTTTTTTCTTTCGAATTTGTTTATTGGCGTCTGTCAAGCTAGCCGGGCGCGAAGCCAAGAAATACACTGGGAGGCAGCCTACCTCAGACCTCAGAGGGCTGACAACCTCAACCTTAGGGAGGTTTGGCATGCGGGTTGCTCCATATACATTTTAGATAACAGAGTAGATCATTGGAGCAACCCCATGATTGTTGTTGTCTGCCTTGGCAGATTTGTCGTTCGAGTATCGTGGTTGAGTTCATAAGCTGTTCTGCGATGCCCCATTGGACGAGGGAGGTTCCGGTGGGTTTTAGTGAGTACTGGCTTTTCTAGCCGGTGAGTCCCACATAACTATGAATACTGTTTGTATGCAGGTGGTATGCGTAAACGTAATTTCCCAACTTAAAAAAATATGTACCAAAGGAGTATAGAACCTTGTGACTAAAAATAATATATGAACTAAAAATATGTATACCTATGTATATGCAAACGGTCAGCCATAACGTTTGGATTATTTTGAGAAATAAGACACTGTAAGTAGAAATAGTTAGGTATCTATTTATTCAGTACCTACTTAGGTCCTGCGCTCATTATAACTTAGTCGTAACATTTTAATTTAAAATCAAATGCTATGGAGCTAATGTGTGAGAAATTGCTCATATACTCGCTACGCGACAAATTGTTGTTGTGACTGGGGACAATTTTGCTTGGCTAATGGGGTTTTTTAAGGAAGTCTCACTGTTCACTAGGCAACTATTTCTCAGTTGTCAACAACGCTGCCAATTGGCGGGTAAATTACCCGAAAAGCGGGTAATTTTAGGCGATTTACGATGGCGGGTATTTGCATTGAACGGGGTCAAAGCAGGTATTTTAGTTTAGCTGATTAATTTGATATTTTAAGTTTTTTTTGCTGTAAGCTGTTTACTTGAGAACTGATTACAATGACTTCTTTTTCTAACATTAGTACTTTCTTTTATTCTGTATAAAACATGAATAAATTACTTAAAAAAAACTATTTTCGGATATTCTGCTCGTGGTTGGCGCCGGCGGGATACAATTTTTTAAATAATAATGCTATATTCAAAATGAATCCTGTTTCAGCCAGAACTGTCACTGTCATAAAATAAAATACAAAATATTGTGCAGGCTAATTATTAATTATAAAATTATGTTTTAAATTAATAAATGTTAAACATTATTTTTAATAATAATCATTATACTTAATTTAATAAGCCATTATACATTCATCCTATTGTACTCTCATTTACTCGCATATACAAGCACACACGTACACACATTAATATACACATACATTCGTTCACACGCAACACATACGCACACACACACACATACGCGCACACACACTTTTTATTTTTAAAATTCTTATTGCTTTTTGTTTTCATTACGTTTTTTTTCCGACTCCTGTAGAGGTTAACTGGAGGAATAGTCCTCTTGCCTTGCTCCCGCTCGACACCCTAGGGAGCTGGGTGTAACTGAAAATCAGCGCTGCTTGAGATTTCGGTCCTAGCAGTAATAGCTGAGTTATTACCCTTTGCCTTATGTTACTTTAAGCTTTACTGATTCTGTTAACTTTTTTTACTCTTTTTTATGGCAATACATACTTTTTTATTTATTTATTTACTTATTTAAAGTAAGAGATATAATTAAAATAATAACAACACAAACGGATGTTGCAAGAAGTATATTGTTATTCATTATTTTATTTACATTTTAATAAAATAGGAATATTATAACTAAATCGGACCTGTCACAAATCAAATTAATTAAATACGCTATTCTAAAACATTTGTAGATAGGTAAGTATACGTAGTTAATAGTAATACAATATTTATAACCAAACACTAAGTACTAAACAATATTTATATCAAAATTTGTGCTTTGTTAAAAAATCTTTGATGAGTTTGTTCACTTTTACTGGCTCTTGTTGTTGCATGAAATGTCCAGCACCTTCAAGAATTACAGTTTCAATATTAACATATTCTTCCTTCATTACATCCAAAATAGAACGGCTTAAGTATTTCTCATTTTCGCCATGCGCAAATAAGAATGGAATATTTTCATCATGTTTTTGTTCTGTCCACGAATACATAAAGTTTGCACGATAATAATTCACCGGTGGTGTTAAGCCAGCTGAAATTCAATAAATGTATGTAGATCAAAACATCGTCCGCGGTAGATATAGCTCTATATATTAGAGTACATATAAGTACTAAACTTAACTGAACATTAAATATTCTTGGCCCATTCAAATGAAGTGTAGATAAGCTTTACAATAATAATAAAACAATTATATATCAATGAATCGTATTAAACGAACAGTTAATAGTTATTGTGAAATAATTTCCTTTATAAATAGATAGCAAGTTTACACAGATGACTAGCCATTGGCCCAAAGACGCAACCCGTCAGTTTGGTAAGTTTAACATAAATTCATATCGTTTCAAGCAGATCTTCGGAATATATTGCTAGCGACACATAACAGTAAAAAGTCTAAAAATCTAGCCTCTGTATCTACAATACAGACTATTCCTATAAGATTTTCCAAAAAAATATTTAATGTACAGATTCGACTCATTTAGAATTTTATTATATGTATAGATACTATTACTAGTACAGACGCCCCATTCCATATAAAGATATTTGACAGGGCTAATTCGGATTATTCTTTGGACTATTTTGTTTAGTTGAATACCTATTTAATATTATGTTGTATGAGTAAAATACTTACTTTGTTTACCAAACCAATATTTATAGCACTCAATGTCTTCATCACTAACTTTGCCGGCATTTTTTTCAAGGGCAATTTCTAAAAATTCTAAATCATTCATCTGTAACATCAACTCTGGTAATTTTGGAAATCGGAAAAAAAATGTGTACCTGGAACAATATGTAATTACTCTTTACACAAACGAATTCTTTATACAATTAATGATAAAGTTTAGAAACGAAAAAAAAGGGGCAAAAATATGTAATTATCATTTAAGATTTTATGATTTTATCAGAAAACTAATCTCATAGCTTTTAGGGTTCCGTAAAACAATGGCAGAAACGGAATCCACACAATATTGTTTAACCACTAACAAATAAGTACGACTCTTGTCTCGAAGTCCGGGTACTATACGTAAATTTAGTTGTCTCGGGTCCCGCGACTTTCAGGTCGAAACTCGAGACACTACTGAGTGAGACTGCACTTACTGCGTTTGCGAAAGAATTGTATTGCAGACTTTTTGAAAATATCTCTCGTATCCAAACGCCATAATTGGAAATCCCTGTTGAAAAACTCCAATAGAATCCCATCAAAAGCGACAAAAGCCACATAGAAACCAATAAATATGTATTGGTTTCTATGTGGCTTTTGTCGCTTTTGATGGGATCCTATTGGAGTTTTTAAATAGAGATAATGGACGCAGAACCTAGCACCAGTAAGGCTCGACTACTGTACACAACGAACCCGACGAGTCGTTCAAAGTCAAATGAAACAGGCAATAAAAAAATCTCAGAAAATATACCTGAAATTCTAGCAAAAAAATCAAGGTCAACATTTTTAGATTGCTTTATAATTTATAAGATTTTACTGCCAAAAACTGAATTATTTGTGATTATAAAAATAAAATATACAATTTGTTTAGACTTTAGACTCTTAGATTATTTATATGTCTTAATAATCTAAGTTTAGACTATAAGTAAATAACGATGTTAGATTTTGAATTTGAATATGTTCAATACATGTTGATTTTTACTAAAATAGCTTTATTTATTGGCACATCTCACCAAAAATTAATCTGATTTTATTTTGAGAAGTTTGAAGTCCCCCCGGGACCTTGGGCGTGGATGGCCTCGTGACCCGGGACCTACCTACTACGATAATATGATTTATTAAGATCAAACTTCAAAATATAAACAAAAGGTAGGTACTTACCAAGATTTTATTCTTTGTTCACTCGTAGACCATATTTGACGACACCAAACATTTGGAGAAGCACTTGACAATACAACGAGAGCATGCAGTACATCGGGATATGTATCACGTAGTTTACAAGCAATCACACCGCCCCAGTCGTGTGAAACAAGGATACACTTCTCATAACCTTAAAAAATAATAAATTCATGCCTTGTAATATTTATTTGTATAATAATTAAATACAACTGGCGCTATGAGTTGTACTAGACTAGCATTTGCCACTAGTCACTACGTCTTTATATGCAAGTTCGAGCGAACGTTTGTACCTACTGAACATAGAAATATTTTTCCCAATCTGCCAAAATTCTATCGAGAGTCACAATCGTCTAATGTAATATCTCAATATAGGAGGAAAGAGGAGATGTAACTACCTTTCCAGAGAGGTACTCTTGAAAAGTAGTAGCTCCCTAAAGATAAACAAATATTTAACACATCGTAGATACTAGCTCTCGCTTCGCTCGCTTGTGTTCTTCGAAGACAAACGGTATTACCGATATGTTTCACGGTCATATTCTATGTACTAAACAGGGTTCGAAACGATAATTATCATTGATAATTATCATGATAAATATGGGTTGATAAATATAATTGAAAATATTTGATTTGTAACTCTTCAAATTGTCGATCAGCAAACTGAACTCTCTCAATCAGTTCAAAAAACTCAATCAACAAACTGAGTTAATGCATTTGAGGAGGATGAGGATGATATTCCAATCATTAAGGAGTCTGCCTACTACACCGTCTCATACCATGACCGTACTATGAACTTATCAGGCACGGAAACAAGCGACACGGACTAATAGTAGTCTTTGGTCGGTGACGAAACGGTCCAGTGGGCATAGTCTCATATTTTTCAATACAAAGAATATTTTTTTGCCTGACTGGCACTGTCATGGTATGAGACGGTGTAGTGGGCAGAGACCTTTAATTTAATTAAATAGTGTTCTTTAATTTAATTAAAAAGTTTGTATATAATGTTAAAATAATAAAAAAATAATAATAATAAAAGATTACCTTGATTGTTAAGTGTATAATTTATTCTAACGTAAATTATGATAGGCAAATAGTGAAATACCAATACCTGTTTTTTTTTTAACGTTGGGAAATGCATTTACGCACGAGGTGTGGGACTCACCGGCACAGCCAGTACTACCCACTAAAACCCAACAAAGCCTTCCCCCGTCTTAATGGGGCGTCGCAGGATCGCTTACGCATTCAACTACGACGCCCCGACGGCAGGTCTGCCAAAGCAGATCACAACAACCACGGGGTTGCTCCATGGTCCACTCTGCTATCAGAGAAGTACCAGGAGCAACCCGCATGGTACACCGCCCTCCGAAGAGGGCCACCTCCCACCGCCCACCGAAGTGGGCCACCTCCCTGTGCGTTTCTTGTCTTCGCACCCGGTTGGGTGGCCGGGCACTACTGAGCCCCCCCACCACGACAAGGTGAACGCACGTTGGGGGGGAAATACCAATACCTACACAAGGATTGCTAAGTTTATATCTGTTTGATAATTATCGGATAATAATCTGATAATTATCGCAATAATTATTAAAAGATATATTTATCTTGATAATTTCATACCCTGGTACTAAATAATCCAAATCCGTCCAACCATTTCAGCGCGAAGGTGATACATACTCATACACACATCTTTCAAATTTTTACATTGATGTAAGTACACTGTACATAATATATACCTAGTTAGAAACGCGTTATTCTAAATGCATTGTATTAGAGGGAAATTATGTAGAAATATAAAGTATTTTTGTTTCATTTTTGGGATTTTTTATTATTGATTCCAAAAACTTTTTGATTCACCCTAGTATATAGAAGTCTGATGATATTGCTCCCTAATATTTATTTTAGCCATTACATATTTCGATTTTTGTTAGTATAAGAATAATAAAATATATTATAGTTATACCCACGAATAAATAATAAGTATTTATTCGTAGAGTTATGCACATGAATGTGTCATGAATGTTTATATAAATATAAGATTATCTTGTACCTTGTTACTTGTAGGTAGGTAGGTATACTATTATGAATTTACTTGGTAAGTGCATAGCAATAACTACATTTATGCGAGTGTATCATATGAGATAGACATATAGGTATATTATTATTAGACTATTGCAGACTTATCTGTAGGCCTTTTTAGGACCTACAATTTTCTAGTATAATAAGTATTTCAATGTATCTTTTAAAGGTTTAGCCAACGTTAGCCAGTAAAATTAATAAACTTATGTATATAAATATAAAATATTAAATAATGAAACCTAATTGATGAATTAGATCTTTTATATCATCCACCAAAAGTTGAATCTTGTAATGTTGAACGCCTTCAGGTCTTTCAGAGTCTCCATAACCCCTCATGTCAACAGCTACACATCTGAAATAAGTATAGTTAATTAGAAAACTAATCATAGCATAAAACATCATATTATATCACAATATAGTATAAAACAAAGTCGCTTCCCGCTGTCTGTCTCTCCAAACATACTATATTAAAATTCCCAAAAATATACTTTTGGCAATCTGAAATATTAATCACGTATTTATTGAGTAATTTTCAATACTTGCAAATCGCCAGACGAATTTACCGGTTTTAAACCATTCCCAGACGTAAATAAAGTTTACAAATGAGTACTACAAAAAGTCTTATTCGTAGCCATACGTGCGAGAAAGATAACTTATCGAGGTATGCCAGCAGCTGCTGGGGGTCCAAGGTCCTCGCGCTGTGATTGTTTACCGATAAACCGTGCGTTTCGAGTATGGTTTGGGTTCTGCGTTCACAACAGAGTATTTTAGAGAATCAACCTAGGGACGAACCCGAGCGAGGGTGAGTCGCTAGTATAAAATATATGTATTAGAGCAAATAATTTTCTTTTGTTTGCCGACTCTGAAAATGTGAATAATAAAAAAATTACCGATATTCCTTATTAAATTCAACAATTTGATGACGCCATGCATACCAAAACTCGGGAAAACCGTGTATAAACAGCATCAACGGTTTTGATGGATCACCGCTTTCTACGTAGTGCAATTTTACAGACTGAAAAGAAGAAATTACAATTTGTAATAACAATTAAATATTTTTATAGTAATATTAACTATCCTAAATAAATTAATTATTAAATCAGTTTATTTATTGTATACCGTATAAGTAATAAGTATACAGTTACAGAGTGAGGTACTGAGTTCAAAGCCACTTTATTTGCATACACAAATACACTATATGTAATTTTTAATCTAATTGGTATTTGACCTGACAGCATATTACGTGCGAAAATAACGGATAATTATGGGGTTGTGTATAAAAACAATATTAAAAGTAGAAATTAGAAACGCTTAAACATTAAAATTAAAATAATAATTTCAGTACTGGCTAGATTAGTAGTTACCTAATTAGATAGTTAACTACAGATAGAAAGAGATCTGAGGTATTTAAGTATTTTACAACTATAGGTCTCAATCTGAATAACCTATAATTTATAAATAAATCTGCCTACTCATTTATTTGTCCTCCATGGACAGATTTTGACAGATTCGATTAAAAGGTTTTTTTTTAATTCTAAAACTAATTAATTCATTCAACGTTGATAAACATCTATATCTATACAAATATTAAAATTTTAATTGAGTCGCCTCTGTACATCAAATATTTGTTAGAAAATCTTGTTTAAATATGTAGTTATTATTATTAATTATTATCGATACAGAGGCCGAGTCTATAGTTTTTAGAACTTTTGTCTGTCTGGGGACGCATCACGAAAAAACCACCGGACAGGTTTTGATGAAATTTGGTATGATGTTGGCTGGTTACGTTTTATTGCGGGAAAATAATTAATCTCTGAGAAATCCATACTAACCGTCAAAACGTACCGCTATTATATATCTACAATTTATAGCAATAATAATAAAGTATTCTTATAGCAGTTTATCATTATTATTTACACGAAACTCGTCTGAGACTGAGAAAGTTTTCTAACACACATCACAATCATTGCAAAATAAATATTTATGTAAGAGAAAGAGAAATTTCTTTCTAAAAACTGGGGAAAAAAAACATTTCCAATCGTGTCTCAACATACAATTAAATTATATTTTCCTTTACGAATTTTAAAATGAGTAATTAAAGAACATATGATATTAATATTACCTAGTTATTTTATTCTATTGTTATTTTAACTAGACGCGTGTCGACTGTCGGTGCATCGGTTGTCGATTTTACGCATCGCATCATACGCATATCCATACTAATATTATAAATGTGAATTTGTGTTTGTTTGTTTGTCCGTCTTTCACGTCAAAACGGAGTGACTGATTGGCGTAATTTTTTTGTGTGGAGATACTTGGCTGGAGAGTGACTTAGGCTACTTTTTAGAGCGGGAGATTATTTAATTCCCACGGGAAAACACGTTATAATACAAACCAAAAAAAATATTTTTTATCAGAAATTTTTGAAACTTGATATTAGGTAATGCTCTTCAAGAAAATTAAATAAATACGTGTTTTAGCATTTTTCGAAATTCATCCTATAATGGGGTAAAATAGGGAGTGAAAGTTTGTATGAAACTACCCTTTTGGAGATTTTTTTTGTAGTTTTACACGAGCGAAGCCGCGGATTCTGCTAGTATTTTTATATAGCACTGACACAGGCAATACCTACGTAAGACGTTCCGCTTTCTGGAATAGAATTCTTCCGGAGAGTTATACATTAAGCCTGTCTTGTAATAATTGAAGCGTTTATTATGTGTACATTTTGAAAAGAATATAGTACGAAAATTTGAAAAAAGACGATGGGTTCTTCTTTATTTTCCTTATTTCAAGTAATTTTGCAAACATTCAAATCCAAACCTCTAGAATGATGATCTCTAAATGCTTAGACATTTTATGCAGGTGGCATTCGGCTGGAAACAGAACTCTTTCAGCTTACAAAATTGGATGGTGTATAGAAACTGTTGATAAAATACTTTATACCGCGTGTCCGTCTTGATTTGTTACTAGTTGCGGAAATACTAAATCGAAGTTACACCACTTGTAAGAAATAAGAATGTCCTATATACTATACCTATAGGTACTACCATAGTACATTATAATATATACATCTACTTTTTTCATTTAATTATGCGCTTTTCTGAGAATCTTTAACAATAGAAGCTGTTCCTGCGTATTATATTTTTATCATAATTAAAAAGAATGAACCATGTTTTTATCAATAATACAAAGTGCAAAAAATATATTTAAACTCTAATAAAAGTAATATAAACTTACATTTGCTTTAATATATTTATGTACTCCATACTTTGGATCAGAGAGGACTACTGGTGGTTCCAATTTAAGTCTTGTCGGCCATGGGTTCTTAAAGGGGTTTTTCAGGATGTTGAATATTATATGCAAACAACCGAACACGGCAGTCACTAAAGTAATTACGTTTGCCAAAACAAAACGATAACAAATTGTCACTAAACTCATGATATAGTGTTTTAATAAAAACTTTTAAAAAGAAACACCACACACGTTGAGTAAGACCTACGTCGGATAGTTTACTGCAGTTTACTGACTAAGTGTAAGTAGATAACAATAGTAGGTATAAGCGGGTAGCGTCTTTGTGAGATAAGCGTACACGCTACATACAAGTTTATAAATGAACTAGGAAATTACCCTTGCTTCGCTCGGATGCGTCCCTCAGTACGTTTTATTTTTTTGAGCAGAACCCTAATTTGTTTCCTAAAATAAAAGTAGCCTAAGTTACTCCTTATAACATCAGCTATCTGCCAGTGAAAGTCCCGTCAAAAGCAGTCCAGCCGTTTCGTAGATTAACCGCAACAAACAGACAGACAAAAATTTTAATAATTGTTGTTTTCTTATAAGTACCATAAACATATACTTTCATATGCATTTAGTAAAATTGCATAGAAGCGAGAGTGAGTCGCTAGTAAGGGATAAAATGAATGAATAGATATAACTATAAAATGAATGATCAATGAACCATCAGACTTAGAACTGTAAATTAAAACAGTCAGGTTTATTATGTACCTATACCACGGTACTGATATACATACAGTATTGCAACTCGGCCCTGTCCTTGAAATAATTACCTACAGCCGCACGGTACGTAACCACACGACAGGGCTGCCCGCCGGCCAATATTTTAAATTCATCTACCTAGTTGAGTTCCTTCTAGTTTTGTGATTTCAAATATTATCTTGTCTGTCGGTTTTCTACAGACTGTACCTCGGGGAGTGTGGCCACGAGCTCCACAGTCTCATACCGCCATCGCCATTCTTCTATCGGAACACCAGACGTATTGCAGGATACCATCCTTTCTTGGTTGACATTCCGACCACTCGCACTAAGCGCTATTCATCATCTTTTATAATGCGCACAGCCAAGAAGTGGAATGCCCCGCCCTCGTTTGTTTTTCCGAGTGCGTATAACCTGAATCTATTTAAGGTGCATGTTAACAGGCTTCTCCTGGGCAAACTCGCTAGATCGTAGTCCTCATCTGAGCCTTCGAACTAAGATGAACGGAAGTCGGGATCTTAAAAAAAGGCGGAGATGTAGTAGATAATATTTATTTTACTTTCACTAAATAATATTTCATTATAATTTTCATTACATAACTAACGACTCACCCTCGCTCCGCTCGGCTTCGTCCCTAGTTACCTTTTACCGTTTAGTATAGATTTCTCAGAGATGACACATTTTCCCGCAGTAAAAAGTATCCGATTCGGACTCTCTGTCGATAATAATGTCTATTTCAATTAGATTTTCTATAAAATATTTTATGTACAGATTCGACTTAGTTACAATTTGATTATATATACTAGCATTGCTCGCGGCTCCGCTCGCGTTCAGGTAACCAAAAACCAAATACTTAGGTTTTACATATTAGTATACTCTTACATTGCAGTTTTTGTATTATTTTTCTCAGAAATGAGACTTTTCCCGGGGTAAAAAGTATTCTATATGTTGACCCGGATAACCAGCTATCATCATACCAAATTTCATCAAAATCCCTCCAGTGATTTTTCTGTGATGCGGTAACATACATACAGACAGACAGACAAAAATTCTAAAAACTATTTCGACCTCTATATCGATAATAATGTTTATTTCAATAAGATTTTCCAAAAAATATTTAATGTACAGATTCGGCTTAATTACATATTTATTATAATATGTATAGATAGATTTATGTACTTATGTTATATCCATGGGTCATATTGTCATATATCTATAGTTAAATACAAACATATAACATAAATTACTAAATATTATATGTATAATGCATGACGACATAGTTATGTAATAGGTATAGCAGGTAATTGTAATTTGGCTATTATTATATATTTTTTATTGAGTAGGTAGGTACGTAACACTCCACAGGCATATTCTCCGTGCCTTTTTTTAAGCTCTTCTTTTTTGTCGTGATTATGAATGTAGGTAAAACAGTTACACTTTTGTTTCTGTTTAAGATTATGTTAGACAAAAAAACCCAAATCTATCCCACGGGAACCGTACATTTTTCCTCGATAAAAGTATGCCTAGTACAAGGAGCATATTTGCTATATTATATATAACCTATCTCTGTGCCGAATTTCACCCAGATCCGTTCAGCCGTTCTGGTATCATTGAGTAACAAACATCCAACCATCAAACTTTCGCATTTATTTAACTAGTAGTAAGATTATATTAATTTCGCTATTAGTATCAACATTGATAGTTATTATTTTGTAAAAAGCGGTGTATCCATTCGATTCTTTTATTATTTCCTAGAACCAACATTTAAGTTTTGTTGCAAAATTACTTAATGCTCAATTAAATTTTATGATTATTAAATTATTGCATAAAATTTTATAATTAGTAAATTATCTCTTTCATTAAATTTTGATATTCATTATCTAACGTAAATTAAATTTATTATTTTTTGCTTCAGACGTGTCTAGGATTAAACTTGGTAATCCTCATTTTATACCAATTTACAATAAGTATTATATTATGATCTGTGCTTATATAGCGTTGAATAATCGACCTTTTGCAAATAATTATCCTGCTGCAAAGTTTTTGCTACTAAGTATACCTAAGTATTATATGACCTGTGGTTTTTCCTTATAACAAACACATTTTGGTAACAATTATAAATAGAGACATGATGAAAAAAGTAAAAACCAAAGTAACGCAGCTTAAATTTTTATTAATAGGATTCATAATAATAACATTTCGAAGAACTTAAAACTTTACCTTGAATAATTTATATAATAACTATTGGAGATATTCTTTTTATTAAAACAATATATTGGCTAAGTATATTTTTGCCAAATAATAATAATTAAATGACACAGCTATTAACTTTTAAAACATTTTCTTCTGAAAAGTAGGATCTTGGTGAAATTACACGACAGAATTAGAACTCTAAGAAAAATTACAAATCTATTTAGTTTATTTATCTGCTAATAAAATCCAAATGTCACTAAAAAACTGATAAATACTATAGTAATAAAAGACGACACCAACATCCAAGTTTGAATATACATATAAGTATGTTTATTACTATTAATAAATATTTATATTAACGTTTCTACCAATTTGTATGTAAATAATAAATATCACCACAAGACATAAACAATTAAGCCTGAACAGGCACTTATTAAGTTCCTGTAATCAAACTAACTAAATAAAATAGAAATCACCAAAAACAATAAATAAAGTGATTTTATCATACAGACTCGTCTTCCATCTGTCGTCGCCTAGATCTAATTGGAGCTATGTTTCTAAACAAATCATTCACATTATCAGGAGGATCATCTAAAGCCAAATCTTCTATTTCCTTCCACAAATCGTAATCAGATGTGATACCTCTAGAGAATATTCTCGAAGGATCTGATGAGAACGTATTGATGTTAGAAGATTCATTATAATTATCATTGTTGAGTCGCTCCATTGTTTCTTTTTCTATACGTTCCAAACGTTCAATCACTTCTGAAGGATCTGCTTCTTTCGGCCTCTCATTGAGATCAATGTCTATCTCAATTCTGAAAATTTAATAAACTAAATATATATTATTACTGCTATTACCTACTAATAAAAGGCAGTGGTAACCCAGTAGGAACGGGTTCCCATGGCAAACCAAGTAAAGCGGATTCAAATCCCCGGTCTGAGAGAACCTAGCAAGTTTTCAAAAAAAACACGAGAAGTCCGCAAACACTCACTTGGCCAGTATGATGGACTGTGGCCTGATCCTTCTCACATCGAAGAGATGCCCGTGTCCAACAGAGGGTCGTTAATAAGGGCTGATTTCATAATTCATTATTACTATTAAAAGAATGCACTAGTAATTGCGGGTTCAATTCCATCAGGTACAAATATTTAACCGTTATGACGTTAACTCTTTCTATTATTAGAAGGCGACAACTAGAAAGTGGTGTTCATTATTGCACACCAGTGACCTTTAACATTTATATCATTAAGTAAAATTATCATGGTGTTAAGGATTATTTGTTATGCATAATTTTAAAAGTGACATATTAATTAAGTAGATAAGGATAAACGTTATAGTAGGTAATTGAAGTAACTTATTATATTAATAAACTAACGACTAAACCACGCTTCTCTAGGGCGCTTCTCCAGGTACGTTTTAATTTTGGCGAGCGGAATAATTCTTTTTCTAAAATAAAACTAGCCTAAGTTACTCCTTATAATATCAGCTATCTGCCAGTGAAAGCCCCGTTAAAATCAGTTCCACCGTTTTGGAGATTAGCCGGAACATACGGACAGACAAGAATTTAAAAAATTGAGTTTTTCTTACAAGTAGGTACCGTATATAATTTCATATGCATAAATAGTAAAACGCTGTTTTTGACATTACAAACAGACACTTCATTTTATTTTATAATATCTACTCGTAGACAAAACATAACACTGAATATTGTTAGTAGACAATACATATTCAATTACTTATGAAAAAGAACGAGGATATGTGTGCGTGTGAACAATAATTATTAAAAGTAGGTTAAAATCAACTATAAAAATTTGATTACAAAGGTTGTTACAAGTCAAACAAAAAAAAATATGTGTTAAAAATGTGTATTTTAGGAGAAAGTGTGCAATGTTTACCCGGTATCTCGTTTAAACCTCTCCCAGTCGGCGGCGACAGGCGCGCGCGGTATCTCTGCGGCTAGCGCGCGACAAGCGTCGTCCATTGTCTTCTCAACCATTTCCAATTCCGTTTCTACTAAAACGATTATAGTCACTTAGAATATCTCTTATGTTGAACTGATAACTTATTCTCACTGCACTCAGTCGGAGACGTACATACACGTAACAAGAATAAAACATTTATGTTTCCTACTGCAGAATATTACTTATATTATGTCCTGTCGTCAACTTGTTTCTATGTTTTTATTTACATTTTACGCAATCTAGTTTTTTCATTTAATTTTTTTTGCCATAAATATTAATTTTATTGCTCTATTTCAAATCGATTAAGCAGCGCACGTTAACAAAGCAATTCAACGGCCAATTTTTTTCCCGACTTTAATAATCAATTAAAGTTATTATGATTTCTGACCTTAGACACGTTTTTGTTTTTTCTCGTAATAAAAAAATAATAACTTTTAGCATAGGCATTCGGCGGTGATATAGCTACTTATTAATTAGATAGCCGTAATGTAATTTTAAAAATTCTTCCACTAATCTACCAGAAAAAAGTGAAAGAATTTTTGACTCATTTTTTTTTATAATAATAGTATAGATTAGATCCCACTTTTAGAACCAAGTACTATTATAAAATAAGTATTTACTATGTACTTAAATGGTAAATTGTTTTATAATATAAAAATTTCAAGTTCACTTATAACTTACTAAGTTTAACTATACTAAAAATATTTTTATTTTATATTTTAACAAAAACTATCTGATGGATATATAAAATGGCTGCTCTATTAGCTACCGGTACATAACTCGTAATCCCCATAAAATAATAATATATTTAATTAATTGTTGCCATATCATCGCTATTTTAAGGAAAAAAGTACCTATAGTAGAAGTTACTGTAAAAAAAATAATAATGCAAATACTCAGCAAATAGGTAGATTTTGAGGTATCTACAAGAAATAACTTTGTACTATTTTTGTTGTTTGACAGTTTACTTAAATGCCAGAGGTTATTATAAAAAGTAAGAGTGCGCAAATTCTGTAAGTAGGTAAGCCTTACATGGATCAACAAAGGCATCTTATGTAGGTACCTAAAAAGAGAAATCTTGACATCAATAGAGACATCTTGCAATAATCATGTAACATATTAATAGAAGTATTATAGCACGCAGGCACGAACTTCGACAATCACTTTTTCATTTATGATAATTTTTTGCACATGTAAATCATTATATTATTAAAACATTACTTATGTTATAAATATATATTATATTAATACTTCTTTAGATTTACGCGAATATTTGACATTTTAAATACCGTCTGTAAAATTTTTATGTAAAATGTTGCCAAAAGGAGACCATATGGCTCGCACTATCAAAAAGTTATCAGATCTCATGTAGAGCCAAGCTTCTAACTTTACATGTCCTAACTCTACGAGCTCTAACTTCACAAATTCTCCACCTTATTCATAATATTTGGCTTGGCCGTATCGTTACTACAAGCACTATTGTTAACAGAAAAGTAATGAAGAGTGAATACATTTTTCACCTTACACGCCCATATGACGGTAGCGAAACGGCCAAGCCAAAATACAGATTTAACTCAGAATTTTATTATACGTACTAGTGACTCACCCTCGATTCGCTCGGGTTCGTCCCTAGGTTGATTCCCCATGCAAACTTTCATCCCCATTTTCACCTCCTTAAGGGATGATTTCCGGGATAAAAAGTATGATATGTCCTTTTCAGGGTCTCAAACTATCTTCTTGCCAAATTTCATCTAAATCGGTTCAGTAGATCCAGAGATTACCCAGTACAACGTCAAAAACTCACAAACATTCCCTCTTTATAATATTAGTATAGATAAATATAGTATGAATGTAACATATGAAAAAACTGACAAGATTAATAATTTGAAAAATTGATAGGACCAGACCAACAAAGTGTACCGGACGTTCTTAAGTTTTAGATAAAATATTAAAATCTAAGAACAGGTAGGTTCCTGAGTAGGTAATAATAATAATAATAAATACTCTTTATTGTACACCCACAAGAGAAAAAAGAAAAAAAATTACAAGAAATATATAAAAAGAGTTATGTACAAGAGGCGGCCTTATCGCTAAAACAGCGATCTCTTCCAGGCAACCTTAAGGTGTTGGAATTGACAAACTGTAAGAGGGAAGGGGTGTGAACTATACAGTAGTAATAATAATAATAATAAAACCATAATAATAATAATACAATAATAACAATAATTAATTTTTAATACTATGAATAAACTTACATATCAAAAATACATACATATGTACATAATAATAATATTATATTTACATAAATATGATAAGATTAATACAAGACAAAATACTTATAATAATAATAATATTTAATATATTATGGGTACATAAATATATAAATAATATTATATCATATTAAATAGATAATAATAGAACTTATAAGTAAAATGGCATTAAAAAAAGACAAACAAAGATGGTAAAAAGAATATGGTTTAAAAAGAGTGAAAATGCAGTTTTAAACGGTTTTTAAAAGTATTATACGTTTTGGCGCCTCTTACGCTCAAAGGGAGAGAATTCCAAAGTCGTGAGGCTGTTACACAGAATGATTTATCACTAAATGAAGTGGAATGAGGAGGTATTTTTAAAATTAAATTTTGACAGGAGCGCAAGTTTCTCGAATGAGAAAGACCCAGAAATTTAAATTTATCTTTTAAATAGGGAGGAGAAGATGGATCAAACAGAACACGGTAAAGAAGATGAAGGACATGCGTATTCCTGCGAAGGCGAATAGGGAGCCACTTGAGCTTTCTGCGAAATTCAGAAATGTGGTCATATTTTCGCAACCCAAATATGAACCGTATACATAAATTTTGAAGCCGCTCAAGCTTATTTAATTGCTCCTCTCTTAGATCAAGATAACAAGAGTCAGCATAATCAAGGATAGGTAGTAGGAGAGATTGTGCTAGCGCAATTTTAGTAGGAATGGGAAGAAAGTTGCGTAACCGACGAAGTGATGCTACGGATGCAAACATTTTCCTGCTCGTCTCACCTAACTGCGGAGCCCAGGACATATTCTGGTCCATAATCACGCCTAGGTTCTTGACAGTGTCACTATAAGGTATAATTATACCATTTAATAGAATAGATGGTAATGATAACGACGCGACCCTAGCAATGAGTTTCGAGCTACCAATAATTATACTTTGAGTTTTTGCCGGATTAAGATGGAGTCCAAAAGATCTACTCCATGAGGCTATACTCCTTAAATCTTCGTTCATTTTATCAATCGCTCTCGGTAATTCAGTAATTTTCGCGTGAATATAAATCTGTAGATCATCTGCATACAGGTGGTAGTGAGAAGAAATGTGATGACATAATGTATTAATAAATACTGAAAAAAGAAGAGGAGACAACACGCCACCCTGCGGAACACCTGACTTGACTGTTGACCAGTCGGAATACGAATCATGAATCCGTATACGCTGTCGGCGTCCACGCAGGTAAGAAAGAAACCAGTCGACTACTTTAGGAGATATGTTAAGAGAACGTAGCGTAGCAAGTAAGATGTCAAAATCAACAGTATTAAAGGCATTGCTAAAATCCAGTAAGGTAAGTACTGTGACTTCCTGTTTATCCATGCCTTTGCGAATATCATCAGAGATCTTGACTAAAGCAGTTGTCGTACTATGCCCAGGACGGAAAGCGGATTGTAGAGGATTGAGGAGATTATGAGTAGAAAGGAATTGATTGAGTTGATGGAGTACAAGACGCTCAAGTACTTTGGATAAGAAAGGAAGGATTGAGATAGGACGATAATCATTATAAAGAACAGGATTAGATTTTTTAGGTAATGGTACAATTAGAGCATCTCTCCAGGAGGAAGGAAATTCACAGGAGATAATAGAGTGATTAAATATAAACGTTATAACAGGACATAAAACATCGAGGATAGGTAAGATCATTTTCCGACTAATACTATCAGCACCAACTGCATCTGATTTTATAGTAAGAATGTTTCTCTTAACATCACTTTCAGTAAAATGACTAAAGAACAATTGTGGAATATTAGGAGGGGATAAAGCTGAAAGTTGATTAAGAGTCTGTTGCTTAATAGTACTATCCATGGTACTTGAAGTGGAGAAATGCTTGTTAAGCTCGTTTAAATTAAGATTATTAGGGTTTACGCTTTGGCGTGCTTTTCCCACTCCTAAAGATTTCAGAAATGTCCAAACTTTGGATGAGTCTTCTCTACCACAGATGTATAGATATGGCGTCGTTGATTATCTCTACATACTCTGTTACAGTGATTCCGAGCCTTAGTATATTTGAGACGGTTTTTTTCATTGCTATTGACCCGATACTTCATTTTCGCAGCGTTCTTTTTTTGTTGCAATTTTTTAATTTCTTGAGTAAGCCACGGGGCAGGGAGATGCTTTATTCGTACAGGTCGTATGGGAGCATGTCTGTCGTACAATTGTGTTAATTGTGAGTTTAAAATTGCTACTTGTCTGTCCACTGTGTTACTGCAAAAAATTTCAGACCAGTCAATTTTACTCGCATCGTCTCGCAAACGCTCTAAATCCATTCCTGCAAAATTACGCTGCAGAAGAACTCTTGACTTTGCTTTAGGGGGCTTAATTTTATAGGATAAATAAAGGAGATCATGGTAAGAAAAGGCCAAGGCAGAGCATTGCCCGTGTTTTTCTACATGTTCGACAGAGGACACTAGAATAAGATCAAGAAGTGATGGTAAGCTATTAGGATAAGTATGTGTAGCAGATAGAGGAAGGACATGCAAATTGACACTATTAACTATTGATCTTAAGCGTGATGCACGATGATCATCCTTTAAAAGACAGGTGTTAAAATCGCCCACATTAGGTACCTACTCATACTTTTTTATTCCCTATATTTAAATCAATATTTAATTCAACTCTTACATTATTTAATTTCATACAATTTCCAAACTTTGTATCTTTATGTAATATGAAAAATTAAACGTGAATTCACGTTCTTCATATTAATAATAATTAAAATACCTAGTCAATTTACTTTATTAACGTAATAATTATAAAACTCATTACGCCAATAACAAAAATTTAAAAGAGTTACGCTAATAACAATTAGGCACTACCTCAGCGCCTTCCGACTAAGTATGTAAGAATAAAAATGCCACCTAATTAAAATTTTATTCAAGTCTATTTTCAAGCAATTACGAATTATGATGATTATAAAACCTTATTCTATTAGGTTATTTTTGGACTAATTACTAATGTTAGATGTTCTCCGACTCACTCTATGTACCGATCGATACATATTATGTAAATAGTTGAGTGTGATATGAATAACATCATTAATGTAGGAATTTTAAATTTATTTAAAGATTATTACTTTCTTAGATTTACGCGAATATTTTAGTCCAGTCAAATAAGGTCTGAAATCAAAATGTTGGCAACTTTGCATTTTTGATATAATGTAGTTTTAATGATACAAAAACAAAGTGTAAAGGTTTTAGTGTCTGAAACCTCAGGTAAGGGTTCAAAAAAAATACTCAAAAGTGTATTTTCGCAATTACTCGAAAATGGTAAAAGTTAGCCAAAAAAGTTTTAATAACATATATAGAGCTTAAAATTTTACATTAAAAAGGTTTTAATTAAAAAAAAATGAAAATTGGCTTCTTTTTCTACTGCCTACGATTTTTGTTAATTTACTTTCATCCCTTAAACTTAAAACCTCCCTAACTTAGTTAATTTTGACCGGAGGAAAAAAAATCATAAAACCTTTTTGATGTAAAATTTTAAGCTCTACATATTTTTATTAAAACTTTACTGTCTAACTTTTACCGTTTTCGAGTAATTGCGAAAAAATACTTTAGACTAATTTTTTTAAACCCTTGCCGGGGGTTGCGGACACTAAAACTTTTAAACATTGTTTTTGTATCATTAAAACTACATTATATCAAAAATGCAAAGTTGAATGCCAACATTTTGATTTCAGACCTTATTTGACTGGACTATTTGACATTTTAAATAAAACTATCTTTTCAGATTTTTTCGCGGATTTATTTTGATATTTAGTTCCCGACGTTTCGAATGCTTTACAGCAATCATGGTTACGGGAGAGACTAATAGTTTTAAAATTAAAATGAACAAGTATTGTATGGTACTTTGATGCTATTTATGATTATTTTTTTAATTTTTTATATATTTTAGGGGTAAGCTGTCTATAACAACTACCTATATAATGCCTTTGAGACATCTTAAACCTTAGTCAATTGTAAAATATGTATTGTTTAAATATAAACTGTATAGACAACGATTTAGTATACATGCCATAGGAAATAACAATATAACAAACTAGCATTTGGGAGAATTTCTTTAGAACGTATGTTAAGTCACATCTAACAGAAAGCTTATATGATGCTATATATAAAGACTATCAATGACTCATAAATTTATTATTAGTAAAAGAAAAAACTTTAAAACATATTTTTTAACAACTTCCCATGTAGCTACGTTTTAAATAACATATTACGCAACTAGGTTTACGCTCTGTAAGTGCCTTAATATACGGGAAATATGTAGTTAGTGAGCTGTGTCACTGGCTTTAGGTACCTATTCTATTTGCCTTTAACCGCAATCGTATAATTAAATAAAATTACAAAAAAAACTCTATAATTTTAAAGGGACGATCTTACAGCCTATACTCATATATACATACATAATATAAGTACCGACATATTAAGTTTATGTAAATTTAATATTATAGTCCATTGTTTCTTTTTATAAAAACTTTTTAACAAAAAAATAAAAACCGACTTCAAACAAAAGCACTAAAAAGTAAAAAATAACTGAATGGTAGTTTTCATTTACTATACATACCTAATCAAATATTTTCGAAGTCGGTATGCTTAGCTTTGTATGGGCTGGCACCGATTTCGAAAATATTTGATTAGGTATGTATTTAAGAGGTAGGCTTTAATTACTTAGACTTAGCTTTAACTACTACAATCAAAAATTGTCCAAATCGGTTAATAAATGACGAAGTTCTGAGGTAACAAAAATTAAAAAAAAAACAGTCGAATTGAGAACCTCCTCCTTTTTGAAGTCGGTTGAAAAAGAACAGTAATATTTTTCCTAAATACGTATAATACCCCATACTTACTAGAGCTGTAAAGATTTTCTTTCTTGTGTTTCCTTAGAGCCCTCGCTAAATTTCCACATACAGCCCCTTGCGACGTCAACTTACTTCCACTACATCGCCATTCATCATCTTTAACAAAACATTACTTAATTACTAAAAAACTTAGAAACTCGTGTTGTAAACGTTTTAAAATTGACTCATACCAAGGCATAACAAATATACAAACAAATTCATTTTCACATTTGTAATATTATCACATTATGAAAGCGAAAGTTTGTAAGTGTTATCGAGCGTGTTTGCTATTTCTTCACGCTATTCGCGGTATAACGTCATAGGAATTGATAAATAATTATAAACTCGATTAAAAAAACTAACTTTTATCGATGTGCCTATGACGGTAGCAATAGCGGTCAAGAACTAACATACTGTATAATATGTAAGGATGAAAATTATAAGAACTTATCACGACCTAGTTAAAATGGAGTTCATCACGATCTTAAATGGAGTGTACGTTTGTTACTCCTTAACTCTGTACTCAGTTCTGTTTTTACCATAAGAGCACACGGGGCACGTGCCCAGGGCCCCCGGCCTCACGAGGGCCCCCGAAAAAACAATATTTTCGTTTACATGGAAAAGATAGAAGCTCAATTTTTGGTTTATAATACACTGCACTTGTATACTATACACTGAATAATGTTATGTTCCTTCGTCAACATTTTAATTTTTTTAGCTGCCTTCTTTATACCATCGAGTTTTTTTTTTTTGTACTTTACTTATTTTTTTATCATTCACATTTTTCAAGCGTACGGATATGAGAAAAAATTGTAATGATGTAGCTTAGATCCTGGATTAACATAGACATGAGGCTACTTTTTATCTGTGTATGATTGTGTCGTGTGGTAACGCAAGGGCAGTTGGCAACGAGTGTGTCGATAAGCTCGCTAGAGGGGGAGCTCTTGGCATACAGCAGGGCCCTGAGCCCTTCTGTGGGATACCTAAGAGCCTAGCTCAAAGAACCCTAATGATAGCATGTCTTAAGACTGCAAACAAGACCTGGACTGAATCAAATGGAATGAATCACTCCAAGGCATTAATTAGAGCCTACGAGGTTTAACAATCTTATGCTAGGGCTAAACAGAAAAACCTTACGAATACTGGTAAGGGCCTTTACTGGACACTGCTGCTTAAATAAGCACATGTTCAACCTGGGGCTGAGCGAAACGCGAACCTGCAGAATTTGCAGGGAGGCAGACGAAACGCCACTGCATCTTCTGTGGGAATGTGGACCGCTCATGCACAAACGTAGTATTCATCTAGGTAAACAATTTCCAAGCCTAGATGAAATAAAAGAGTGTAACCCTAAGAAAATCCTGCAGTTCTTAACATCAGCAGGGTTTAGTGGTTCACTCTAGTACAAAATAGCGGCGATCACAATAGACCAGAAATGGTCGCAGTGATATAAAAAAGCCGCCAAACAGAAATAAAAAAAAAACGCAAGGGCAGGCGCAGAAACTGTTAATGAATAACTATAGTCCCTCTATTATAATTCTTGGTCATGACAAATACCAGTTACAGACAGTCTCACACCTCTTCTATTCTCTTGTACAAAATCATTTCCAACTTGATTACCACTTGCCTTATGGTAAAAGAAAACATCGTGAAAAATCCTGTATGTTATTACTGTAGTTTTCGAAAGACATGTGAAGTCCGCCTACTCGCACTTTAGATAGCCTGATCCCTCACTAATTCAAGATAAAATGGGCTAAAAAAAAAAAACAATTTATACATTACCTAAAAGCGTGTTCATAATTTGCAATCTCGTAGGAGCATCAATAGCTCTATCTAGAGCAGTGCGTGGTCTCTTTGGCAGGTCGCAACGCGGTCGTGATCCTGCGCATTCAGTAGTGGCTGGACGATGACGGGTAAGTCGGGACGGTTTTTTAAAAATGGCGTTCAATTCGTCTTTATTTTGTATATTCTGAAAAAAAACATACAAAACAGTGACAGTGAGAGTGTAGATTTACTAATTGTTGCTTTTAAAATCACAAATGGCTAATCTTTGCCAGTAGCTAAGTACTAATCAATTTCCTGACTAAATTTCATTTAAATCGATTTAACCATCCGTCCGTCCGTTAAAATGTATAATATTGGTAAAGAATAATTATATATTATTCATGTTGACCTACGATTTAGGAGATTAATTATAATTAGTTTTTATATGAAAACTTAATAAGTAATACGTTATCAGATAAAATAACAGAACAGAAAAATCTCTATATCAATTAGGTAAGTAGGTAGCTATTAAAAATAATAAAGTTAGTGTTTAGATTTTTTAAATTAGTGCTATTCCAATTAGCGATTTCTGTATAAACACTGAAAAATAATCTGCTAAGTTTTATTATAAAATAATGACATTGTATCTTGTCTATAATACCTGGGACAATTTCGATGGACCAGGTTGTGGTTCTTCTTGAGATTTGTTACCGCTAATCGGTAAAGAATGCTTATCCGTTTCTATGTCGCTACTATTACTATCTACATCTGACAGAAACTCCTCAATCCATTCATCTATAACAAACATATTTATCTTTTAACTTACAATAATCACGAAATAAAAACAGTTAAATAAATAATTAATTTTAAAAAAATTAAAAATTAAAAATATATATAATAGTTATATATATATATATATATATATATATATATATATAAAATTAAAAATATTAAAAATTAAAAATTTCTTATAAATAAAATCTTATCCACATTATATTTTAGATGGAAAATACATTCGGCTAAGTACGTACAATCCACATACATCTTATATTGGTAAACACTCAAATAAGGTTTAAATTTGAAAAAAAAATAGAAGGCTAAATTTTCTGTCTAGATTAGACAATTTAACAATTTTAAAGTCCCAACTATTCCTATACTTAATTTATATACACACAACATTTTATCATTTACCTAATCAGTTCTTTCTGAATTTAGTTGAATCAGAAAATCTGTTGAATTCGCGATTATATCTACTTCATATACTGTATAAAGGATGTTCGCGGATTCAGCTGTCGAGTTACATGAAAGTTCTTACAGAATAGCACTCCGGGTTCGACTTTCTTAGAGCATAAAAGTGACAAACCAACAAATACACATTCGCATTCTTATATTAAGGGTTAGGACAAATATGTAACTTACCTGTTTTGTCATTCAGTGGTCTTTCATCCAAAGCCACAAGCATAGGTAGCGCTGACACTACAGAAGACCTATAGTTTATTGTATCTGCTATAGGAGTGCCAGACAGTGTAAGTCGTCGTAAGGAACTGCACACACCAAGCGTCCATATACGACTTGACTCTTCTATAGGATTACTATAAAATATGGTAAACGTCATAAATATAAGTGGTAACAATCGATAAGAAAAGAACATCTTTTTGATCGATATGTGAGTATATAGGCACAGAAAGAGATCTCTCGATCAATGGTATCGTTAGACTAGTAGCTAGCATGTACGGCTGCATATTAAGAGGCCATGAGTTCGAGTCTTGTGTCGGGTGAAAATAAATACAACTTTTTCTGTCAAGAGAACTCCGTAGCAGAGCAGGAGAGTTGGCGGTGTTGGTCCTGCGTCTATCTTAACAAAAAACTTGTATGAATGTTATAAGAAATAGAGCATGCGCACTAGGTAGGTATAACATGTTAGGCGCAGTTAGTCTCAGTGACAGTAGTTGGGAGAACATAACATTTGTTAGTGAACATTTTATCGCAAAAAAAAAAAATTTATAACAAAAGTTATTAAATAATTTTATTAAATGTTTTTTACATTTGCTCACAAAATTATTTGAAGCAAAATATACCTATATGTAACTTTTCTTAGAAAACATTAAGTCCGGGCGACAGCCGGGCTTGCAGAACGGTTATAAAATGTTATAAAATGTTCTACAAAATGTTTAATTAGTGTGGAAGGCGAAAGCTATGAAAACGTCTAGCAATTGTTAACATGTTAGGGCTGCAGTTTAGTATTGGGGACTCGGCCCCTGGCGGAGTGGGTGGTATTTTTGGATAGGGCAGCTAATAGGAAGTCCAAATATATAAAAATTATTTTGAGGAAACAAAAGAGTCAAAAGTTATTGAGACTTAAAGTTACAACATTTCCATACATTATTTTGACATTACTACCATTTAGACACTTGGAAATGTCAAAACGTCACTTTCAATTGTCAAAATGATCTCCAGATGATTGTCTTTATTTGTACTTGCGTGAAATTCGAATTTTCTAGCTTTCTAGTCTGTTGTAGAACTGTTCTAACCTAACCTAACCAAGATATGACGAATAATAAATAAATAATATTTTTCTATTTATTTATTTATTATATTTTTCTATTTATTTATTTATGATAATAATATTTTTCTATTTATTTATTTATTAATATTACCAACAGAAATGGCAAAAATAATCAAATATAATCTGTTGTCATTTAAGCGGTAATGTAAAACAAAGTGACAGTTTTGCTTTTGTCAAAATGTAAGATCATTTTGTTTGTGTTGTTGTGAAATTATTAAAAAAATAAATACAATAAAGCATTAATTGTTGTGAAAATATGTATTGTACATAATAAAGGATGCGTACTATTCGTTTAAGGTATGTTTATCTGTTGTAATCACTTATTTAGGTAAAGAAATGTATGGAAATGTGTTAGATATGTTATAACTTTAAGTCTCAATAACTTTTTACTCGTACGTTTCCTCAAAATATTTTTAATATATTTTGACTCTCTGTCACCTCCCCTATCTAAAAATACCACCCGATCCGAATGGTGGTAAAGAAATGTATGAAAATGTATGGAAATGTTGTAACTTTAAGTCTCAATAACTATTGACTCTTTTGTTTCCTTAAAATATTTATTAATATATTTGGACTCCCTATCACGTCCCCTACCCACTCTGCCAGGGGCCGGGTCCCCAATACTAAACTTGTGCCCATGTTAGTTAACATGTTACTGAATGTTAAAAAAGGTTTTCGTGTAATAAAATGTTATTTAATGTTGTCTAACATTTTTTAACTATGTGGAAGCACCATTAGATAGATATTGTAACTAAATAAAAAAATCTACTACGAACACACATTGATTTAACTATTTACTATAAATATATATCGAGACCATATAAACCTAGAAAACTTACTCGGCCAAATTGAGAGTATGCAATTTTTGTAAAGCTGCTAAGGGATGTAAATCACGGAGACGATTACCGGCTGCGTGAAGTTCTCGCAATGCACCCAACCCCCAAACACCGTCCAAAGACGTTAAGCCGCATCGATTCACACTAAGACTCTACGAAATCAAATAACAAAATGTCTCACAATCTATGTAGGTATTTTTTTCTTATAATTTAAATTATAGTCTGTTGCTTCGATTGTCAATGAATTTGTATTTAAACTTTAAGATAATCCCTCTATTATATAGAAACGCATAAATTGTAAGTTCAAGTTAGGTCTTCATGTCATTTTTTAATCGTGATTACTGCAATAAAAAAGTCTTGTTGAAAAGCGTCCAAAAATTTTGTAGGTCGTAGGATTGATATAAAGAATATTGATTCGTCTTTAATTTTTAGGTAAAAATATCCCAATAATCATTCTCAATGCCTCATTTATAGCGTTTATATTGTCTTTGCTAAATCCTAGCTTAGTAAGTTAATCATACCATAAATATAACAATTAAATTAATATACAGATAAATATAGATATTATACTTTAACTCGGTGGTCTAATAAATAGCATGTACCGCTGCAAAAGAACCTGGGTTCGAGTTCCCGGTGAAGCTAAGTTTAGTTATCGAGTTTTGTGTTAAGAAATTCTCAGTAACAGTTCAGATATGGGAAATTGGCGAGATTTCGCCATCATGCCTCGGAGAGCATGTAAAGCCTGTTGGCCCGATGGTCCAGTGCCTGATCTTTCAAAATACAGTAAATTGCTCACTTTTAGATTAGATTAGATTTTCTACCGGTAGAATCGACCCTTTAACTACGTGGTGTATAATTAATTGTTGCAAAAAAAAAATTGTGCTCGCAAGGTCTACTGTCTTTTTAATGTATTTACATATACAGGTTAAATCGCTAGCAGTAGCTAATTATACAATAAAAATGCCTACTTTTAAATGCACTAATCCAATCCCAAGATCCCGTAGCGATGAAATAGCACTCCCATCGAGAATCAATGTTCGCAAGCGTGGGGCAAGCACATGTAATCGACGTAATCCAACACGTTCCGCTACTACTCGTAATTTTGCTTCTCGAATTGTCAATACTTCCTCATCCGTCGTGACGCCGCTAGATTGTTTCTGTAGAACATATTATTGCTATCTTATAGGTAGTACCTACCTATAAGAATATACGTTTTATAGACGAAATAGGAAATTATAGAGAACTGCCCAAGATATTGGTCGGATTTTGATAAAAACTATAACTGCATAAATTTTTCTTTTAAATTGCGGTTTCTTGTGCAATTTTTATCTTGAGTATAGTTTCGCTATTCAATGTATATACACTTCTTCACAATTAAATATAATAGGTATATGTGTAGGAGTTAGGACAAAAGAAAAAAACTATTTTATTGAAGTGTTTTCTATTATACCTATTGCAAAATAAGCGTCTGGCATACTTGTAGAAAATTATGTTAATAATAGTCTTAAAATGTTTTTAAGTTCATAAGTCCTAATTTTTGTCCAATTAATTTGATTCAAAAGTTTAAGTATCTTATATACTATATTCTACTATGTGGGTAAGTAAATCTTTGGATATAGCGTTAGAAGCATCATGCAATCACCAACCATTATTTTTACTTACTTTAAATTATCTTACCAAAAGTTCAATAAGTGTTAATTCACGCGGAATTACAATACGTCTATATCCAGGAAGCCTACGTTCTAATTCATCTTGACCCGGAGGCTGTTGCGGTTCTGGAGGAGGCATCGCTAGTACCCTTTAAAATAGTATTATTCTTAGAACTGCTAATATTTCAATATGTGATTAATATAAAGAATGATTAAAATGATAACAATCGTAATTAATCGACTACAAGAACACTGAATAACACACCTGAAAAGTGGAGTTGCGCGAATGTTTTGTGGTTCTGGAGAACTAGCACTGGAAATTTCTGAAGGGGATGGTGACAAAATCAAACTTGGGGTACGTGGAGCAGAACCAAGCTCCACATTTGGTGCTTGTAAAATAGGCATTTTTATTACTCTGCAAGAGATTCAAATTTGTATAATTATTTTAGACCTAATTAGTAGATACATATTTTAATATTTCGAATATGACTTGCTTGTAATTGTTTAAATACCTACTTTGTAAGTTAAAAACGGCTTTTATCTCAAATTTTTATATAAAACTACAAGGATATGTATTTTCTTAAAGAACGTTTACAGTTTTGTAAATCATATTTTTATTTTTAGATAACAAAACTGAGGTTGCTATAACAACAATGGATGACAAAATAAATAGCATTAGCCTAGGACGATATCACAATACGTCGTCCTAGGCATTAGCAACTGTAAACGCCACTAACGTCATATTACATTACAAAATATAATTCTGGGACGCAAATTTTAAATGCCATTGAACCTACATTAAATAAATACGTGTTTTAGCATTTTCCGAAATTCAATCCTATTATGGTGGTAAAATGGAGGATGAAAGTTTGTATTAAACTCTGTAACTAATATGTAAGAAAGCACAAATGATAAAAAAGAATATTGACCTGTAGGCGATTTAAAAGTTTTAAAATCACTTTCTTCAAAATGATGTCCACATAGCCTCTAATAGAAAAATTGTGATTTTGCCAATTTTAGTCGTCTTATTGCTTTAGTCCACAATTTTTTCAGTTTTTGTCTTTTGGGAAAATGAAAAAAAAAATATCCACGCTATAGAGCTTTTCAATATACTGAGGGCTATAGTGATCGTGACATCTAGCGAGAGAAAAAGTAAAATCCTTCCCCAATAGCCAAAATGGACTAACTTCCAAAGCCATAATTTAAAAAAATATGAAATGACATTAGAAAATTTCCCGCGCATTTGAAATTTTATCAAGATGTCCTAAAACTAGTTTTGTGTTTGACTCATACTAATTGTTTTGAATTCTCTTTTTTCTATTAGATATATTAAATATTAGGTAGTTGTTTCAGCTCCTATTGAATTTAGTTATATTTTTTAATTGTTAGACTTTATTAGTGTTTGGGATTATTTTAAGAAAATAAAATGGCACAAAATGGATCACAATTACATGAAGAATATCAATATTTAAACCTTGTAAAGAAAATAATTGAAACAGGTATTGACTTTTGTTATCGTAATGTTTGTATTAAGCCCTTTGTAACGTCCCACTGCTGGGAACGAGCCTCCTTTCAATATGAGGCGGTTCAGTCATCAGACCATAATCCCCTTTTTTTTCTTTTTTTTTTAACGCCATAATCCCCTAAGCTAACCAAGTGCGGCTTGTCAGACTTTACATGTCTTTCAAAAACTTGCTAAGACATACAAGTGTCCTCGCTCACTGTTATTATTCCTACCCATACATTTTTTTATTACCACTGTATATTATTGAATTTAGTAAGTATATCCATATTAAATCTAACATTATTGTTTTAAAAAAGTCAATATTTAAACTTTTAACAATAAACTGCTTAAAACTTTTACAGGAGATAAACGGGTGGATAGGACTGGTGTAGGTACCCTGTCTATTTTTGGGGCCATGCAAAGATATTCTTTAAGCAGCAATGTACTCCCATTACTAACAACAAAGCGTGTGTTTGTACGGGGTGTAATAGAAGAGCTTTTATGGATGATTTCTGGATCCACAGATAGCAATGTTCTGGCTAACAAAAAAGTGCACATTTGGGATGCTAATGGCTCTAGAGCTTTTCTCGATAATTTAGGATTTACTGACAGAAAGGAAGGTAATATTGGTAGTATAAAGTTTTAACCTTTAGACTATTGAAGAGTTATCTGTCAATTATAATTTATCACATAAAAACTGTTTTCTGTGTAATTTTTTTATATATATTAATAACAACATGAAACTGATTGTTTAGGCGATCTTGGACCTGTATATGGTTTTCAGTGGAGACATAGTGGAGCCCAATATATAGATGCTAATACTGATTACACAGGACAAGGGATTGATCAAATCCAAAATGTTATCAACACTATTAAGTAAGTTTTTATTTCTTTATTTCATAGAACAAAATTAAACTTGTTAATAGTATTTGAATATGCATATTTTTAGTACTTGGACTGGCTTCAATTGAATTTATTATTCTTCGAGTAATCACGCTAAATAAAAATTATAGTTAAGTTTCACGTCCATCAGCCAAATATACAGCAAACTAAGTATAAGCAGCAAAAGAAAGCCCAAGTTAAAAACATAACACCACCTTTTAAGAATTTTATATAAAAATTCTCGAAATATTCCAATTGACTTGAGTTTTTAAAATATTCCAGGAACAATCCAAGTGATAGAAGAATGTTGATATGCGCATGGAATCCAACAGATTTAAGTAAAATGGCACTCCCACCATGCCATTGCTTAGCACAGTTCCATGTGTCCAGTGGAAAGCTATCCTGTTTATTGTACCAAAGGAGTGCTGATATGGGGCTTGGGGTTCCATTTAATATAGCTAGTTATGCATTACTGACACATATGATTGCTCATGTTACTGATTTAGAAGTGAGTATTAAATGTTATTATTGTTAATTATTATGTAAGTACTCAGCCCTTTCTTGACATCCCCCTGCTGGACATGGGTCTCCCTTCAATATGAGGGGGATCAGGCCATAGTACCCCACACAGGCCAAATGCGTGTTGGCAAACTTCACAAGTCTTTCGAAAACTTGTTAGGTTATCACAGACATGCAGGTTTCCTCACGATGTTTTCCTTCACCGTAAGACAAGTGGTAATCATGTTTAAAATGATTCATACATGAAAATATCAGATGTGCAGGACTCGGGATTTGAACCTGCTTCACTTGGTTATCCAATCTAGTGTGCTATACCATGGCCTTATTAATTATTATGTAAGGTCAGTTACAATTTAATAGAAATATAATACTACACACCTGCTAATAACTATGTCATAAGTCCTTAATATTAAGTTTAAAAACTACCTGTTAGTTTACATTTTAAAGTTAGTATTTATTTTTGCTAAAACTTATATTACCCCATGATCTCTTTTAGCCTGGAGAATTTATCCACACAACTGGTGATACTCATGTATACCTTAATCATGTGGAGCCATTGAAAACACAATTAGAAAGAGTACCGAGAGATTTCCCAAGTTTAGAGTTTGCAAGAAAAATTAATTCTATTGATGACTTTAAATATGAAGACTTTATTATCAAAAACTACAACCCTTATCCAAAGATTGATATGGAAATGGCTGTGTAGCTATAACTTTTTGCTTAATATATGTATTCAAAATCAATATTAAATATAAAAACCTTATAGCCAACAAAAAATGTAAATAAATTTAACTATATTTACCTATTGGTTTTATTTATTACTATAAAGTTTTTGCTTTCCCAAAATAAATTTAAAAATAAAAATAATGCCTGTATAGAATATTTTAAAATTTCTTAATATAAATTAGACAAAAATTCAATCAATGAAATGATGATGTTTGGCTCAGTTTGTAGTGACCCTACTTGCTGTGCCAGCGGTCGGGGGTTCGAGTCCCGCTGGAGGCACACGTTTGGGTGATGAACATGAATGTTTGTCCACACTCCACAACTCACTTCATGGGTGTTTATATTTATAATGTGTATGTATTTAAAAAGTTATATATGTTAGTGTATCAACTATCGAGTATCCATAACACAAGACTCTTAACTTACCATAGAACTAGATGGTGCTGTTTGTTAATGTCCCAACATATTTATTTATTTAATTCAATAAGTTATAATAACAAAAGATAACAAAATTACATAGTTAACTTTGTATTTAATTATTAAAATGTACTTATAATATTAAACAAAAAATTGGTTGAATCATTTACTATTTTTAACTTTGAGTCTATATCCATCATACATAGTAAGTACAGGTAGTACAGTAATAAAATATCATAATTAGCAACAGTTAATACATAATTTTGTTTTCCTTGAATTTATATTTATTGTAAACATATTTGTACTTAAACTCATATTTCACTTCAAGTTACAAAGATATCTGTCCCGAAGTCTGTCTACACAGAATTTTTTAAACTACTTCGATAAATGGAGAGGTTATATTAAGTGGAATATTGTTAAATTTATTAAAATTAATTAAAAAATTATGCCATACAATATTTTTTTTAACTATACAATAAGCAATTAAATCTTAAGGGTGTAATAAAATGATAGAAATTATCAAATAATATTTATTTCATTTAAGTTATTTGTAGAACTACAAAATAAAACCCCCATAATTATTAAAAATAATGGCAATTCATACCTAAAGCTAAGTGATGCTATTAAAATTGTTTTCTTATATTTGTAAACTTTTCAACAATAACAAATTCATAATTTTTATCTTATCTTAGATATTTAAAGTAATTTTATTTGCATTTGTACATTACTTCATTGTTATAAGTCTTATTACATTATGTGATGGGTACACTAAGCATTTACTGTAACTTTCCATGTTTTATTAAATAACCCATCAAATGTTTAAAGAAAAATCAAATTGAATAAAACCATTGATTTTATGGAGGAGTCAATTGTGGTGACTGATTGTGTCATTGATAAAGAAAACAAAATGTGACTACTATCAACACATTTGGTCATCTTGAGGTGGCACCTGAGAAAAAAAATAGGATTAAAAAAACAAATATACTTAATTATTGGTAAATATACATATCATACCTACACAAACACATTAATAAAACAAATCATACCTGAGGTACTGATTCGTCCAATCTACTACTTGGTATGGGTAAGGCGGCTAATTGCTCTGCTAGAGCCATTGTGACTTCAGATTCTACTGTAATTTCCACCCATAATGTATCTGCAATAAAATAATTGAAACTTTAGTATGATTTTATTTTAAATAAATCAAAAATAACCTAACCTCTAAATTTTTTATCAATTGAAGTTTTATAACAAAAATACATTATAATATATTATTAGATATGTAATTTTCATTATTCATATTTAATAAAACAAAAAGTACAAGGATAATACATCTGTATGATTCAATTACAATGTATACTCTATAGTCTAATTAAACTTGATGTTAATCTGTTCGTGATTTTATTGAGTCACAAAATAATATTTTAACTCATTGCATATTATAGAATAGGAATGTGGAATATACATTTTTAATCCATTTAAATTACAAAAGGAATTGCAAAACATACCGCCTACTTGTTCTCCTTTTTCTGTTACCAAATGAAAATATCCTCTATGTACACCTGCAACACTTGGAGCTTGCAATTTCATAGTTATATTAGTGGAATGTCCTGGAGGTAAAGGTGGTACATATACTGGTGTTGCTCCAAGAGGCTCCCCACCTGCTTGTATTAACCTACAGCTGCCAGGCCATGCTTCAGTTCCTGTGTTGGCAATACTCCAATTTTGTTCAAAACTGTAATCAGATACTACTAAATTATTTCAATTTTTGTAATTTCCTAAATATATCTTTTAGTCAAGCATTTATTATTATTAGAGTAATGAAAATATATTTTTATGTAATATAATACATGACAGTACTATTTACCCATTTAATTTATATATTAAATAGTATTCTAAGCACTTACTAAGTTGCAGGACCCACTGCAGATTCTTGACTTTGTGCTGCTTTTAATGACATGGATGGTAGTTTTGGAGGTAAGCTATAATCTAAATAGCAACATATTGCAGCTTGAAGGTTCCTAAAAGGCGAATAAAATTATATGATAAGGAAGACAGAGGAACATTATTAAATTATTATTAGACATATTTAGAGTTATATAATATTTTTACCAATTACTCATATCCAAAAAAAAGCTAGCAGTATTATAATTTAAACTAGGTCCTAATAGCCTTTGCATTTGTCCAATGAGCTCTTCCCTATCAGTAGTATTCATACAGCTGAATTGCAAAAGAAGATTTTGATCTATCTCTCCATGATTCTGGCGGTTTTCGCCAGCAGAAGAAGAACCATCAACATCCATTGTGCTTATAACTAAATCACAGGCACTTTCTGCAACTCTCAGAGGTATCCTATTGACATTCCCTTTGTTTATATTCGTCAGCTGCTTCATTCAAAAATATGATTATAATTTCACAACAAATATTGTTTACAATACTTAAAATTAAAAAAAAACGAGTTAATATATATTACACTTAAAATTTTACAAAATTATAGGACAAACGTCGCATTATTTATTTTGAAAAAATGAATGAATGATCTCGGGCCATCTGTCTCTCTATCTGTCAAACGTCAATCATCAATATTCATTATGGAGGCTAGAGATAAGGAGAACCATCTTATATGGAAGATATGGAGGGTAGAGGTAAAGAGACTATCTTTTAAGGGAGACAAGTTGAAAAAGTGTCTCCCTGTAAGCGGTAAATAACAGTTTATAAACAAACCAGAATGGCGCTAGCATAGCAGGAGGGAATGATATGAATTTAGCAGTTGACAGTTGTAAACGGAGTGAAGTGTTCTGAGTTGAAAAATTTAATATTTTGGGTGACTTGAGTAGTTACTGAAACTATTTACGTAGTCCGAAATATTGAAGTAAATATTACCGAAAAAACTGTAGTGATATAAACGTAGAGAATGATTTATTTTTTTGTGAATTTTTGATAATACTTTTGAGTTTGGACACTTTCTTCAAAATGTACCCACTTAGTACCGTGGCGCCACCCTAATTTTATGCATTTCGACGGACACTTTTACATCACAGAGATAGTTCTCCTTACTTCTACCCTCCTTATTGTGAGGCAAGATGGTAATCCCTGTTTTCCAATTAGAAAATCCATTGGAAAACAATAGGTAAGTTGACTTGACTAATGACAACTGTCAAGTGTGAAGTGAAAATTCAAAATTGACATTTAGCACATGATTATTATATTTTATTCTCATTTTCTTGTGGTTGAATAAGTTTATTTGGTTATTAATGTAAAAAATGAAAATTATTTTTAATCAAATAAATGGAATAAACTATATTATATTAGTTTATTTATATTATAACTATATTTAGCTCTCAAAAAGTTACATGTTTTATTCTGTTAATGTAAAAAAATACATTAACAATTACTGTTAAATTATTATGTTAATTTTTGCAATCAATATACTTTGATATGGATTCACCGGACCAAAAAAATAAAAAAGTACATGCTTGTCCATTCAATGGATGTACTGCAGTATTTAATAGACCATATAGACTTGCACAGCATCGACTGGTCCATGTAAATATTGTAAGTGCAATATATTTAAAAATACCAATTATAATATATTTTGAACACTATATTAATATCCTTTTGTTATTTTAAGAAGCCCTTTCAATGTAGTCACAAAAATTGTACAAAAGAATATACAAGTAAAAGTCATTTAGATCGTCACATCAACAGTGCTCATAAAGAGACTGAAATCGATATATTGCACTGGTATGTATCTACTATTTAATTCCTTTACATATAATTTTTGCCTATGAATATTAAGTTTATTTTTTAGTTCTTCAAATAATTAAATTACTACAACTTTCAGCTGTCCAAAATGTATGAAAAAATATGTAAACAGACAAAATTTAAAGAGGCATATGAAAGTAAGTCATACGGAAAATAATAAACCCTTCTCATGTGATATTTGTAAATTATATTTTAAAAAGAAACACCAACTTCGAGCTCATATGTATATTCACAATGGTATAAAAACATTCAGGTTTGTGATTTTCTTGTTATATTAATTTTATTTATACACATGTAAATGTTTAGTTATACAATATTACTTTATCTAATGCAACTGAAATTATTTTAAATATAATAAGAAAGTATAAATTAATTGTAAGCTATTTGAATTAGAAATTTAAAAATATTTAAGCAAATTTTAATGTCTAATAAATTTGTTACAGATGTCTACTCTGTGATAGAGAGTTTGTTACTCTATATGAGAAAAAAAAGCACATGAGAAATCATAAAACATACACCTGTGAGCATTGTGACATAAAATTTAACCGGTGGACAGATTTAATGACACATAAAAAGAAAGAGCACCAGGGTTCAGGTTTTATTTTTTTTTATTAGAATTTAATGTTAATAATATGCAATTTATGCCTGAGAGCAAGAGGATCAATCTTTATAAAAGATGATTGTTGCCTCTTCTTTTGTACACTGTTTTTACAATATTTAAATAATTGTTTGAATGCATGACATAATAAATACCTGCTACATCTTTTACAGAATACATATGTAATGATTGTGGAAAAGTTTTTAAAGAGCGACAACATATAATTAGACATGTCAAGAAACATGTACCTAATGCACCAAAGAAGATGTTTTACTGCACACATCAAAATTGTCACAGGTTCTTGATGTTTATAAAACTAACTCCTTCTTATGACTTTTTTTCTTATACTATTTAGCTTACATGTTTTAACTCACATTTGTTTGAAGAGAGCTCACACTAAATTTTTGGATCTTCTTAACTAATTGAAATGAACAAACTACGTTTATTTTTATTTTAAAAAGTATAGCCATCCTCTATAAAATGCAATCTTTTTAACGAAGCGTTACTACTGTTGTTTCTATTATTATTTTTAAACCTAGATTACTTACTTAAATGTTTTACTTTCAGACATTACTCAAGAAATAGTAATTTAAAACAACATATTTTAATAAAACATGAGGGTATGACATTTAATTGTACATTTTGTGAAGCCAAATTATCTACCAAGGTAATATATTTTTATATAGGTATTAAATAAATTTTATCATAGCTTTGCTTGGGTGCATAACGGTACCCTAAGTGTTACTCCGTAGTCTACCTGTGTACTGAATTTCATACAAATCTGCCAGAACCTTGAAGGCTATAACAATTGCTGTTAGTTCATTTCTTCTTTCCAAACTTACACACTTTAAAGCACTATTACTACATTGCTGATATATTTGCCACTCTCTAAAAACACTACAAACTGTTTTCAATTTATAAAAAGATAATATTTTTTTAGGCCAAATTAAATGAACATGTAGCAAGACACTATCAACCTGCTTTATTAGACAATAGAAAAGCTACAAAAACTCGAATAAGAAAGACACGAAAGGACCGGAACACCATGAAAACCTCATCAGTAATAAAATTAGGTGGAATTGTTAATCAAAACAAGGAAGAAAATAACACAACTAAAAAGAGTGAAGCAATACCTATTTCTGAAGAAACTTTTGTTTCTGAAAATGAAACCCTATTGAGTTCTAACGATCTTTCTAATGAAACGCCAGTTATTTCTAAGGATATGTGTAATGCTTGTGAAGATAATTTAAGTAATATTAAGCAAATTAGTAATTCATCTGTGAACAAAATTAATAATAACATTGAAAACAATTTTACAAATACAGATATATTATGTACCTTAAAAGATTCAGTATTAAAAGAAAAGAGAACTGACCCTCATAAAACTGTTACTAGTGACAACTATATAATGAGTAATGAAAGTTCTAATAATGAAACTTTTTTTTCTGCGGGTAATATCTCTCATAATTTTATAGAAGTCAACTTTCCACCTAATATAACTCAATCAATCCTATAAATCAAATTTAAAAAAAAATGTCCGCCAACCCGCGCTTGGCCAGCGTGGTGGACTATGGCCTGATCCCCCTCATATTGAAGGGAGGACATTAAAAAAGGGCTGAATACAATCCTATAAATATTATTGTTTTTCCTAAATAATGCAAATGCCAATGAAACTAAAGATATAACATATAAATTTAAATCTAAATAGGTGTACCTATAACGAATACGTTTTAGGAATACGTTTTTAGTATATTAAATTATAATTGTGAAATGCAGACTGAGAATAACTGGCAATAACTTAAGCTTGATATATTCATCAATCTCATAATAGGGAATATGTGTGTTAATTAAATAAAGGTGATTTTTTTTATAATCTTTATTACTTCGGAATTACGCCTATATCAATATTTTTTATAGTAATTTCTTTTTTGTTAAGCAAATAATTATTAAAAAGTGCAAAAATAGGTGGCAAATTCAAAGTAGTTGAAACACAACGTCTTTGGTCAGACCGAATGTGACGTCAAATTTTATTATAATAGAGCGCTGTTGTTTGGTGTTTGCGATTGGTACTAACAATCTTGACCTGTTCATTCATTGATTACAATGATATTGATATCATAGACTATGAAGTCACGCCAAGCTCGCCAAAATGGTTGGCGTTTAAAGTATCCGTATCAGTATGATATTTTTTTATTCTAAATTTTAGTTTTTTGGAGCTGTATTTTTTTTTACAATTATATAACGATGCAGCTATTGTATAATATAAAAAATTAAAAAAAATCGTGCATATTCCCTAATTCCTATGAATAATTAATATTGTATATAATAATTCTAACACTAATTTTTAAGGTTCTCTTTAAGTTCTTTTTTATAATTTCTTATCTTCTTACACGCTCGCACGCACTCACGCTCGGTCTATTTTGTTTTTAAAGTCGTGAGTTATTGAGCTATTTAAGATTATTTTTTTGATTATTTATTGGCTGTGAGCCTTGCCGGTAGTCAGCTAAATAACGGCTAATTGGTTGAATGATAAAGTCACAATTTTGGTTCTTGACTTGTTCATACCTTAGTAAAGTTTCATTAAAATCCAATCAGTAGGTAGTTTTTGTGTACTAAGAGTATAAGTTACTATGTTTTTTAACTATCCCACGAGAACTCTTTAATTTTCCGAAATGAAAAATATCTAAAATGTTGACTGGGGATATAAGGTGTCACAGGTGTCGGTTCATTTAAATCGGTCCAATAATTTTGAAGATTAGAAGAATTTGAAAAAAATCTGGATTTGTTCTATTTTTCTTCTTACATCCCCTGACTCGGTTTTTAGCAATTTTTTTTCTATGTAAAGACATTCGACCTCTACAGTTTTATTATATGTATAGATTCTTCATTTTCTTTTTTCTTTATTTCAAACCCAGAACTCCCAACTATCAAAAATAAATATAATATTTACAATGTGGGCAAAGAAAAAAACTTGATAGTGATGCGACAAACTGTGTTGTCGCCAGTAATATAAATAATTCCGAGTGAAAATTAATCTATTTTTTTTTGAACACATACCTATCACAAGTTTAGATTATTTTTTATTAACTACTTATACTTACTAATAAACATTTCATATATTATAGTAGGGGAGCCCAAGAGGGGATTTTCTGTAGTTACTCGAGCGCGGCAGATTAACATAAAAGAGGTTACCTTGCACTCTATTGAGTACTTTCACCACAATATAAGTCTTCTATATAAAGGGGCGCGTCTAGGGAAGCCGATTAAAATATTTAAAAAATGTTTTGATAAGGTAAAAATACTTGAAACCGTCAGATTAAGGTGTGGTAGGCTAGTCACATCCTGAAAAGTGTCCAATTTAATAATCTGCCGATTTGCACAAGCCTAAGAGGCAAAAATCGACTATAAAGTTTATGATGATTGATGATATAGAAGATGATGAGTTGATGATATAGAAGACTTATATTGTGGTGAAAGTACTCAATAGAGTGCAAGGTAACGTCTTTTATGTTAATCTGCCGCGCTCGAGTAACTACAGAAAATCCCCTCTTGGGCTCCCCTACTATTAGTAAGTACCTACATAATTATTAATAAAAATTAAAAATACTACATTTCTATTCCTTTATTAATTACTAACCTTAATTCGTGCTGCGCATCAAAAAACGGTTTTTATTATCTAATGAAATTGTTAAAATTTCATTGATTACAATAACACTGACTAAATGGAAATTATAATTTACCTAAAAATGTCCCATGATATTGTAAGAAAAGGAGAACATTGACAATACTCCGTGAAATACTATAACGTATAATACCTTTTTTCTTATTTCATATTTATTGATTGAATTAAATTGAGAAAAACTTAAAGAATGTAACGAATAATTGACGTGATTTTTGCGTTACTTAATAAATAGTGCATAATATATTTTCTATGAATCCGATGCGAGCTTTGGCACGGAAGATATTTAAGCAGACGAAATCTTACGTAGCATCACACGAGGGGATAATATGGACGAAATTAGATGGATGACTGGTCTGATGAGGTCTAGCTATAACAAAAAATATATTTACAAAACATGTCAGAAATCCACCGGATGCGCACGGTTCAAAATTGATTAATATTGTAGAAATATTTGAAGCCCTATATTCTATAGTAAATAATAATAATTATTTTTTTAAATAAATATTTATTTGGTCTATAAAATAACAAAAAAAGATTTTCAACACTATGCAAGAATAATTTGAAATCCCTTAAATGTTTTATAAAATAATCATAAATTTGTTTCTTAAATTCTACTGGTTCTTATGTTAGTGCCATTTAAGTAAATAACATTGAATTTGCTCATACAACTGAATAATTTAATGGTTATTATCAATAATTAGAACGCAGCTACTGCATCTGAATTTTGATTCTGTTAATGTTAATGTCAAAAGCAGCTGCTGCCATCGATGACAATGACTGCTGCTGAGTGCTGACTTGTTGCGTAGTGGTTACATTCTTTCTGACTTGTTCGTGCCAGCTGGCTTCTGGGTCTTTGCTGCTGCCTGTGAAAGGATGGATTCCATGATGAGAAATTCTATAAAATTATAATTTTAATTTATATTAATTCTATAAAATTAATAGGTAATTCATTCAATGTCAATTTGACGTCTGTTATCATTATCAATTATCTTTATCATCAAGATTTAAGATAACAGGCGATGGAAGCACAACATTGAATTATTTGTAACAATGAAATTTATTTATAATAAAAGAAATTGATAAATGAATTGTTAACATTATCTTTATGTAAATTAACAAATCTAACATATATTGCTCTACCTTTGTAACTAGACCTTTGTATAAAATTAGGGTTAATAATTAAATTAGTAACTATTGACTGTCCATCAGTGGAAACAATGGCATCTACTATAAATATATTTACGTTAAACTGTTGGTAGGTAACGGTTTCTTTTTTTACAATTATATACAGTAATCATTAAATATTTATTAATTTTAATAATTCTATTTAAAGGGGTATTCCTGTTGTTTCGAAAAACCGAAAAGAAAGAATAGAAGCCATAGCTAAATATTTATCACAAGCTTCTCACAATATTGTGTGTTTGCAAGAAATTTGGAGTGAAAAAGATTACTTATACTTAACAGAAAAGCTTTCAGAAAATCTCCCATATTCACACTACTTCTATAGGTTTGTATTGACATATTAAATTTTTCTTTGTTGTTCATAAATAAGATGAATTATGTTTCTAAAATTAGGCACTAAAACAATGTACCTACTTTTCATCATGCTATATTTAATTTTAGTGGGGTTCTAGGCTCAGGCCTATGTGTTTTCTCAAAATGGATGATTCAGGATGTTTTCTTTCACCAGTGGCCACTCAATGGCTACATACACAAAATACATCATGGTGACTGGTTTGGAGGAAAAGGAGTTGGTTTGTGCAGAATAAAATGCAATAATACACTTATTAATGTCTATTGTACACATGTAAGTACATATTTTATGTTTATTAAAAGTCTAGTATTGTTTCCAGTTGCATTGACATACAAAACATTAACATCTTTCAGCTACATGCAGAATATCATGCAGATGACATATATTTAGCACACAGAGTTTTACAAGCATACTCAGCTGCAGAGTTTGTAAACCTTACAACTTTACCAGCTGATGTATCTATTCTTGCCGGAGACTTAAATACTGCACCTGGTGACTTATCGTTTAGGTATGTTTCTATTAGCAGTAATTGAATTTTTTTCAAAAGTACACAAGATATACTTTTTAAAATGGAGTAGCCATTAAAATATTTTATTTTAGAATTTTGAATGTTTGTTAACATAATTATTAATTAGATTTTAATTATTTCAATTTTATTAATTTAAAACAGGGTTTCCCAAGCTTTCTTCTATTGAGCCTCCCCAAATTGTAAAAAAAAATGTGTGTGTGTATTAATGTATGCATGTAAGAAGTTATACTTCTTTAGCATAACAGAACAAAAATAGCTAAAGATTTCATCCCGTATGTCACAACTCTCTCTTTGTAAAAGGAATGCAGCTAACTTCATCATATTGCGTTATAGTTATCGGTGTGCACGCGCATCGTAAAAATTTTACTATCTAATAATATATTTTTCCAAACTTGCCAAAAGAAGTATATTATTATACACACATTATTTTAGCGATTTTTATTTATTTTAATTTTAAGTTATGCAAAATAATCTTTAAACAAAGTTGGGAACTTTTGATTTAAAAGATGTGACTTTAGCTGGTACTGTTCTTGCTAAAAACTTAGTTTATAATATACAAGTTACATTATGTTAATCCTGATAATAAATGACAATTAAAACTTTATTTTTTTAGAGTAATTACTCAATTGCCTGCACTCATTGATCCAGGCAGCTTAGACCATATTGCGAAAAATTTTAACAAAATACCAGGGACTTGTAATAATATCAACAACAGTTATTCTGATGCAAAATTAGTTAAATCCTGTCCAGAAGGAAGGAGGATAGATCATATTCTCTTTCATGTAAATCCTAGCTTCAAGGTAAGAATTTTGTAAATTTGAAACAAACACTTTTTATTAAACATAAACAGCTATGATTACTATCTTATTAATTAAAAAAAACTCACATTTTATATGGTTTCTAATCTTGATTTTTAAAAAACTATATGTCAGTTAAAAATGTTATCTAAGATATAAAAAAATGTGCACTCGGAAAAATAGCCATTCTGGATGTAATATACAGATGGGACAAGGAAGTATAATTAAAATCATGTTTGATCAAGTCAGTTGAGTACAAATACTCTCAGTATGTCTCCTATCTACAGTCGAATTTACGCGATTAATACTCGAGAGCCATAGAAACTGGGTTTGTATGGATTTACACGTTATATAATAGCAAAGTGATGCTTTCTACTTGAAGGCCAAAAAAAAACTTTTGGCAGAGTAAGTTTTCAAAGCTTCTGACTGTCTAATCTTAATTTTATAAAGTACTAGCGACTCACCTTCGCTTCGCTCGGGTTCGTCCCTAGTTTGATTCCCTATACAAACTTTCATCCCAATTTTATATAAAAAGTATCCTATGTCCTTCCCAGTGTCTCAAACTATCTTACCAAATTTCATCTAAATCGGTTCAGTAGATCCAGAGATTACCCCCTACAACGTCAGAAACTCACAAACTTCACCTCTTTATAATATTATCTGGTATAGATTGACTAAAGATAACGTCCTCACATCCTGATAAATTTCCTATTTTATCAAATTGCTCAACCATCATGGAACAATCCAGAATATGATAATAATAATCTTCCTGGCCGTTTGTGGCTACGCGACGGCGGCTAATCTTAAACAAAGTATATGTTCAGGTATTATCAACTTTATATATTATTTTGCAAGTGTATTTATATATATGTAATAATAATTTTACAGGCAGATGTCATCAATTTCGGTAATCCATTAGAAGACAGAGTGCCAGGTGAATCATTTTCTTACTCCGACCACAATGCTGTTTATCTAGAGTTAAAACTCACTAATTCAAATGATAAATTTAAACAAAGACGGCTGAGTGTCGATGAAAGACTTCAAGAAACCATAGAAGAAGCGATCAACGTATGTAAAGAAGCAACAAAAACCATTGCAAAATCAAAGAGACTATTTCTTTTGACTGGTGGCCTAATATTTATGTTCCTCTTAGGTTCTGTAGGTGTTTGGCCTAATAGTGTGTTGTCTGACATATTAAGAATAATAATAACCGGTATTTGTTTTTACTATATAATCATGGGGACTCTATGGAACAGAATCGAATTGAACAATATAAAAGCTGGATTAATTGGGCTAGAAAATTTTAGCAAAAGCCGAAATGATATGAAAGCAATTAATTAATCAACGGGATGTGTTTGTAAAGTCTGAAAAGACCAGTAGAGGCTTTAGCTGTTTATATTTAACACTAGCATTTCCCGCCCGCGTTCAGATTCTTTCAGATGACCAAAAACCAAATTCTTAGGCTTTACATATTAGTACATTGCAGTTTTTGTATTTTTCTCAGAAACTCATTTTGCCGCGGTAAAAAGTATCCTATATGTTGACCCGGACAACCAGCTATCACCATACCAAATTTCATCAAAATCTATCCAGTGGTTTTTCTGTGATGCGGTAACAGACAGACAGACAAAAATTCTAAAAACTATAGATTCGGTCTCTGTATCGATAATAATGTTTATTTCAATAAGATTTTTCAAAAAATATTTAATGTACAGATTCGGCTCAGTTACAATTTTATTATATGTGTAGATTTGCAATTTTAAATTATCAGTATTATTGTACGTAGTAAATGTAACTCCACCTAAGAAGAGCCTAAATGTATGCGCTTTTAAAATAATAATTATAATAGGTATGTACATAACAATATATTTTGAAATCTTTGAAAGTTAATTTTACGTTAATATTTATATTAACGTTAGCTAATAATGTAATTGAAATATAATGGAAATTAATCGCAATAGCGCTATTTTTAGGTTATGGACACAACACATTGAAGATAAAATATAATAGTACGTACTTGATAAATGATGAAATTAAAAGATGAAATTAAAAAATAATATTTTAATTAATATATTCAAAAACTCAAGTAAAAAGGACTCTTATTAAGAATTTTAATATACCTAACAGAAATTCTTAAATAACTGACTTAAACATATCAAGCTAATATATTTATATCCCTATGTATGCTTAATCTTTAAAACTACGCAATGGATTTTGATGCGGTTTTTTTTAATAGATAGAGTGATTCAAGAGGAAGGTTTTAGTATATAATTTGTTAAGTTTTTGTATACATTGGCTAAAATATAACGATATTTGTTGGAGGTGTCGGAAAAAATAAGACGTCTGGGAGTTTTCAACGAAAACGCTGCCTAAACCCTTTGAGATATAACAAAATAATGTATGGTGGAATTGTGTATCTTATATAGGTCTACAGAAAAGTCCGCGATGGCATATGTCTATCTCTTAAGGATAACATACTATATCCATTTTAATTTAAAACGTACCTAGGGACACGAACCCGAGCGAAGCGAGGGTGAGTCGCTAGTATATTTATATTAAATATATAAAAATACATTCCTTTTATAATGCACGTAGTGACTATTCGCCTAATCTACGGGAAGCACTCCCGTTACCCGTAATCGACCCGTGGATCGATTAAGTTATTAATAAGGTAATTAGTTCAAACTTATTAATAACTAATTCCTTTCTGTCTGTTTTTGGATATTTACATTTAAAATATGCATGAATCAATTATAACCTTTTTTAGAAGACTCCATATAAATATATGAATATATGGAGTGATCTCAATATAAAAATGGATCTGAAAGCTTGAACTAAGTTCATTTGAATCACGGGTCAGCTACGGAAAAGTTTCCCGTATACCCTGAGATCTGGCGAACAGTCGCGTCCTACAATGAAATGAATTTTTTTAATGTATGTATGTATTCAGCCCCTTTTTACGTCCCACTGCTGGGCACAGGCCTCCCTTCAATACTAGGGGGATCAGGCCATAGTCGACCACGCTGGCCAAGTGTGGGTTGGCGGACTTCACATGTCTTTCGAAAACTTGCTAGGTTCTCTCAGACATGCAGGTTTACTCACGATGTTTTCCTTCACCGTAAGGCAAGTGGGTATGCTAGAAATAATTCGCACATGAAAATATCCGAGGTGCGAGACCCGGGATTTGAACCCGTTTCACTCGATTTCCTACGCTAGCGTGTTACCACTTGGCTACCACTGCCTTTAATTTTTTTTATGCATTTTGTTAATTAAGTAACATTTGATTAAGCCAAAAAATGTACCATTTTTTTTTTAATATGAATAATTCCGTTTTATGATTACTTCGATTATACTTATAAATTTTATTGTTCGTGTACTGTATATCCATAAAATGGATACAAATTAATATCTAATATTTTTGTGATATTCATTAAAAATTAAATTTTATTATTGTTATTCACTATAAAATTTTTCACTATTAATCTTATTTATTGAATGCGATAATTTTATGTGATGTATATTATGCCCAAGTCTTACCGATTTACGAATATTTTTACATTCTCTTAGTACTTATTATATTTCCAAATAAAATTTAAAAACAATTTCGTCTTTGATTTCTTATTACTTGTTTTACCCGCTTACTTTGTACCCGCATGGTAAAATGGTATGAGGATATAAGATAGTCTACATATATCTTCTTTTCTTTCCATTGCGACCACTTTTACATAGGTGAGAGGTATTTTATAATGCACAGAAAATAATTGGCTTTAATTTGATATATAAATGATGAATATACGCCATGAACGTATAAATGTAACAAAAACATTTTAAATGACTCGCAACCACTTTTGCGGCCACTTTTACATAGGCAGACGTAGTTTAATATCAGGTACAGAAAAAAAATAGTTTTAATTTGATATATAAATGATGAACATACGCGATGAACGTATAAACGTCCCAAAATATAATCCGCTTACACCTGGCTGCGAAGAGGTTGCGGCCAAATGCGCAACGGCAGCTATCATTTTTCAAGATCTCTATGTATAGTTCTGTGAAGTGGAGAATAATTCATTGTAATAACAAATGCATCGTTTTTGTTCCAAAAAGTCGACTATTATTAAGTTAATTAAACATACAAGCGGGCACATTTGAAAAGGCACCCCAGTCAAAACTTATTGTTGCTTTTATTATTGTATATAAAAAAGTGATTTCGATTTAATACGATATGAACGTAGCAATCTTGCAGCGGGATCTTAGTCCATAGCTACGTCAACCAGTAAACTCAAGATTTCCTCGACTCGACTCAACCTCACTGAGGACGTTCGGTATTCATAGATGTCATTTTGTCCCTTACCTCAACTATTCGCCTCGTAAGGTGAGGAACTCTGTTTCATATAAACTACATGCACACGGCACATTTGTGATTCGAGTACAATATTCTTAACTACGCCTTTATTATTGTTTCAATTTTTATTTTGTTACTTTTTGTTGTGTCTAACTTTTGTTATCTACGCCTCGTGGATGATGTAATGTGATTGATACATTAACAGACGTTAAAAATGGTGTGCGACACATTTAAGATATACTTATATTTAATTTCCAAATCTTATTAATTGATATTTTAATTTATAAATATTTTAATTATATTTATTAAAACGGTATAAAAAAAGTATTACAAAGTAAAAAGTAATAAATAAAAATATATACATGTAACACTTAACAAATATATTTACTTGACGACACGTTTGGCTCAGTTTGTAGTACCCTATTTGCTGTGCTTACTTTACCAGCGGTCGCGGGTTTGAGTTCGGCTGGGGGCATTAATTTGTGCGATGAACACGAATATTGTTTGTACTCCAGTCAATAGTGTTTAAATTTATAATATGAATGTTATATGTATTTAAAGCTATATATGTGTAGTGTATCAACTACCTGGTATCCATAACACACGCCTCGTAGCTTACCATGGAACTAGATGGCGTTGTATGTTAATGTCCCAACATATTTATTTATTACTAGCATTGCCCGCAGGTCCGCCCGCGTTCAGATGACCAAAAACCAAATTCTTAGGCTTTACATATTAGTATACTCTTAGATTGCAGTTTTTGTATTTTTTCTCAGAAGTGAGACATTTTCCCGCAGTAAAAAGAATCCTATATGTTGACCCGGATAACCAGCTATACGGATATACGGATAACCATCATACCAAATTTCATCAAAATCCCTCTAGTGATTTTTCCGTGATGCGATAACAGACAGACAAAAATTCTAAAAACTATAGATTCGGCCTCTGTATCGATAATAATGTTTATTTCAATAAGATTTTCCAAAAAATATTTAATGTGCAGATTCGGCTTAGTTACAATTTTATTATATGTATAGATTTATTTGCCTGATTTGTCCACTCGCATGTATTTGCGCGAGGTCTTGCTAGCGCCAACTTCAGGCCGGTCAAATTTGGCAAGAACTATAATAGTGATGTTCTCCTGACCGATTCCGGCCACGGCGGCCAATCTCATTGAGACTAGCCAACTGCGCAGGAGATATTATAGTGCACAAGTATGCGCGCAGACTACGTGCACTCTCTATTCTTGTCACTTTTATACTCCGGTGGGACGACCACTCGACACGACCAATGAGAGTTTAGGCGCTGGACCGACGGCCTTACGTGGTACCCTCTCTGAGGCACGGGGATGAAACACCGCCAACTTCCCAACTCCAGGCTGTTACTAAGGCTTACTACACAGAAAGACTCAATAATTAAACTTGGCCCGCCCCGGGACTCTAACCCAGGACCTCCGGGTGTGCAGCCGTATATGCTAGCCACTACAGCACCGAGTTTAACTAGTGTAGTATATAAATACTTATATTATGTAAGGATAATGGATTTATCAACAAAATTATTTAGAGAAATATCTTTTATTTTAAGAAACTTAACAGATACAATTCTATCAATATATTATAAATATAAATCAATATCACATTTCTTTAATCAATCTTTAACACATATGTAGTGCCATCCATATTTTCAATCTGTTACACCACATCCTATAGAGATGCTATTATTGTACTTCCGAAACAATAGATATAATTTATTCTAAAATCCTATATACATGTTATATTAGAAATGAAAGTTAACGAATAGTACGTTATATGTTTAATATACTAAAGCAACACTTTTTTAAGCAATTAAACAGATTTTTTACAATATTATATTTTAGTTAAAGATATGGTATACATACATTCATCCACACAATACTGCCCATATGTAGGTCAATGTATTAGATTTTATACAAAATCAATATTATCATTCTACTTTAAAATATATATATATTGTTCTGATGAATTATTAAGAAGTTAAGAGACTGGTGGTCAAAAAAAATCATTCAATTTACCATTTTTTTTTAATCTCTTGATTTAGTTGACTATGTCTTAAAAGAGTATGTCCTATGAAGAATTATAAGTTATAATTCTTCATAGGAAAGTTATAATTCTTCATAGGACATACTTTTTTAAGACATAGTATGCACATCCATACTAATATTATAAATGTGAAAGTGTGTTTGTTTGTCCTTCTTTCACGTCGAAACGGAGTGACGGGTTGGCGTGTTTTTTTGTGGAGATAGTTGGAGGGCTGGAGAGTTACATAGGATACTTTTTACAGCGGAAGATTATCTAATTCCCGTGGGAATTCAGGTTATAATATAATCCAAAAAAAAAATTATGATCAGAATTACTTAAAACTTGGTATTATTGCTCTTCAATAAAATTAAATAAATACATATTTTAGCATTTTTCGATATTCATCCTATAAGGGGGTAAGATATCGGATAAAAGTTTGTATGAAACTACCTTTTTAGATTTTATGTAGTTTTAGCGCGAGCGAAGCTGCGGGTTCTGCTAGTATTACTGTAATTATTCTAATTTAGTCCATTTATGTTTTTATATTTCAATGTTATTAATAAAATTGTACTTAGTAAACTAGTGACAACATAAATACGTAATAAGTTTTTTATATTTATTTACAAATTCGAACTTCATGTATTAAAATACTATTGTCTGAATACAGTTCATACTTATGCATGTATGCAGAATCAAACTTTGCTTAAGTACAAGAAATAATACTTCATTACTATTGGAAATGCAAAAAATAACTCAAATTCAGATTCAAACAATTATTTCTGTCAATTATTCAGTTTCAATCATTTTAATTATGTTTGTTCATAATAGTAAAGTATATATTATAATAATATAATAAATTTAAATAATCAACTATGATTACTAATAATCCATAATACATATATCACATAATTTATACTTCAGGATCATTTTTGTCAGAATCCATTAAAGGTTCTAGTTCAGAGTTCATTGAACCTGAAACTGTGTTATCAATAGAACCATATGTTGTAGGTCTAACTTCAACAGTTGGTTCAGTCGTTTCGATAGTCAAATTTGGTGCAGAGCTAGAAGGCATGGGCTCGCTTACTAATCGGGAGCTTTCATCACACCCTCTCGCCATATGATACATGGATTTCCCACGCAATCGCCTGCTGAATGAGCTCCCTGGTTGTAAAAAGAAACAGAAAAACATATAAAAATGTAGCAACAACTATGAATGAATAATTAATGTTGTAATCAAGAGCAATCTCAAGTAGGTTCTTGTTGGCTTAAAAAGGCTTACAAACAATTTACACACATTTCATATTTTTTAGGTATAGAAAGAATTATCCTTCATAAATTTCAAGAAAAAAATTACACCAAGTGTGAAATAAATAGTTTTAAAAAGTAAATACTTTTAAAGAGATTATGTATGCCATCCATAAGGGCAGGCATTAATAATTACTTGTAAAGCAATTTCGAAGTTTGTTTTCTCTTTGGTTATACAGTAAATTTTCATAAGAAATTATAAAAAAATTACACATATTATATTTGCTAAATATGAATAGTTTTACTTGTACATGTTTAAATAATTCAGAATTTTTGTGAAGCATATTATATTTAAAGTGTTAACTTACCAACAACTCCAAGATGTTCAGAAATATCTCTTTTCACATCAGAAATATCCCACATAGCTAGAAAAGACCCCAAGCAAGATGGTGAGGGGTCGAGAGGCGACACAAATGGCTTGTATGAAAAACTATAGTGATGTGCGATTGCTGCCAAAAACATTTCAATGCATATAAGGAAGTCCTGGAAATAAAATTACAGTATGTAATTATTAATGTATTTAAAACTAAAAATTGTATTTTTTTTTAATATAAACTTAATCAGTACCTGCAATTTGGAAGATATTATTTTTATCTTGTCTTTGTCTGAAATATCAAATATAGTTGATATCACTCCACAGTATACCAATATATTGATAAGAACCCCTTGGCTGAAAAGTAAAATTATAATTAATATTATTCAGAAATATATTATTATTCTCTAATTACAACTTCAAATTATTTCACATTTATGCCATTCATGTTTTTGGTACATTACTTTCTCTCTTACTTTTTATATATTTTGTAAAAATAATATGAACTTACAAGAATGAGAAGAACACAACAGCCTTTATACACAGGAACTTGCCTATAGGTTTCATTGGTTTTAGTTCAGTTCTATTGGCCCTATAAAATAGAACTAAACAATACATAGCTATAAATTGAGAAAAATTATTGATAGCTATGAGATAAGGGAAAGCCACATCAGGACTAAAGTCACTTTCCCCATACACACCACATAAGTCACATATCATTGATATAACAGTAGTCAATGGCCTTACTAATGTATATTGCAGAATTCCATGCTTACAATTATGTACAAATTCACTAAAAAAAAGACAAATATTAACATTTTATGTATGTCTAATACATTTTAAATAAACTTAAAAAATACATTTATTTTGTATATAGGTATTTTATTTTTTAGATCATCTTTATTTTTTTACCTTCCCATTTCCCATGGTGCTAAGCAACAAAGAGGAAATATATGATATACTTGAGGCTTAGTTTCTAAAACAGCCTCTAAATCATGATCCTCATTAAGGTAATTAAAAAGATACTTCATAAAATTATAGATTACATATGCCTCATAGCATTCTCTTAGAGAGTCCATATAAATAGATTGCTCTGGAAATTCCAAGCCTATCCAGGCATTAAGCGCATAAATTGGTACCATCCACAGTATCCTGAAATGATCATTATAAAAAGTTCTTGTTAGTATTTGAGATTATTTACTCTACATTAAACCAGAAATGCCACAAAAAAAGTACCTTATAATATGTTTCTGCAATGATGGCTTGTTATAATGTACAATATGCTGAGTTATCTGCCAAATAGATATTGGCACAGCCAGAAGAACAAAACCACCTCCAACTAAGGTACCTTGGTCTGACTTAGTAAATCCATTGTTAATTGAGTGAACAATAAGCAATGGTACTAATACTATCACCAATAGAACATACGTTGCAATGAAAATAGGACGAATCCATAGTCTCCATTGACTAAAAAACGTTGCTATCGATCTTGAACACATTTTATTCCTTTAATTCTTCTTATAATCATTAATCTAACAGATGTTTCCATAACATACTAACAAAAGACACTGTATTAAAATTCGCAGTGATTCATGATAACGGAAAATACTTTAGTAATAATAATAATAATATACAAAGTGGGATATCCAGCTTCTGTGCTAACATTAAATAATGAGCAAAACTTGTTTTTTTTTGGCGAATTGACATTTGACAATCATGGATGACAAAATACAAATAAAGTTGACAATTGCGAAATATGAATAAATCATAGATGATGTAGAATTATTAAAATCTATATTCTTCACAGATTATGTGAGTTACCTACAATGTACGTAGATAATCTATGGGGGATATAATACATGGGAAGTAGGAACTAGGAACAGTATGTTACTATAATAAAACATAAAGAGCTGATAGAAAAGTTTAGATATGAATTTGTAGAATAATAAATATCTTTTAATTTTATATGTACCGTTTAATTGTTATTTATTATCTTATATATTATTATGCTGATTTTTTGAAATCATTTACAGGCGATCATATTGTATTTTTGCATATTATCCGATTTATACTATGTCTTTCTCTCCTTCCTTCGTGTCTATGAAAATGTGTAAAAGAGATAATAAATAATTCAGGTAGCCTGTGTTGCTAGAGAAAAATTAAAATAAAGAAAAAATCACCTGCTTTATTTATCCGAATCATACCATCGTAGAAGAGCAAGTAGTGTAACAGAATGGGTAAGGTTTGCTAAAAATGTTAGTGATTTCATTTTAGAAAAGAGGAATTCTTTAGGATAAATAAGAAGTGATAAACATTATTAAATGTCCAATTAACATAAACTAATGGTGGGGGCCCACTTATTTGTGCATTTACAGTTATTCGTGTAACACGTATTTTGTGCATAGAGTTCAAGCATTGAATTAGGCCACATAGCGATCTCTCCCTAAAATACCGCTGTTCTGGCTGTCGACGTATCAAGACGGGCTATCAAGTGAGTGGATGTTTTGTGTTTTTTTTGTTTAGAAGGAGTGTTATTTATTTTAATTTTACGACAATGTGACGTGCATAGGATACAATTGTTTAAGTTTATAAATAATATATCGTAAGTCGATAATTCGTATGTTTTCGTAAATGGGTCACCTCGCCATACTTTTCAGAATGTGTTATTATGTGAAGTTCTAGTTTGTGAAGCCTCATTCAGATAGTGATTTGAAATTGATTTGAGAAAAATTGTAAGTTAACGCGTGTTTGCGTTTTAGACGTACGAGGCGGGAGAGTGATGATCAGATAGATCGCGACCTAATGTGATGTCATCAAAAGGGGAAACAGAGGCCGATTCTGGCACCGTGTCGCCAAATTTGACTGCTGTTAAAAATGAACCGGTTAGTGTTATCTTTTCTTATTTAATCCTAGTTTTACAAGCATTACAAGTTTTCAATTGGCATATTTTTAAATTTTAGTGTTAAAGTGTTTAAATATTTTTACCTTTTATTTTAAATATATAGGGTAATAGTTAGGGTCATAACATATATTCTTTATTCAACCTTCAGATATTTCTAATATAAACAGTGAATACTTAATGATACATTTCATGTTTATTTAATATAAATATTTGATGAATTTATGTGTTTAATATTGTGAGATAACATCTTATGAACTTCAATTTAATATATAAGATCTGCTGAAATATAACATTTATATAAGATAAATAGATAATACAACCAAATTTCATGTCTAACATAATTCTGTTTATTATTACAATTTGGTAGAAATTCATGTTTATACATTATTTTTACGAATTATGTTTTAGTGAAGTATAATTGATTTACAACTTGATATTTTATTTTAATATAAAGGTAATTGTTATTGCTTATCATTAAGCTTATTGTTATAATGATTACGACATACCTGATTTACTAATTTAGGCTGGAACATTATGTAATTTCTAACATATCTCTATTTGTATGTTCTCAAATTTAAATTAGAGAGTTTCTAATTCTTTAATAACACTGATGACAACATATCCACATCTAAGCGTTACAACTGGTATTATATACCTAGGTTATTTTTTATAGAAGTAAACAAGTCTCACTAATATTGTTCTTATTAATTTATATAGGAGTACATATTTCGTCAGGATTTTGACTGGTTTTTTAAAGCAAGAATTCATCCTTTTAATTATATTTTATTAAATTATTTAATGACATGAGCAATTTATTAGTGGAAATTATATATTTCTATGATACATTATTCCTTGATTTTCAGGCAACACCTACAGCAAGTAAGGAAACTCCTAAGAGGGGAAGTGGTACACTGCTAAAATGTACTACATGCAATAGCTTTAGTACATTAAGCAGTCGTGCTTTAACAACACACATGGCACAGTGTTCACCTGACAACAACAATGTTGCGGCAGCGCAGAACACGGATGCGAGGCCTCATCGAAAACTATTTGAATGTGATGTGTGCAATATGAAATTTTCAAATGGCGCCAATATGCGTCGACATAAAATGCGACACACAGGGGTTAAACCCTACGAATGTCGCGTTTGTCAAAAAAGATTTTTCAGAAAAGATCACTTGGCTGAACATTTCACAACTCATACTAAAAGCTTGCCATATCATTGCCCAATATGCAACAGAGGTTTCCAACGACAGATCGCCATGCGTGCACATTTCCAAAACGAACATGTTGGACAACACGACCTTGTTAAAACTTGCCCACTTTGTAGCTATCGCGCCCCCACCATGAAGAGCTTAAGAGTTCATTTCTTTAACAGGTAATTTGGAATACATATAATCTTTTTTTTACATTCCTTTAGCTGGAATTTTTGATCGTATTTTTTAAATTTATTTTAAGACCATGAGGCAATGATTGTACATTAGAATTTCAGAAGCTCTTCAAAATAAAGTTATATATTGTATCTATATAACACATTAAAAATATCCCTTATCTTTTACTGTAGTAATGTGTATCTGTAATATCTTATATTCACATTAAGAGTTATTTTATATATTATATACTTTCTTTGTTGTTGTAACCAAAGTGTTTTCATTTACAAGGCTAGAAATGGACTAGATAATGGATTCTTATAATTTATTCTTCATTATTTCGAGATTCGAAATTACATACAAATATACTTAAATTAAAAAACAAATGATTATTAAGTAAAAAAATAACAATTTTACAGGCATGGCATAGATCTGGACAACCCTGGCCCAGGCAACAACTCAGTGTCACTTCTTGCTGCCGGCATAGCTAATGCAGCATATGCAGATGGTACTATGGACCCTAGTGCGATCACAGCTCTCGGGGCACTAGGTTCTGGGCTCTCGGTCTCTGTTGCTGCAGCATATTCAGACAGTGGAGACAGTAATGGAGCCCGCTCAGTTGATAATGCGACACCACCTATGCATTACCTCACACCGCATGTGGAAATATCCATGGCTGATAATAATGAAACATTCTCACCTGGGCAGACCAATCACCAAGGTATGGGTTTATTCTGATTATTATTAATTTTTTTAACTAGTCTATTCTTGTTTATCGTCCATGTGGATTGTTATAAAGAATTTGTTAATGGAAACAATTTGAAGTGTAAAGTAACTATTTTGAGGACTAACTCAAGTCTCTATATTAGAACACAACATATTATATGGTTTTAATACTGATTTTATCTGATTTTCGTTGTGTACTAATTATTTGTAATTTTCTTAGTATTAAACAAAGAATTATATTGAACAGATGCAAATTGTTTAATTTATATTTTTTTAAGTAATATAATTTGAAATATTAAATGTAATATATTGATTACAGATTCCCGCATGAATGGTGAAGGGCCAAGTTCACCGCAGTCTGGCGACAGTGCAATAGCCAGCAGTTCACTGTCTGCAGGACTCCCCACCAATATAACACCGTCTATCACTCTTATACCTATTAAGCAGGTAATTTATTACATTTTAAAATAGAATACTACTTATACATATTTATTTTGCTTTAATTTAGACAGAAAATGAGAAATTTTGACATTGTGTTTGCTATATAAATTTACTAGCAGAAGCCGCGGCTTCGCTCATCAAAAAATCTCCAAAAAGATCTCCAGCGGTAAAAAGTAGCCTATGTCATTCTCCAACCCCCCAATTATCTCCACACGAAAAATCACGCCAATCTATCACTCTGTTTCGACGTGAAAGAAGGACAAACAAACAAACACACTTTCACATTTATAATATTAGTATAGATGTAGAGGAATAATAATTTCTATTATTATTTCATGGAATAAAAATATATAATAATAAAATATCTTCAAACAAATAAAGACACTACTTAGTGTTTTCTAACTTCATAATCTCATATCACGTATTAATATTTAGATAATATTTCAGGAGCCAAACGTTCAAGACGAGTCTAATACAACAGAAGGAGAGGCTAACGGGAACGACAAGCGTGATGTGTCTTCGAGCCTCTCCTCGCTTATCAAAGTGTCACCACTAAAGAGCCTACTGAGAGAGGATTTGCGTCGCCGTATCTCAGCCAGAGGGCGCACAAGGGGATCTAATGTATGGAAATTTTTATTATAATTAATTATATAGTTCCTTGTTAAAATTTTAAAAGAATATTCTTATCAATGCAAGGCGCATTGAAAAAAATATGTGTATGTGTACTTATCTATGCACGTAAAAAGTTATAGTTCTTTGGTGTAACAGAACAAAAATATGTAGCTAAAGATTTCATCCCGGATGTCACAACTCTCTGTTTGTTAAAGGATAAATTAATAAATAAATAAAGCATATTACAATCATATATTTATAGAATATCATTTAAGGAAAGAATATAATATTATATATCATTTGTCAGACAATAATATCAGCTATCAGCTAATTTTATCATGTCGGTTTTTGGCTGTCGTTGTGCGCGCGCATCGTAATAATTTTATTCTCATATTTTTTTACAAATATCCCAAAAGAAGTATAACGTCAATAAAAGTATGTTAACACCTCCTGGTAAATTTCTAAGAAATTTATTAAAATTCTAAGAAATCTATTGTTAACTGACACGCCGGTGTGTCCGCGGTCGTGGAGGGATTTAATGTTAGTCTGTATTAATTCGGCGTATGTATACTATTATATTATGTATACATTTTGAATTTTACTTTACTCTTTTAAATTACTACAGCTTTGAAGATTTTGTTTACAAACTCTTTACATTTATTATATTAATACTAGCATTACCCGCGGCTCCGACAGCGTTCAGATGACCAAAAACCAAATTCTTAGGTTTAACGTATTAGTATACTCTTATAATGCAGTTTTTGGTTTTTATTCTCAGAAATTAGATATTTTCCCTCAGTAAAAAGTATCCTATATGTTGACCCGGCTAACCAGCTATCACCATACCAAATTTCATCAATATCCCTCCAGTGATTTTTCTGTGATGCGGTAACAGACAGACGGACAAACGAAAATTCTAAAAACTATAGATACGGCCTCTGTATCGATAATAATGTCTATTTCTTTAAACTGCCTCGGTGGTGTAGTGCCTAGCATGTACGGCTGCACACTCGGAAGTCCTGGGTTCGAGTCCCGGGTCGGGCTAAGTTTAATTATTGAGTCTTTCTATATAGTAAGTCTCAGTAACAGCCCGGAGTTGGGAAGTTGGCGGTGTTTCACCCCCTTGTTGTGCCTTGGAGAGCACGTAAAGCCGTCGGTCCTGCGCTTTAACTCTCACTGGTCGTGTCTCGTGTCGTCCTACCGGAGTATGAGAGTGACAGGAATAGAGAGTGCAATTGTGTCTGCGCGTACACTTGTGCACTATAATATCTCCTGCGCAGTTGGCTAGTCTCAATGAGATTAGCCGCCGTAGCCGGAATCGGCCAGGAGAACATCATCAATGTCTATTTCAATAAGATTTTCCAAAAAATATTTAATGTACAGATTCAACTTAGTTAGAATATTATATGTATAGATGATTATAGCAGTGTAATTATCTGCTTCTCATTATTGTAAAATATATTCCTAAATCATTATATGATTGTCATGATAGTTTATAATTAATACTTATCTATATTAAGTGGAATAATTATTATGAGATTGTTTGTACTATTCTAAGTAAAGATAGTATAGGAAGTGATTTAGTTATTTAGTGTTTTTATTTTGAGACCAGGGCATGACAACAAACACCCTTCTTGCTTTTGATACTAAACTTGCTTACTGTGTATGAGTATGTCACATAATGTAAGTTATATCTTTTCAGACATCCCGAGCCTCTCCATCTGAGGGTGGTATGATAACTTCCACCCACGGGGACGCTGCAATGCTTCCCTCTTCGCTTGTGTGCACTTTCTGCTCCATCACCTTCCCCGATTCAACCCTGTACTTCTTGCACAAAGGCTGCCACTGTGACTCCAACCCTTGGAAGTGCAACATATGCGGAGAGCAGTGCTGCAATGTCTACGAATTCAACTCGCACCTCCTGAGCAAAAGTCACCAATGACTGTTTGCTGGGGGGCCGTTCCACTGATTTTATATCTGTGTATGCACTTTCATACCTGTGCAGTACGTAAGCACTTCGATTCTTACTTACCTCACTTCATTTATTTTCATGGACTCTTTAACTAATTATGTTTTGTTTATCTTATTATGTATGCGGAAGTGCTTCGCACATGCTATTGAACGTCCCCCCGAAGCTATTAAACTTAAAGTGCAAATTATTTTGAAGGTTATTTAGTGGTAATTGTAGGTAAATGAGCGAGGATATTTGTATGGATATTTTAGGGTTAAAATTGTTATAAGATGAAAATTGAGTTTTGGGTATATTCAGGTTTTAACTCACCTAATAAGGATCGTCCAAATATTGACATTCCAAATTGTAATGTATACATTCCATATTGTAATGAGATTGACTTAAAAACTTAAACTGTGACTTTGGTGGGGAATGAAGTGATACTTAAGAAATATTGTCTTTAAAAGAGTTTTATTTATTATTTAATTTCTCTGTACTCGATTGTACATTGGGCGTTATTCGAAACAATATGTATAGAATATTTTTTGGTGCGATAGTGAATTTTACAAATGTTTATTAAAGCTTATAGTGAAGAGTGTACAAATTAATATATTTTTACATTTCGCTGTTATCAAGATGTTTATAGAAGGCAAAGCCTTATTATATCCCTGATTTATTGTGATCAAAGAACAGACCGGAATTATAAATTCTACATTCCGTTATTAATTTATATTTTCTATTTTACGCATGTGATGCAAGTCCACGACTAATACTTAATGTACAAGTTTTATTTTGTTGTTATTATTTAATTTCTAAATTTTAACGATGTGTACACATCAACGATGTACTTAAAAGTGCTCTATTTGTAGTGATAGGTTTTAATGAAAAACTAACCATCATATGGAAAACGCACTTGCTCAATAAATTGAAAACGGCTCAACAAATGTAAAATGCTGAAGTATTTGCGTCGTTTCTCGCACAAACAATTTTTTTGTTCACAAGTTATGTTGATTATATACGTGCTTTTTAAAGGTGTCTAATTAATACTTAATTTTCAACAATGCTACTTAATTGGGTAATTTGTGATGAATAATTTAATATCAATAAATTATATTTTCTGTATTTTTTTATATGTTTTATATAAAAGTGCTCAATGTTGGTGAACTATTTTAACAAATGTATAGTAACCGGGGATGTTATGGATATGAAATTTCGAATCTGGGTATGAATACGGATATATAAATATCATTATGCCAGTTTCAGTTACATTTATATTTAGGAATTGCAAAAGTTAAAATACAAATAGATAATGATTTGACTTTATTTGCAGGCTATCATTTGCTATTACAATATGACTGCCTAATATAGCTAAGCAAAAAAATTACAAAAACTATCTAAACAATGCAAAGAACGCGTGGCGCGTGTCGTGTGTCGTATAATGTCGTAGAACCTATCTTATCGTCTCATTTCGACTCCATTCGAAATTATTCGAAGCTTTTATTTCGGTTACGGTTTCGGATACATTTTTATTTCGGATATCCGATATTTTCGGTTACGGTTATGGAGCTCCATAACGTCCCTAAATTAACACTTGGTATATTGGTTAAAGTGGCATGTTATTGCAATGAGAAATATAACACTCTTACTACACTGGTACCTAATATGATTTCAGTACTTAAAAGAATTTTAATAGATTTTATCGGTTGATTTATTTACCTTATTATATCCTAACCTGAGATTTACATTCCTGTAGCTAATAAGTACTTAATATCGGTTGTGGTCTTGCCTGTTAAGTTTACGAAATTGACTTAGGTGGAACTGAAATTATGTTTACCAACGAACTTATGTGTAATTATTGTTTTGTTATTGACATTGTGTAGTGTAAGAGTCGGTGCGCGGTGGTCCGTCCGTAGGGTTGCCAACTCGCAATGACTATATATATTTTTTTAATTTTTAAAGTCTTAAATATTTTGCCTCTATAGTGGCATTATTAAATCAATTGAATAAATACTTGACATGTGTATATTTTTGTTATCTTATAAATAAGAAAGAATTATAAATCTATTATGTCTGGTAGAGTTGGCAACCCTATCCAACCGTGCTTTGAGTGGACCTAGTGAGTTACCTGAACGAGCAACACATATTTATTTATAGATATTCTTATATTATTCTATTTCATTGTTGTTTATTTGTGTAGACTTGAATTTTTGTTTGGTCCCAACCGCTGCGCCGCTAGCACTAAGTGTAGATTATCTTAAGAGCTATTAATAATATTAATCGGTAACCCCATTGGGCGCCTTTAATCGATCCGTCCATATCTAACGATAGATATTGCCTTTAATATTTAATAGAGATAATATATTTATAGATTTTAGTATAATAATTAAGAAGAGATCTTAATTATAAAGTGTTTACAGAGTAACAGATGTTTACAATATGTATGTAGTTAAATTTATATATACTTATCATATTGAATCAATGTTGCGTTAAGGACAAACTAAGCGTCAGTGTACATTTATGGCCATAGCTACCGGTTGTTTTAATTGCAATTCAACACCCTTTCTTGTCCCAACTTATAATGAATACATATAATTAATTTATTGAATCCTTAGCTTACTATCTAGCTATGTCTATGTGTACGTAACTTTATATCGAAGTCAATTACCTGCGCCTATTTGTTCTTAACATAATCATTGATTGATTGTTGCAATTCCATGTTCTATTTTTGTGTGGTCTTAGATAACATAAATAATATAATTACAATTGTTTCAAAGCAATGCAAAATAAATGTCAATTGTGTAGTTAATTCTTAGCAGTATTTCAAGACACGATCATCAAAGTTTCACGTGATGATTATAAAAATATTTTCAATAATATGTGGTGGCTGTATGGCCTACTTTTACTTTTGATATGTGGGATCCATTAGAAGTGGATAATTTTTTTTATATTATAGGCATTGAGAAAGAAATCGGCCTACGTTTTAAATATATTTTAACTAGTAACTAATATTAGAATTGTTGCTATTTTAAAATTATTATATTAATGTTTTGGATTTATCATAATGCATTCCACATGTCTACAAGTAAATGTGTACAAATTCCCATCTGAACATTTAATGTAATATTTTACTTAACAGAATGCTCTAGTATAGCAGTCCTCACCTTAATACCAAAACACAGCTTACCAACATTTTAATTCGTTTTAAGTTGTTATGTGTGTAATGTGTAGTGTTAAGTAAATTGTTTTAAAGCAATTATTTGTAATGGTAGGCAAGTTGATCGTCGTTGATATTTGCTGTTACATTTATTGTGTTATCATTATTAAGAGTAATAATAACATATTTTACTAATATCTAATGAGGAGAAACTATGATCTACCAGTTTTGAAGAGTGATAGTGAAAATATCATGTTTTTAGCAGATTGTGCCTTAGATCAGTAATAAAATGAGAATATAAATAACAAATCATGTTTTCTAAATCTATTCGATTATACTATAGATGTGTGCATTTTTAACTGTTTGTCACATTGAAAATTATATATTTACACAAAAAGTATTATAATAAATTAAACGAAATGTTATTTATTTATGTATAGTGAAATATTTGCAATATGGCTGTTTTGCTTGTTTTATAATGGAAAAAGTTTATTTGCAGTTGATATATTATATTATCGTCTTGTTACGATGGTCTAGAAATATAAAGAATGGTACTTATTACCAAGTATGTAGTTCTATTTATTTACGTATAATAATTTGGTAAAGGGTCTAATGAAACATTAATAAATAAATAAACTATGAGATAAAGTACTTTACAATGGTTTTCTTACTGTCCGTTAATTATAAATTAGATTTCCTTTATTGATTTAGAAATAAAATATTTTTTGCGTTTTATACATTTTTCCATTTTTAGTCATTTAATTCGCAATTATGATTTTTTTTCAACATAATATATTATTGTTTTAAAACTGCGTCTAGACAAGGAGTTGTCGGTTGTTACTTATCAACTGCTGCATTATAATTGATTTGAATCGTTCGGAAAGACTTAATTGATCGCATAGAAGCAAGCAAATTACACTAAAAAAGTTAACCTCTTATAATAATTTGTTGATTTAAAACTCTGTCTGCACCTGTCCTTCCTACAAACAAGTTTTTAATTTATTTTTGAGCTATAAACTTCGTCAATTAAAACTCCCCCGCTAGTTTAATCTTTAAAGATCCGAATATCCAGTATGAGAAGTACTTTGTATGAAATAAAATATTTCAAAAGATGTATAGGCACATGCTTTAGGTACATATTAGGGTCAAGTTCATTTTCTAAAAATAATCTAATATTATAATTTAAATATTTTATTAACTTGATTACTATTAGCTGTTAGGTTGAATCGGCCTGTGCGCATCTTGCCCTGTTCTATTAAAATATAACGGATTTATGTACCTAATTAACAAGTAGGTTATATATTAAAAATAATAAATCGATCGCACAAATTTATACTTACGTACATAAATACAGCTTTGCACAAACAGTTTGTGTATGTATGTGTGTGTGTACGATTGTTACTCCTTAAGGCATAAACAGTTATACAGATTTAGAATTTAGATAAAATTTAGTACACAGATAGGCTATATATAACCTGTGTTTTTATGCGCACTAACGAATATTTATTTAAAAAGTAATTAAGCGAGTCTAAAAAGAATGAAATGAAAAACGTTCAATAAAAAATATGATTCATTTTTAAGTTTAATTTTCTTAAAACAATAAAATTAAATATTCTTAAAACATGTTTTCTTTACAAAATATTGCATATTTCAGCAAAATTCATTATATTTGGCCGAATGAATGAATGCCAGTGCCTGAGACTTGTGAGTGAAATAAACAAACTGACTGTCAAAGTAAGTTTTATTGTCAAAGTTTTGTTGACCGAATTCCAAAACTTTTTGATTTTCATGATAACTTTTTTTATAAGTTTTTCTATCGTATATATTTTAAATTTGAGATATAAATAATCCAAAGCCTTATTTGTGTAAGTGTAATGGGAAAATCGACGCAAGTTGATGGCGATAACAATCCAACATCATCTGAGTCAGATCCCGCGAAGTTATTGGAAGCTGCTTTGCTGCAGATGGATGGAATAATAGCTGGTGTGTAGCAATTTAATTATATAATAGTTCCTAAACTATGTATCTTATAAAATTCCATATTTTCTCAGTAATCCATGCTTGACTAAACATCGAGGTCTTCATTTCCTGCTTGCTCAAAGTTATTAAAGGAATAATATTTAATTTAACAATTAATTAAAAAAAGTGTACTAATATGTGATATACTTAACTTTTTAAGTAATATCACTTATTATATATAACATATATACTATATTATGGTAAAGAAAGTATGGAACTATTATCCAATAGTTTTATATTCTATGTTCTCCTTTATCTAACTTTTATATAACTTTCTAAAGTTTATTAAATTATTCGATTATTGTATGACTTTGAAAGGAAATTAAATTTGAATTATTATTTGACTTGATCAATCACATAACTTTGTAAAGTTTTATTGAAGTCATAAAGGACAGTTAAAATTATGCATGCTTAAGCCCAAAAAAAACTGGATGCCTATTCTATGATCAATAATGCTGTCTCATTTACTTGATAAATGCCCAATTTCACCAACGTCACCTAAGTTTAAGGGATTCCCTAAGCATGGTTAGGGGACAGTTTCTGTTTCACCGACAGTTAGGGGTCACCTAAATATTAAAAGGCCCCCTAAATTTAGGTGCTCGAAATATGGTCATAAAGAAAATCATAAAACAAAATTTAATTTAGGGGCTAGTTTAGGGGACTTTTAAGCTAGGGATTCCATACGTAGGTGGTAGCTTATGGGTTGTTGGTGAAATTGGGCAAAAGAGATGTATTTCATCATATAACTTTGTAAGTATTTTCATCTGAGTTTACTATTTTAATAAATGAAAATGATTATTAAGTTATAGAAAATTATTACTGAAAGTTATAATAACTATGTATATGTAACCATTTTTACAATTCTTAATAATGTATAGAAGTTACATAGTAGCTAACATTCATTTATTTTACTTTCCAATTAAATTCAAGTCACAAGAAAGGTTTGAGAGATCACCAGGTAACTAACTCTCACATTTTCCTTGTCATTTGAATTCTGTACATTTTTATTTTTATATTGATAATGATGAGTTGTTAGGCTAAACTGAAGATCCAAAAAAGATTTAATAAAAAAAATAGTTTTACATAATAATAATTTTCTTTTCATTATATGTGGATTCTACTGCATTGAAAATAAATTTTATAAGCTCTGGATTGTTGATGATATTACATACAATACAAAAGTCAAAAAGTAATATTCAAATCCATTCACATGTTGCTTTTGAAAGAGTGACAGAGACATCTCAAATATTACACAGCATTTTTTCTTCTAAATATTTAATGGTCAACATTGACCTTGTTACAATATCAAATATGATTACACAACTGACTTGCCCCAGTTTTGCTTTACTGACACAAATACAAACATGCATGCATACAACAGTATACCATAATTTCTTACTGGTTGTTATCAAACTTATCTGAAATTATCAGATATTACTTATAACATTTTGGATATGTAATTCAACCAATATCTTTTTTAAAAGTGTATATACCTATATCTATCAAGATAAGGCAAATATCTTAAAGCATAAAGTTGAAACATTGAGAGATAATGTTTCTTTTATAAATATTATTTCTTTATAATTTACTAGCGATACATCCTCACTTCGCTCGGGTTTGTGCCTGGGAATATTGTAATGGTTAGTATGAAATACAAATCTAATTTTTTGGCGTGTCTGTACTATAATATGCATGTATTATACATATTATAAGCCTTCCTCTTGAATCACTCTATCGATTTCTGAAAACTACATTAAAAAACCTGTTGAGTAGTTTAAAAGATCTAAGCGAACAGGCAGCAGAAGTGACTTTATTTTATACTATGTAAAGATGTAAACTATTTGTCAAGTAATTTAATAATATTCTGTTGAGTTTATTTCTATATTCTAGGAAATTGGATTTCTAGAATAGTTATTTAGTAATAAGGATCATCATAATGGTTTATGGCAACCCAAATTAAATAATATCTAATTATATTAACTACATGTTACTAAATATGTTTAAGCTAAAATTAACAAGTTTAAGACACTTTGGGCCATTTTTCTTTTTCTTCCAAATTATTGCTTAATTTTACGGGTAGATACCTTAATCTTACCACCGGCATCTAAAACCCTAGGCTCTCATGACTATGTTTGCTGTAAAGCTTTAGAAATTTCGGGCACAAATTTAAAATATAAAATAATTGCATTCATCTAAGAATATGTAAGTACTATTATTTTTATTCTACTTTTTATAATTATTTAACATAGTAATTTTAAAAGTATTTAAATATGATTAATTATTTCTCATTATATATTTGGGATGATAAAACTTTAGAAGGAATATAAAAAATATAAATCACTTCCAATAAAACTCGCGTAAATCTACGAAAGTATTAATATAATTTCAGTTAAAAATCAAAAAAAATCAATCAGTCAAGTCTTTACTCTTAGGTCCAATTTAAGATTGGTTCTAGTGTAATATAATTTATCCCGTTGTATAAGTCGTTTTAGATAGTTTTTAATTACCTTCATTGATTAGGTATATTCTGCGTCGAATTTTACGAGTTTCCATGATTTCAATGGCTTTAGGCAAGGGTGTTGCAATGAGTTTCTATGTGAGCGTGCGCCAGGCTGTAAACTGTTTTTGCTTACCGACCATAGATAAATGATAGACATCGAAATTCAAATTAAAATATATAATAAGGTCATTGAAATTGATTTTCATTTAAGATTCTTTAATACACAATTAAGTATAGACTTTAGAAGTTTAGTTTCGCCAAATAAAGAAATCTTGCTCAGGTCAGGTTTGTCTGGCTCAGGGACCTATAGACAATCGCAACCTGAATTGCAAATGTGGCCCTGTTCTATATTATGCTTTACGATATAATAGAACTTTTGTCATTAATAGGTACAGTAATAAAAAGAAGCGCGGACACGCTGGCGTTACAGTTAACAATTATAGATTTTTAAATATATGATTATAGATTTCTTAGAAATTTAATTAATTTCTTTGAAATTTACCTGGAGGTGTTCGATCTTTGAATATATTTACAAAGGCGTTCCAAAGTTCACGTATGATGTAATTTTGGTAGTTTAGTTTAATAGTTTTTAGTTAAAAACTCTTGCCTCGGACAAGCAAATTACTGATGCATAGAATGGTAAAATTGGATAAATAGTGGATGTGCAAGTTAACTGCTCCGTTGGTATATTTATCTAGTAGCCAGCATGTAAGGATTCGGATGTACTGAGTTTAGGGAAGTATCGTTATGGTTTTTTTTTATGTCAAGAAGTTCTCAGTAACAACCTGGAGTTGGGAAGTTGGCGGTGTTACACACCTAGGGCACGTAGACTCGTTCGTCTTGCACCTGCTATCTCAACGGTCCTGTAGCAACTGTAATTTGTACGGTAAAAAACAGTTTCTGTTTGTACCCCCATGTGGCTTAGTCAATACTTTTTTTTGGAAATAATATTTTTTTTTATATATGTAAATTTTATTTATGTTTTCCTAAAAATATCAATGGTTATAGTCGAATATCGACTGCTGAGCGACACTAGTCAATATAAATATGCTTGGTGCATTTGATTATCTAAAATACCTTTCTTAATAAAAATATCGCATTTAATAATTGATTTTAATCCGATATCATGTGTTTGGTTATTCAGTTATTCCTTCTTCTATTCTGATAGAGACGCATTTCTATGTAGGTAACGCAACGTGTGATTTTGTACCTAGACATTGTTATATATCTCAGAATCTGTGGAAGTTACCACTTTGGTATTAAGGTATTATGGTACCTAAGAAGCATAACACAAGCTCGCGCTAAAACTACAAAAAATAACTAAAAAGGTAGGTGCCTAGGTTTCATACACATTTTCATCACCTATTTTACCCTCTTATATGATGAATTTCGAAAAAGGCTAAAACACGTATTTATTTAATTGTATTGAAGAGCATTGATACCAAGTTTCAAGTAGTTTTGATCAGAAATCATTTTTTTTTTTTTTGGATTGTATTATAACATGTTTTCCCGTGGGAATGATATGATCTCCCGCGATAAAAAGTAGCCTATGTCACTCTCCAGCTCTTCAACTATCTTCACACTAAAATTCACGTCAATCCGTCACTCCGTTTCGACATGAAAGAAAGACAAACACACAAACAAACAAACAAACATACTTTGACATTTATAATATTATAGTATGGAAGTATTGATATAATAATAATATGGATTAAAAACTGTTTTGGCGCTTAAATACGTTTAGCATCTATCTATCTCTATACATTATCTTGTAATTCCCCTTCTCTCCGAATCCGAATCGTAGCGGTCTCATGGTGCACTCTTAAGCTATTTTGAATTAGATATACTATGTATTTTTATTACACATAATTTACTATGCTTCCGAATTAAACGTATCTTTTACATTCAAAAATCTTCGTATATACTTACTTCATACGACTATACTTACAATAGACAGAAAACAACTAAGTCATCAGCGAAAATACTTCGTTTTTAGGATAACCAAAAGATAGAGCAATCTTATTTCTTCCATCGCTATCTATTATTAGTAAAGGTTTTAATTAAATAAACCGGGCGAATGTGTTATTATATAATAAACACGTGAAAACGTGAGAAAAAAACTGTGTTAACATATTCCTTTCTTTTAATTATTTATTATTATCATGATTCGGACAAACTTTATTTCATTTCTTTGATTTTGCTTGCGATAGTGATGCCGTTTTTCGCCACATTATAATCTTCAAGGTCGTAGAAAGTTAAAAAGAACCTAAAAAAACAAATAAAATTATATTATTAAAATTTGTATATAAACTTTGTAACTTTTTAATTTAAGACTATAAAATCTTGTACATTTTTTCAGAAATTCAATGTGGTACAATACTCAGAATAACGGCCAGTGTGTGGAAATGTTCAATTAAGGCAATCTAGTGCTTGAGCGCTTAAAAGGAGGTCCCAATCACTTATCAGCTATTGTAAAATTTTTGAGATACCGAATAAAGATTATTATTATTATAACATTTAACCGACAAACCGTGAAATTCCTTCAGTTTGATCCTTAAAATAAATTTATGAATGAGAAAAAATTCAATTAACTCAGTGCATTAAATACACTTCTAATGTTAAGGTGCCATATCTCATGGTTGAAATCTCTCCGTACACTAAGTGATCTACGTATTTATGAATTTTACTTTAATTACTTATTAAACTTTTATCAAACGTTTGCATTCATCTTCGCTTACTATTTCTATTTTATTTCAATTAAACACTATAAAAATACGTTTAAAATTGTATAAAACAAAAAATAGTAGGTTTATAATTCAAATCGTGTTTAGAATTTATGATCTTATTTTAATGAAAATCATTTGTAAGTATTTTATTTATAAAGGACTTATAAATAATATTTTTCTGTTTGTTTCCGAACAGAAAAAATCTTATTTTCATAAGAAGTCATAAAAAATATTCAAAAATGTAGAGCGGCTTCAAAAGGCATTATAATTTTTGCCATCAAACATTTCCATTAGTATTGGACGTTTTTTAAAATGTTGGCTGGGCTTTTGATTTATTTATATGTTACAGTGCCTATAACACAAACCAGTGTGTTTGATTATTATTATAACACGAGCGAATAATGGAAAATACGTACCTATCTGGTTGTACACCAATCTCCTTTTGTAAAAATGACGACAGTAATTTCACAATCTTTTTATTGTCTTCTGGACCTAAATTTCCAATAGATTCCAGAGTAGCAATAGCGGCGGGTAGTTCAGTATTGCCATTAATTGATAACAGACAATCTCCTTCTACTGCGCAAAGAAAGTGCTGAAACAATACATAACATATAATAAAAAAATTGAAATAAAATAAACAAATATTATATAAATTAAAAAAAAACCAATTGCGTTAAAAACAAATTAAGAGTGCGCCATGAGACTGCTACGATTCGGATTCGGAGGGTAAGATTTGTGATTTCACTCATGATGTTCTATCATGAGTGAAAAGTATAGAGCGATAGGTGTTCAACGTATTTAAGCGCCAAACCAGTTTTAATTCACTTTAAATTAATTAAACAACCAATCGAAAAATCAAATTCGGTAACTGAAGAAATACTTCTAGTCTTCCTGACAAGACAAATATCATACAAAAATAGTGAGCTGTTTCTGGGATAAACAGTAATATGTGCCCAAAACATGCATTTTTCATAAAAATATACTATCGAGAAAATTTTCACCAATCGGCAATTCAAGATAAAAGTCAGTATCTTTTCCAAAAATATCAAAGTGGTAACTTTTACAGATTCTGAGGTAAATAGTGATTTCTAGGTACAAAATTGCCATATGCGCAATCTTAACGGAGAAATACATACGTACATATGTACATAATATACATGTTACTTGCTGCAAGTCTTGCTACGTGTATGTCTCCAACTGCATAATACTATGTATTTTCTACAATCTACCACCTTTTTTTCATCTTTTTACGATGGAACATAAGATCGACATACATATACATATAGACATATGCACATATAGGTCCAACACATAATCCTCCTTTGGGCTTCGCCGAGTCCGGTAAAACTTTTACTTACTCTATATTCAAGTAATTTGTAAATTTTTAGTAAAAGAATAAATAAATATAAACAACTAAAACATTGTAAGATTATTCAATACACTTCCCCAAGTTATACTTTTACTTAGTAACAACAACTAAATAAGGGCCTTGACCTGGCCTTAGTTTATCTACAGTTAGGAGTGAAACATGAAATGTACACTTTTTAGTTGATTAATTTCAGTCCAAAATATAATATACACTGAAAACTTACTTCAGGCGCTTTTCTTACACCCTCGGAGAGAACTGGTATGATTTTGCTAAAGAAATCCTTGGGAATTTTTGATTTAGGAATATTAGTCAATACTTTTAAGCAAGGCATTTTAATGTAATAAAATTTATTCTTTTTAAGGTAAACACCAAGCAAGCAAGAGCTATTATGTATAAATAATTTTAATATCAACCGCCGACTCCTCTAAGTTATCTCTTGTTGATATTATATTATCAATATCTATACTTAATATTATAAATGTAACAGTGTGTTTGTTTGTTTGTCCTTCTTTTACATCGAAATAGAGTGACGGATTGGCGTGATTTTTTGTGTGGAGATAGTTGGAGGGCTGGAGAGTGACATAGGTTACTTTTTACCGCAGGAGATTGTCTTATTCCCACGGGAAAACACATTATAATACAACCCAAAAAATATTTATGAGCAGATTTATTTGAAACTTGGTATTAATGCTCTTCAACGCAATTAATAAATACGTATTTTAGTATTTTTCGAAATTCATCCCATAGGGGGGTAAAATAAGCGATGAAAGTTTGTATGAAACCTCCTTTTTTAGAGTTTTATTTAGCGTGAGCGAAGCCGCGGGTTCTACTAGTATCATATATGTTGTTTGTGTGATAAACAAGTGCAATGTCATGTTATTTTAAAATATTGATATACATAATATAAATATAATTATATCGTATCTTCTGGAGAATACTTATAACTTCAATTATTCATAAATACTTAATTATATATACACTCACGTGGAACTGAGAAAGAAAGAACTTTTCTCCTAAAAAATGCTATCTAATCTAATGAAAACAACAACATAATGAATAAAAAATTTATTTTTAATAAAAGTAAAGAAAATTAAAATTTTCAATACTTTGTATTGCCTCCCCTAGCTTTTTTAACGGCTTGCATGCGAGTTTTCATTGATTTTATCAATTTTTTCATAAAATCTTGAGGTATCGTATTCCATTCTTCCTCTAGCGCAGTTTTGAGCTCGACGATGCTTGATGGAGCCGTATCTCTAGCTCGCACCCTCCGTTTGAGCTCGTCCCATAAATGCTCAATACAATTCAGATCAGGACTGAGGGCTGGCCACATCATCGTCTCAATTTGCACCTCTTGAAGAAACTGGCGAGTAACACTTGCTGTATCCTGCATTATCACCGAGCATTATCATATATTAATAGAAAATCTTCTCCTATGTACCCTGCATAAGGTACAACATAATCGAGGAGAATGTTTTCCATGTACTTTTGAGCCATTAGACCACCACTCCGACCACCACCAGGCACGAAAACAAGCTCGGTCTTCCCTTCATATGATATTCCAGCCCACATCATGACTGAACCACCGCCATATGATACTGTTTCAGCGAAACAGCGTTGCGAGAATCGTTCCCCTGGACGCCTGTATACTCGGCCTCTTCTGTTGTTGCCATGGAGACACATTCTGCTCTCGCCAGTGAACAGGATGCAGCTCCATTGCTCAATAGTCCAATTGAGGTGTTCACGAGCAAATTGAAGTCGGGCTTGACGGTGAGCTGCGCTCAGTTTCGGGCCTCTGGCTGGCCGTTTAGGAGTTAAATTGGCTTTCTTCAGACGTCTTCTAATTGTCCACTGACTGACAGCCACTCCGCGAACCCTGCTGAGCTCCTGTTGCACATCAACGCCCGTGAGATGACGATTTCTCAACGAAGTTAAGACAATGAAGCGGTCGTCCGTCTCAGATGTGCTCCGGTGTCTATTGGTTTGTGGTCTCCGAACGAAGCCACCAGTCTCTTGAAACCTTCTGTATACTCGTGAAACAGCTGATTGGCTCATGTTAAGTTCACGAGCGACTTGCCGTTGATTATGGCCCGCTTGAAACGAAGCTACAACTTGGGCCGCTGCTACTGAGGTAGTGTCCATTGGATCGCGATTAAAATACTGGGAGCTTAAGGAGATGTGTACCTGTCAACGTCTGACGAGTGACTGATAAGAAATATGGGTCACGTGAGCTTTTATACATGATTTAATCTCGCAACTCGTGGGTACCGCAACGAGTAATTTCTGTAACGGTCATGTTTGACCGTATTTATTTAAAAAAAATTGTCATTGTATTTTTGAAAATTGCTATATTTATAAAAAAAATTATATGTCTTTCGAAAAAAAAAACTTTTACAAAAATCGGATAAGCCATTTTCCGAAAAAATCAAACTTATATACCAATATACGGCTTGAGTCGATTCAGTTGCACGCGAGTGTATATATATTACTAGCATTGCTAGCTGCTCCGCCCGCGTTCAGATTACCAAAAAGCAAATTCTTAGGTTTTACATATTAGTATACTCTTACAATGCAGTTTTTGTATTTTTTCTCAGGAATGAGATATTTTCCCGCGGTAAAAAGTCCCCTATATGTTGACCCGGATAACCAGCTATCACCATACTAAATTTCATCAATATTCCTCCAGAGGTTTTTTGTGATGCGGTGACAGACAGACAGATAGACAAATTTTAAATAAAACTATCTTTTCGGATTTTGTCGCGGATTTATTTGGATTTTTGTTTCCCGACGTTTCGAATGCTTTACAGCATCCATGGTCTCTCCCGTGACCATGGATGCTGTAAAGCATTCGAAACGTCGGGAAACAAAAATCCAAATAAATCCGCGACAAAATCCGAAAAGATAGTTTTATTTAAAATGTCAAATATTCGCGTAAATCTAAGAAAGTATTAGATAGACAAATATTCTAAAAACTATAGATTCGGCCTCTGTATCGATAATAATGTCTATTTCAATAAGATTTTCCAAAAAATATTTCATGTACAGATTGGGCTTAGTTAAAATTTTATTATATGTATAAATCACTTAAATACTAAAATACTACTTAAATAAGAACTTTATTATATACATCTGATACTTATACTAGCTTATGTGCAATAATATTTTGTTATAATTATTATATTTCTTATCTATTTTTAATGTATTAAAATTGGGAGGAACTCGTTTAAAGTGTATGTATGTATGTACATATATCTTTTTGGTATATTACTTACGCATTGTCAACGCCAATTGTTAAGCTACCCTGCGGCTGGAGCGCGTACCAACGGCCGAAGTAATATTTTTTGCCGAGGAACAATGCGTTGACCCCGTGCAGAGGTTTATGGCAAATTTATTTGTACGATGCGATAGAAAATACCACCTTCTCTCTGTCATTTATTTTTATTACTATTCGATATAAAGTTATCATTTTTTTTTATTAATGTCATCGGATGTACGTTTTTTATCTATATACTATATTTTATGATTCTTGAAAATTAAATAAGAAAAGTAGATGAAATTGCAAAAGCATGTAATAACAATATTTTAGCAATCGTCGCAACATTTTATTAGTTATAGGGGTGTGAGGGAGGATGCAAACTGTTGAACGAGGGGTGTTGGCGCCAGTCGGCCGCTACATGCCGCCCGTACGGACGTAGAGGGTCTCGACGGTCGCGCGTTTAAAACGCACGTGCAAAACCCGCGCGATTCAACCGCTAGTGTGTGATTATTACTTACGCGTGACTGTTCCTCAGTTTATTTGAAAATATACATTAAACTAAACATTTTCATCTTTTTTTATTATAGAAACTCAGAATTGGATAAATTAATGTTACATAGTCAATATTGCTGGTATAGGTATTGCTATTTGATAATTTCTAAATCGGATATATCGAATTATGTACTTTTAAATTTCATTATTAAACAATCAAAACACTACTTTCAAAAACATCATATTAAAACAATAAGCATAGGTATAGGAATCTCGCTAGTTTTCTCACATCCTCCTATCCTGGTCTAGATAGTGTTTAAATAAATATGTATTTCAAACAATTTGCATTAGTACCTACCACGGATTTAATCTTCAAATAATTCATTAGGTAAATACTACCTGTATAGTGTATATAAATGTTATATTGTAATATTAATAAATATATTATGAATATATAAATTTGATAAAATCAAGCTGCGTTTAATGAATGTTTACAGTAAACTATTAATATGTTTTTTAGGCAAATTACTTACGATACACCGATTTCATTTAAAAGTATTTATTCTTTACTCTTAGAGGTGAATCGAATGAAAATCGATTGAAAATTGGCGAAGATATAACGTATCATACAGAAAAAAAAAAACATATTATGGCCTTAATTGAGCACCTACTTCTTTTGAAGTCGGTCCAAAAGATCGTGCCACGTGTATAATTAAATCATTGTTGCCTTGTACTATACCTATTACTGACAATGAAAATTACATTATCGCTTAATAATGAACTTAAGAGTATTGTTTATTCATAAGCGTACCATTTAAACGCTCATTGCAAGAAAAATCGTTATTTTTGATCATTCATTATTCTTGATCGAATTGTTGAACAGGTCCTAGCTACAATGCATCCAGTTCTCACAGCTTTTATGAATTTTCTTTCACCGTTTTAGCAAACGTTCATAAAACTTTTTAATTGTAGAGGTTTAAAGTGGTTACGAAAGAGTTTTCGGTAAACGATTTTAACACGAAAAGTTACTTTTAAATTTTAATGTAACTTTTATCGGCAGTAAACCGATACTTAGTTTAGTTATAATTCTGTGTTGTTTTTATACCTATATTATATTTCAAATTCATCATTTGGATTAAAGACATGAAAAATAGTAAACTAAGTAGCAATATCCTTAATGGAAACTCCTACAATATGCTCTACATTTATTATAGTGCCATAAATATGCTTTGCCAAATACGACATTTATTCAGTAAAATAATATTTTTATAAGTGTGCCAATGAAATCTGAGTCCGACTGACCTATCCCCTTCTTCGCATTGCCATAAAAGTAGGCGTATAATTCACATAAGCTATCTGCGGTATGCTCACTAAAACAAAATATATATTACTAATATATTTACTTGAGCTTCGTACATTCTATATATATTTTTTATAATTTTTACAGTAATTAATTATTATATTGAAAACTTTACTTTTCTGAAATCATGGAAGATAAACTTTTGTCAAACTGTCTGATGTGTTTTTGTTTGTGGTAGTGTGTGTAGTGTGCAATTATGTTAATGTGAATACCGCAATGCCCGGATGCTGGCAATGGCCAGACCATGTCGCCCGTTGGTGGCTCTTCGACGTGTGCAGCCGGCGCATCTTCACCGATGTCGACACGGAATCTCAGATACCACAACGTATGTTAGCAATATTCATGATTGATGTTTAGGTACTAAACAAAACCCAAGATTTTATATGCGTAAAAAAGGAAAAAAAATGTTTCCTAATGTGGCATGTCATGCTTTTACGAGTACTAGTTTAGTACTTTATGCTTAGGCATACCTTCTCTATTCTAGAGTATAAATTATGTATCCAAAACGCAAGTTATCTGTGTATCGGTTTTCATACAGATAGGTTTATCGGCTTAGCTGTAAAAAGTTTATAAATAAATCTATTTTCACATTTTATATCATTACAAAGAATAAAGTTATTTTAATATCTTAAAAGAGCACTTAAGAAAAAAAATCATTATTATATTTATTATATTTACAAAAAAAAAATTGATTCTAGTTTATAATTTTTGTACACAATTACATAAGTTCATAAGAACGATTTATGGTCGACTAGCGACACAAACATTGTTCCATTTTAAGGCCAAATAGGTTAGGCCTTATTATCTTTAAAAAAATATATTAATGAAAATTATGAAAAAGAAATACAAAAAAAACTCTTCTAAGACGTCTTTCTATCCAACTTAATATTAATAAAACATTACAATAAATGAATGAACATTCAGTATATTTTTAGTTTTATATACGCTCTAAATACAATTCGATACAGTTCGTAAACATCAGATTGGAGGCTTTTCCCTTTCCCAGACTCATACATTACTTCGTTATATGGACTTAGCTAGAGCTGAGTAAAACAGTTACTTGCGCCAGGAAGTTGTTTAAAGCCACTAGTCTGTAAACACTGAACAGTCTCCGTCTACAACTCCATAACACTCCAAAATAATATCTTTTTTTCTTGTCGGATCTCACTTTTACGTCATTACTATAATAGCTTCCTGTTTAATGATACAAGGTACGTATATTATATTAAAAATGTGTATACGTAATTTTTATTTGGTCCATATTACGTAAACATAAAAGTATTATTCCTGCAGAATAGGTAGATACAGCCGATTTTATGCGTGATTAGCTCCCATATGCTTTACTGCTTTTAATATAGTGTTCTATATACTACGGAGTTTTATAAAAAAGCGATGATGGAAAAGTCTTTTTTGTTATCGTGCCCGCAGCTAAAGCGTCATTGTTCCTAGACGGATGCAATTCAGTTTTTTCCCGCATAATTTGCGCGAGTGGAGTTACTTCGAAGAGATTTTGAATTGCGATGCTTAATGAATAAACTTTTATTTAAAATATTTTTGCTATTGCTAGCCTAAAATCCCATTGCACTAGTAACGCAAATTTAAATGTTGTGACAAAATATTTTTGAGCATTTGCACCCACGGACGGATCTTACCCAAAATACGTATTTGGTTACTATAAAACACTAAGTTGTGTTTAATTTATTGTATGCTTTCATACTTTATTTAATAACATTTATACTAGTTAAAGAGTAAGCCTAAAATTAAATGTTTTTATTTTAACACTGTTCTACCCTAGCGAAAATGAAAAAAATATGTTATAGAGTATTAAGCGTAATTTATAAAATAAAATCGTGATAGTGTCTCTTAAAATACGTGACTTTTTTTATGTTTTTTAAATTTAATTTGTGATATTTCGTTATATGAATCACTGCGAAGGCTTTAAAGTATCTTATTTAATATGTCTGTGGAGTATCTAACGTTTGCAGAAAATATCACAAAAAAAATTATGTTGCAAGAGTTGTTTTCCAATTCAATTGTTTTATTTGCAAAATTATCGTGTGCAGAGAGGCGATAGCTTAGGAAAATGTTTCTCTTAAGGAGGTGATCCCATGGGGTAAACATATCAACTTACCTTCCCCCGAGGGCATCTGACCAATGCTTACCCTGTCTTTATATGTATAATATGTTTTTATATGTTTAATATATATGCATTTTCGATCAAGTCACAGATATAATCCTAGGACGCATGAATGACGTAAGGCCCGACACATACTCGACCGGTTACGAGCTCTTCACTCGTGATCTATCAGAGCTATACTTGGAGCGTCTGTGTCCAAAACTCCCACAGGAAAGGTGTACCTTGATAACATTTCTTTTTTATTAAAAATATTTCAGTAAAAATATTAAATATTTATATAAAAGCGAAACTTTACTGAGTCAGTCATATAAAAATCTAGAAAATGATATAATATAGGTATATATATTATGTATTATATACAAATATATTTATGCTTAATATATTAATGCATTTTCGTAATAAGTAAATCAATTTTTTTTGAATTGTACAAGATAAATTCTAATATAGTTTAAAAAAATATATTAAATAAGCTCTTGATTTTGTTATCTTGGCATGTGCGGGACGCGTCAAAATGAATGAAACGAGGCCTAGCTCGAAGGTTTTATTAGAAGCCATAGTAAGAGTTCCATTATGCACCTAAAGGCTCTAATATACTCTTCCTTGCTCTTTCAACTTTCTAACTCAGGGCTAATAGATAGACCCAATAAATATATGTATGTCTACTTTGTCTGACCTGGAATTTGATACTAGGGCCCCCGAAACTGCAGACGTATCTACATTCTACACGCTAGTCAGTAGCCCATTTATCTACACGATATTATGAGTTATAATTATATTTGGAAACGAGAACAAATTTCAAATTCTTCGGTCCACCTAGTACATATTTGTCTAGTATGGAACAAGTCGATTTACGTTTTTGAATTTCATGTAAACTTATATTTTTAAATATAGCTGTGGTTAAATTAAACATCTTAAAATGATTTGTTAACATTTATTTCAAGTTAAGCGTTATAATAACAACTTTTTTTCTTGCTTATGTTAGCGGCGGTTATTACGAATTTTTTGCTTATCTTATGTAATTTATACCTGACAAAATTTATTTTTTTGTCTATTTATATTCGGAATATAATTTTAAATCAAAAATTCTTTTCTTAATAAAAGAAAACTTCCTCATTCTTAAACAACCCAGCAAGTTGTACAATTCGAGCAGAGCCTCGATTTAGAACTAGTTTATTATATTTTTATGATATATGACCTTTATGAAGTACCTACCTATAGTCAAATAGTGATATTTAATTGGGTGTCCGCCAATTATAAAGATTTTGAAACTGTGTTAAGTGACACTCCTCAATGTTTTGTTTTGTCTTAGGAAATCAGGTCGGAGCATACACTTAGTCACCTGTATAATCAAAATATACGTCCACTTTATGTGTAAACGAATTCACGACCTTTAGCAGATAATACCAGTCAGAAGGCAAAGACGGCTTATTAAAAATATTTTTCCCGTCAGAAGAGATATTAAGTGGTCTCTTGCAATATAATAAATTGTGTAATATTTTCCATAAGAATTTCATGTTATAGGGCAGTCATGGCCTTATTCTTTATCGACAATAATCTTAAAATCATTAAACCAAATCCTATGTCCTCTTCTATCAATCCTATGTCCTATTCTAATAATAAAATATTTCAATTTTATGAAATATTCCATACATAAAGAATGTGAGATATTTAATCTCTATCGATTCGCATTGGTATTTTCGTAATCGTCCCTAGCGATCTGTACAGTTTAGCACCGACGAGGAATCTTTGATGCTAAAGGCAGTACGGAACGTCGGCATCGTTTTGCCAATCTATACCAACTGCATACAGACACCGATCGATCCTTAAGTAATTGTACGCATTCGATTTAATCCATGGTATTAGCTTGTATATATGTAGTTTACGTCATAAACGTTAAGGAAGACTCACAATAATTATGCCTTAAGGTTTGTAAGTAATTAAGCTATTGTGAGACAGTCAAGACACTGAACAACTGTAAAGTCTGTATTATGTTTTTTTTTCTCATTATTCCCCCGTCGAATCATTGTTTCTTGTCTACTGAATGTTCTGTAACACATACAGAAAAAAATATATATAATCGAATCTTGCCAAATAAGCACAAGCTTAAAAGAATGTAGTACATATTAATTTGTAATATTTACATAATATATAGAATAGTAGTGAATTTGCGTCCGAGGTCCTCTGGGTAACTTTTGTATTCAATAGAATAATTTCATATTAGAAAACAATTTTAATTACTAATAAAGTGGAAGGCAATTAAATTATATACATACATTATTATATTCGTCCGTGGTTCGTGTAACAAGGTTCGTCCATTTAGAAGTTTCCTCCTTCCTTCAAGATTTTTTAGGTTTGTTTGTTCTAAATGCTGTCGTATTGTTTTTTGTACAAAGAATTCTCTTTGCGCAAATTACCTAAAAATAAAAAAATCTAGTTTACCTATTTGATCAAATTTATATCATTTAAATCATAATTTATCTGGAAATTCTGTAGGGATAGGTTCAGATGCCTCTACTTTATGTCAAGACTAATTGTCGAGTCTACATAAATGTTCACAGAAAAATTGTTAGAGCCTGTTGTAGTACTGTCGAGACTAGAGAACAAATGATGAAATGGTTATTCATATATGTACATGTAACAAGCACGCAAACTTTATAAAGTTGTTGTAGGTGTTGTTTCTAGTTAAACAATGACTGAGTTTTTATATCCATCCAACTTCTCTCAAAGAAGAATTTCGTTTAGAGATAATGAACAATATTTTACATAATCGTAATTACTTTCCCCGAATCAATAGGAAGGTGTCCGATGTTTTTAGAATGTATCTTTAACATGATTGAGAAGTAGGTATTGTCTGTCATAGTTACGACCAAAGTCTGGACTTTATGGCCATCGACATAAATAACCCTTATAGGTTACTGTTCAATATTTCAATTAAAATGCAATATTCACGATGAATGCTAAAAGTCTATTAGTAATTGAATCATATTACACGTGGTAGCTAGATTTTACAGCTTACATCTCATTGGTTTAGTTTATTATCTGCGTCGTCTCGGCGCTCATGTTAAGTAATTTTTACCTTCGCCTTATATTATGTTGCATTAGAAGAAGGCCTTGTTTCACAACCTCATCATATTTTTCCTCCCTTACTTCGCTCCATAGGATACATTGTGTCTTCACTTTAACTACAAAAATAATATACATTTTGTGATCATTTTGTAGAGTTTGTTTTATACTAGGTAGTTCATTTTTTCCCATAGGATCCTAGAACGATGATTTCCCATAGGATTTTGATTAATGATTTGGGCCAAATTCCTGAAATATATCCTAATAGAAATTTTAGATTAATTAGTTGGAAATCTAAACAACTAATATTATAAAGAGGTTTTGTAAGATTATGAGTTTGTGACGTTGTAGGGGGTAATTTCTGGATCTACTGAATCGATTTAGATGAAATTTGGTAAGAGATAGTTCGCGACCCTGGAAAGGACATAGAATACTTTTTATCTCGGATATCATCCCTTAAGGGTTGAAAATGGTGATAAAGTTTGTATTGGGAAGCAACCTAGGGACAAATCCTAGCGAAGCGAGGGTGAGTTGCTAGTAAGATTATAAATAGATTAAATAAGAAACAGACCTGACTAAACACTTACAAAGGGAGCACGTTAAATAAAGCTTGTAAAAAAGTACCACATTCCTATAAAAATTGACATTTTGGTAATTATTGCTGCGGTCTCCACATATCTAAACGAATTTTATACTAAATTCCATTCGCCCGCAGTTAGTTAAGGTTCTTATTTTTTCAAATTCGTAACGACACGTATATTTTCAATAATAATCTTGATTAAAATTTTCAAATTACGTTTAATACTGAGCTTTTTTTAAAATAAAATCTATGCAATAAATCTCTGTAGGAACAAAACTAATTGTTGTAAGAACTATATTTAATGCGTATGGTGAACGTTCTTATTGTTATATGTCGAGTTTACGTCTTCCGCGCTCGCTAACACAATTTTCACGCGACATGTGGCACACTTGGCTAACTTCATTAATTTAGAACGTCACTTAAAACTTGAAGTCTGCAAGTTGGCAGTAATATGAAGGAGGCCGTTAAATTTCATTTGTACATTCGTAAGTAATCCTTGTTGTAAGTCTTCGCAGGTTTGATTTTTACCATTAATAAAGAAAAATTTGAAAAATGTCCCAGAGTACGCTCATATAAAAATATTTTTAAAGTATTTTACTTTTGCTCTTGATATTATGCACTATAAAGTAAAACAACAATTAATAAATTGATTTAGTGTTGTGTAGTGTAATACATCGTGTCGTGGTGTGGAACCTACGGTGTACGAGCGAGTACAACTTGCACTCGTCGCGTTTTTATTATTTAGTCCCACCCAATTCGGAATTGTAAAATATTTACACTATATTTTATTTTTCATAATATCCTTTTGCAAGTTTTAAGTATTTACTATTAAACTTTTTCCCATTAAGCTACGATGGTTAACGACTTAAGGGGACCTCAATTCGCTAATAACGAGCTTAAAGTATTATAAAAAATTATGACAGTTTTTAGTTTCCAAACAGAAATAAAAAATTATTATTTTTAGGCCTTTTGTTTAGAAAAATCGTAAAAGATTCCCCCTTTTCTTATATACAACTTAAAATTAAATGTGGTAGACAATTATTATATACTTTTATTTCAATTATAATATTGTAGAAACTTTGAAATATTTTTTTTATATTATGATTATTAAACAAACGTATGATATTTAAGTACGCGCTCGCCCAAACAAGTGCCCTCGTTGATATTAAAATAAAAAAATGACATTTATTATACACTTGCGGCTCACCCTCGCTTCGCTCGGGTTCGCCTCTAGAAAAGTACTAATAGAGATCTATTAGTTCCCACGGGAACCGTTCCTTTTTCCGGGATGGAAAGTAACCTGTTGTTTGACCGGCAATATAAGGTATCAGAATGTTAAAATTTACTAAATTAGGTGCATAAGTTGTTGTGTACTAAGCTGTATAAGATACTATAGTATTTTAACTATCCCACGGGAACTATTTAATTTTCCGGGATAAAAAGTAACTAAGATGTTGCCCGGGGATATAAGGTACCACCATGCAAAATTTTATTAAAATCGGTCTAATAGATTCGGAGATTAGCCTGTACAAACAGACAAACAAAAAAATTGAAAAAAATCTGGATTTGTTCTATTTGTCTTCTTACATCCTCCTGAATCGGTTTTTAGCATTTTTTTGCTATGTATAGACATTCGACCTCTACTGTTTTATTATAGTATAGATACGTTGATTTTTTTCGTCATCTCTGTAGTGTACGATATATTTTTATTGTAATACGTAAAGATGGGTATATTTCAATGTCAGGCACATTGATTTACTAATAAAGATGTTAATTGCTGTAGGAATAAAAAAAAACAGGCTTTAACGCTGTATTTTTAACACGGTTTAAGAAATTTGAATTTCTTTTCAGAAGCAGGTGGGACAGGACCTGGCGGGACGGGTCCGGGAAGAGCCGCGCGAGCCCGGGCCCTGGAGTTAGCGCAGCAACTCGCTCTGTCCCTGCAACACGCCATACCACCTCCGCCGCGACCTGACTTTACTACTGCCAGTGCTATACTACGATGGCTTCAACAAAACAATAACTCCGTTGCACTTGTAAGTGTTACAAAAATATACCTACAATTATTTTTAGAACCTAGGATTTAAAACTCTAAACACGTCTGGAGTCTGGACTCGCAATATTTTATAGAAAAAGATGAAGATTTTTTTAATATGCAACTAGTACCTATTATATATGAAACTTGCATACTGCATCTCAGCCGACTCAACTGGATAGCAAATCCGGCTTATCTTGCTTCCAGACAAAGAGAAGTAGGTAGGTACCACAAAATGTGCTACTTCGTAAGTGCACCGACTCTAGCAGTGCTCTCAGTAGGATTTTACATCACTACCTTATAAGCGATTGTGTATTGCAGCATACTTGTCTTTAAAATCAGAGGTGTCTGGTTTGACTTACGCATGAGGTAAATATTTGTTTTGCGTTGCGAAAATACGATGTTAAGTTTTGTTTCCGAACGTGTATTAATAAAATTGTTTTTTATTCTTTCCTGTTTGGACTTATTTTTATTCTAAAAATTCTTTTATATTTATGGGGTCATAATCGACTGTCATAAGCAACAGCAATATTTTACCGAACTCAGTAATGGTATTGCTCTATTAAGTAATTTATGGCGTACATAACAACAATGAATCAGACTGCTATATCGTATACACACAAAATCCATATTCTAGTAAAGTTCTGCAGTGCCCTTTATAATTCTTACATATAAATACAATAATTATGAAATATAAATTATTTTATTAATATTAATAATTATATGCATTCATAACTACCTATTAATAAAATATATAATATAATATTTTATTAACACTTATGAATAAGTACATATAATTATTAATTATGAACTATGAGCAACGAGTGAAATGTATGTAAGTATATATCGATTACTGTAACCACAGATAATTAATATTAAATTCTGTATCTAATTTGAGGCTTAGCAGGTATTCAATATAACACGGTGGTATTCTCACTCCAATAATATTAGCCACAATGTAACAATAATAATGATTATTATTATGAACATCATATAATTAATTATAATCTACTACCTTACGATTGTAAATTCTATAAACAAAGCCTAAAACATATAGTTTATTTTATATCAATATAAAAACAAAGATGGGATCTTAAAAAAGATATTTTGTACTTGGAAGTGGGAATATGAAACGAGTTTAATAGAGTACTTCAGCTATTTGCAGTTAACATATCATTGATGATATTTTGACTGCACAAGAGCACTTGAAAGTGAGCCAGATTATTGGCTTTTTTCGTTAGCAAATAGAATCTTTGAATCGATTTGGCTTATCCTTAATTTTATTTACGAGTATATTATATACATTATTATGTTATAGGTCTTGTTTTCGTTAGCTTAATCTGATAGATGATTTTGTGTTGTATAGGTAGTTTTAAGTACGTTTTTTTTAAATCCGATACATAAAGTGTTTCTCGTGGGATGTTCGTCTGTTAGACAAATTGGCAGAGGGAAACGCTCGAACTAAGCAAAGGCGCTTATATAGTAGTCAATAATTCCAAAACGAAAAAATATTTGTAGCTTTGTAAAATATTTCAAATATGAGAATAATATTTCAATGTGTACTGCGAACAATTCACGACCCGATATTATCGATTCTGCGTTTGTCTGTTAGGGAACAAAAACATCTGTTCCTCTGATTGAGGTAGCTCGTTCCTCTGACAATTTCATAGCCCGTCATATCAATGTTGATACCATTGTACGAGTCGGTTATAGGGACTATGGTTGTTTACGTATATATAACTTATGAAAAAAATACTCTCATTTATATTTTGTTTTAGACTTTGTATTTAATTTAAAAAGATAGCGCTGACTGTTTTAAGTTCTTAAAAACACTAGATATTTAGTTTGCTTAGCGACATATTTAGTAACTATATGTATTTATTCTACTTGAAATTTTTGTTTTTTAAGTAGTATATTTGGAAGTATTTCAAATTCATTCATAGCGTAAACTTTTGAAAGAATTTGGATGAAATTTTACATAAAAATAGACTACAGCTGTTCTGGAATAACACGTGGAATACTTTTACCCGGTAATGCATCATCGAAATAAATTAAAAACAATTTACTTCTACACATACAAGAACGTTAAAATAAGGAATCCCTTTTTACGCGAGCGATGCCGCAGAGAAGAAACGTTGTTATTATTTATTATTTGCATTCTGTAAGTAAATTAAAAAATATTAATAAAATTAAAAAGTTATACAATTCCTACAACGTTCCATCTTTCAGGGAATTCCAGACGCAAATATCCAGAATCTTTAAAATCATATTAGCTAACATACTCGTACTCAATGATGAAAATATACCTTTATTTTAATGCCCGTAAATATAAATATCAGACTAAAAAAATTTACGAAATCCATATTTAATAGTTAATATTATAAATGTGAAAGTGTGTTTGTTTGTCCTTCTTTCACGTCGAAACAGAATGACGGATTGCCGTGATATTCTGTGTGGAGATAGTGGTAGATGGAGGACTGGTGAGTGACATAGACTACTTTTTACCGCGGGAGATTATCTCACACCCACGGGAAAACACGTTATAATACAAACCAAAAAAATATTTATGATCAGAATTACTTGGAACTTGATATTAATACTCTTCAGTACAATTTAATAAATACGTGTTTATGCATTTTTTGAAATTCATCCTATAAAACGGCAAAATAGGGCATATACCTAAGTTTGTAGGAAACCTATCTTTTTAGAGATATTTTTATAGTTTTCGCTGCCGCGGCCGCGGTTTCTGCTATTACATAAATTATATATTTATGTAGATAGATAATTTCAATTAAAATTATCTTTTCGGTTTTTTTCGCGGAATTATTTTGATTTTTGGTTTGAGTATAATTTTATTTAAAACTGCGATACTAAGATACGTTTTAACGGTTAGTATAGGTTTCTCAGATATGAGATACCCGGATAACCAGCTATCATCATACCAAATTTCATCAAAATCTGTCCAATGGTTTTCTCGTGATGCGTTCCCAGACAGACAGACGAGATTCGGCTTCTGTATCGATGATAATGATTATTTTAGTAAGATTTTCAAAAAAATATTTAATGTACAGATTCGACTCAGTTACAATTTAGATGTCAAATATTTGCGTAAACCTAGGAAAGTATAAGGTAGGTAATTGGTTGAACGTTTGGTTTACTTGACCCACCTCACTTACAGATATTCAATACATTATATAAAATCCAATGTAAATAACGTAGGTATAACCTAATGATAGCCTGTGTACGAGTATTCAGAAAAAAAGAGAGCATAAAAATTCATATTTCGCGTAGAGCCTAATTAGCGTAGGTACCTATATAGTTTTTTTTTGTATAGTAATTTCTTTAAATAACACATTATAGAATTAAATTAATTAATTCTAGAGAATGACCAAAAACTAAATTCTTAGGTTTTACATATTAGTTTACTCTTACAATGCAGTTTTTGTATTTTTTCTCAGAAATGAGATATTTTCCCGCGGTAAAAAGTATCCTATATTGACCTGGATAACCAGCTATCATCATACAAAATTTCATCAAAATCTGTCCAGTGGTCTTCTCGTGATGCGGTAACAGACAGACAGACAGACAAAAATTCTAAATTTTTTTATTATATGTATAGATGAGAGAATATTGAATTTTCCCAATAAGGTTTAAAAGACTTTAGGAATGCCTGCATACTTGGAAACCATTAGAGAATCACAGGAAATGCACGCGCTTATCCTAGCGGCTTCATGTGTTCTTTTACTTCTACTTTATCTGAGACATGCCTGAAACATATTATCTGAAACATGACTTGTGCTTCGACCATCCGATTTGTATGAACATTTGCCTTATATTTTGACTATTAATTGGCATTGCCATTATAAAAGTGTCCTAAAGACATGAACGATTATATAAACATTCACATTAAACTGCACTGTGTGTACATCTATGTACTGATTTATATATAGGTATTTTTGGCCGTTTATTAAAACATTTTGCTAGTTTTCCCTCTAGAAATTCAACGCGACGAGCGTAAAACCGTTTTAAAATTGGAGAGCTCGCACTAGGGTACCAGGTGACATGTACCTACTAGATGAAAGGACCTTGTTTACTGACCAGGATTGCGCACGCCTCAATGAATATCGCGAGCATCACTTAAGCATTCAGTGGTGCATCCCCGCAAGGTTGTAACTAACCCTCTGCTGAATGTAAAGCTTACGTGTATCCCGATTATGTGAACACATAGTCAAAAATGTGGATATGTACTATTGAATTACTCATTGAAAATATTTTACAAATTATTTACGTACGTATGTTAGTATAAATATGGTTTACGTAGAAATTATTCAAACGTGAAAGTAGCACAGTACTACAATTTTAATATGTGTAAAAACTTTTGTAGCTCAATCGTTCTCTATAGCCATTTCATTGCCAAAACTGTGCAGTTATGAGTACTTTACATTCAAGTACGACATATTGTGCCAGGTCAGTGTCCTATTAACCTTTTAAAACGCTTATAATATTAATTAACTAAGGTAGGCCGCGTTCCCCGCAGGCTAGTTACAGGTGAACGAGCGTTCCATTAGTGCTAATTAGAATTTCTCTTAGCTTTTGCCTAGCACAGATACCAGTAACTATAACATCATAGGATCTGTTGTCTTATAAGCTCTATAGTATAATTTATAGTACATGTAAAAAAAAATTGCAAAATGTTAATTATTTCAAACCATTAGTAATGATATATAATTATTCTCAGTATATAAATAACCCTTAAACCAAATGGGCTAAATAGTTATTTTTAAATGTTATATTTATTAGATATGTGCTAAATTATGTAATCATAGAAGTGTGCAACATAATATAAAAAATATTTTCGTCAACACTTATAGTTCCTTTTTCAGCTGTAAATGAGATAAAGAAGGAAAAGGAATGACATCGAAGCGCCAATCGTTTCGTTTTAGCAATGATTCTATTAGGAGCTGTTGCTATGTAAATGTTAAAAGGCACTCAATTTAAATATATTTGCAGTCAAAAGTAAAATGGACTCAAAATAAAAAGTTTCGTAGGCTACGGAAATATTACCATGAACGAAAGTGACTTTAACAAGGCAAGTTTAATTAAAATTTTGGACATATTTTGTAGAGAACTTCTCGCCATCTACCTATTAATGAGAATCCTCACGTTGCATTATGAAATTAATGTAAATATTTTATATATAATCTCTGCTATGTATTCTAGTTTTACAACACGTTTGGCTCAGTTTGTAGTGACCCTAATTGTTGTGCCAGTGGTCGCCGGTTCGAGTCCCGCTGGGGGCTGGGCATTCATTTGTGTGATGAGCACGAATGTTTGTACTCCGGTCATGGGTGTTTATATTCATAATATGTATGTATTTAAAGTTATACATATATGTGTAGCGTGTCAACTATCTGGTATCCATAACACAAGCCTCGTAGCTTACCATGGAACTAGATGGTGCTGTGTGTGAACGTCCTAATATATGTATACGATATTTATAAACTAGCGATTGCCCCGATTAAAGCTTTTTATGTGCAATCTGCACAATAAAGGCAAGTATCTTTAAGCTTAATTTAGATTTAAAATCATCATTATTTATATAAGCATTATATTTATTACAAGCTTTATTTTTGTATAACAATATGGTATCGAGAGAAATAATATTAAAAAAAAAATACTTATTATTCCTATAACCAAAACTTTGGAAAACTAGCGATCAGTTATCCCTTTTCACGGGTTCTCGCCACATGCCCAAAATTAGTATTACTTTATTGATAACTATAGAATAATTAAATAAGTAAATTTTCTGTTAGGATTTATTGCGTCATAAACCTAAAAGTCAAGCGTTATAACACTAATGCAATCAGCATTTACTATGCTACTGATAGCGGGTAGATGAAACACTCGTTGAAAAAACACTGGGATAAAAAGGAAAATTGTTTCATTGTTAAATATTAGTCATTATGTCAATTATATTTTAAACTTTATTTTGTAACTGCGTTGTCATCAGCTGGCGTGAAAGTAGGCTTCACTTCCGGCTGCCGGCGCGGTGCCGCTACCCGCTTCCTCTTAAGACTTTTCTCTAGACTTGTACTTGACTGATTCGTACTTGACCGCTTACATTTTGTTCTAATTTACCTCATACGTAATTTCATATTTCTTTGAATACTATGTCAAGCAGTCCAATGTCCCGTTCTTTAAAAAGTTATTCACATTTTTTTGTTCATTTTAAATAAAAGGATTGAGTTAGTGGGTCATCTGGTTTTCAGCGTTCATTTTATGAATTTGGCAATTGTAACACTCAATACTAGAATTACCCTGCGATTTTGTATGTAT